GAAGAGAGAGAGAGAGAGAGAGAGAGAGAGTATGTGAAGATATGTGTATAAGAGAGCTTGAAAGAAACGAAAATTTGCATGTATGCATACCTAAGGTGAGACATGATTTGTCCAGAGGTGATTTGATAACTTACTCATTTGAATTTCCCCTATTGAATTCCCCCATTTCCCCCAACTTACCTTTCCAAAAATGCCGTCCATGTATATACCTAATATTACAACCAGAAAACCAGGAATTGAATCCGTCCAGCCGATCTATTAACTAATCTACCCCAAGGCGATATTTTTTTCTTTGTTTTATTTCGTATTCAGTTTTCCCTCCAGGGGATCACTTCTTTTTTCTTTTTTTTTCTACTCTCGGGAAGATCTGTGGAATTAGCGGTAGAAAGCCAAGTAACTTACCTCCTAACCTTTTCTCTCCTCCCGTTCTTGTTGTGGTCGAAAACTTACCTCGCCCGCCTGCCCGTACTCTTTACCTACTCATAGTCTTCATGACAAGACTTGAGCGCAGTTCTCTCCTTGGCCTGGCGTTTCTGCTGAATGAGCGCGGCCTGTTCGTCATCTTGATAGGATCTCCAATGCGCATTTCCAAACTTACCTTCTTTGAAGGACCAGCCGCGGTACGAGCCTTGAGAATTTTGTTGGGATGATGATGATGAAATGGACGCCAGGGAGGGAGACAAGGAAGCCAAAGACATATTCGAATCGCACCGGGACATGGATGGGGAGGTCCTACCACTTCCACTTCCACTTCCAGTAGAGCCAGTATCCACCCAACTCGTCACACACACACTCGGAATCCCCTTCTCCACAGACCTCGAAGCCACAATGCCATACGTGATCGCTTGCGGTTCGGGTTGTGGTGGGATGCCCGTGAAGAACAGGGTGCGAGCACGGGTGCGTTGACACATGATACAGGATACGGTGAAGTCCGTCTCGAGGCCCATGTCGGTGGTGTTGTGACAGCTTTGCGGGGAGTTGGTGGCGAGGGCGTTTTGAGATTCGGCCAGCGGGCAGTAGGTGTATTGGCGGGTGGAGTAGTGCTTGCAGATGGTGTGGTAGGTGGTTGTGAAGTTGCACATTTTGTATGTTGTGGTTGAGGGGGGCCGAGAAAGATTGTGTGGTGAAGGGACCGGGACAGCGACACGAGGGATTCTACAACTCTCCTCTACTGGATTCTTCTTGGGGATTTGCTTGAGAGAGTACCTGACTCTGTGGAAGCGGGTTGAAGAATGTGGAGTAGAGTTTGGTGTAGAGTTGAGAATGTCGTGTGCTGCACTGGGTAGTCCGATGAGAAGGAGATTGGAGAGAGGGATCGAACAGGGGGATTATATGCTTCAGCGTGCTCATGGTGTTAATGCGATGAAAGAAGAGTGAAGAGGGGGTCAAAGCAGTGGCACACAAAGAATTTGGTGTCATATCTTTGTGTCCGTAGTGATGGATATTTATTTCGAGATCAAGCATTGTTGTATTGCATTGTCTGTAGAAATACAATCGTGTTATGCCGTCAAAACAAAGACTTCCAGTCCTTTGATGGTAGAGGGATGCGGCGGATCATTGTTGGTCACCAGCATCGTATCGCAGGGAATATCGAATTCGAGTTGTGCTCAGATGTAGGAAGTGTATAGCAGCTGTCAGCCAACAATGGGCTTCAGATGATCAGTTGTCTTGTCCACGAACATCGGAATGATGAGCTGCAGCCTTCCATGGGACAATTCTTCGGGAGTAGGTGGAAGTGTCACCCAGTGAGCAAGTCTCATCGATATCATGATGACAATTGATGCCCATGAAGGAGGACACCGGGACTTGCAGGCTACCATTCTGGCAACCACTCTTCAATGCCTTTCATAAAGCTGCCATGGGAAGTACCTTCACCATACTGAAGTATTGCAACAGAACGTCCGGATCTCCTCGCCTCATTGCGACCTTCCAGTGGTCGCGTATGAATCTCGCCATCGTCCAGCTCCCGTTGATGACGCTGGAGATACTCGACAGGACCTAGAGTTCTGTTTGCATGACACGACGCGAATCAGTCTGTGCCGTAGAAGCGAACACGGCTCGGCTAGTACTCGTGAATCTGGTCCGGCGTAAGCAGCAAAGAATATGGGGCCCCTTCTCCAAAGATCGCCATTTTCTGGCTGGCTGGCGGGCGGGCTAGTAGTGCTAGCAATACATGTAGCACATCACTGCCTCTGGAATTTACGCAGTCTCAGTGCCTTTCTCTTCACTGGTCGTGGTCGTCCCTGGAAGTAAAGTCTCCTGATAACTCCTTACCGCAGACTGATAATCATCCAACTTAATCGCTCCCGCAGACCAGATCAAAAGAACATCCATCAAAGGAATGACATCACGTCTTCTTCTTCTCCCAGACTTATGCCTCGATGCAGATGATGAAGAAGGGGCGGATGAAGAAGTCGCCACAAGATTCTGAGGCTTTCGCACATAACCCACAACATTCAACCAAGATCCAACTTGAAGTAAGTCGTGATTGACAGCCTCCAAGACATTGTCGATGTTGGCTAGTACGGTTGGTACTGGCAGTGTTTTTGGATTTCTGCTGTTGCTGGATTTGCTCGGGTATTCGAGTTTGAGGACTAGCGTTGCGCTTGCAATGTGGTATGCGTGAACACTACATGTTACATGAGGTGATTAGATTGGCATCGGGGTGGAAAGCAAAAGGCGATGGGGAAGAGAGGAGATGCTGTACCAGCCCAATACTCGAATCTTGGTGCCTGGTTCTTGGTGGCGGACTTGGTCGAGAAGAAGTAGACGCGCTGGTTCAGGTCGGCGGCATGTAGGATCGTGGTTTGTTGCCATGATTATGTTGATGAAGATGCGCGGATTGGTGCATTGCCTAAGGTACTGTTCTTGTATCTAGGGGGTATGTTGTTGTTCAGGGGAAGCAGACAGCGTCTCAGTGGTGTGGGAGGTGCCTTACCTTATCTTGTAACGCGTTCACGTGCCGATTTCTGGCGCATGACAGCATCGGCGTCCCTCAAAGCCAGAGGGACTCACCCAGACGACCACGGTGAGGTGAGACAACAACCTCGACAGAACCTACATGTAACCACCCATCACCGCCACTTCCACTTCCACCACCACCACCACCACCACCACCACCACCACCACCGCCTGAACATTCTGACCGACCGACCATTAGCTCACCTCGACCAACTCGTTCCGCTACCTAGACACCTCGTCCTACAGCTTGAGCTTCGTTTCGAACCACGCTTCTCTCACAACCTTCCACCACTCCGGCAAACACAGGACGATTATTGATAACGACACCCTCCACCACCTGTTGGCTCAAAGATGGCCTCGTGGGGCTGGGGCAACCTCTTTGGAGGCAGCACAGCAGCGAAGAAAGATGCTCCAAAGAATGCCATCCTACGCCTAAGAAGTACGCTGGAAATGCTGTCCAAGCGCGAAAAGCATCTACAGAACCAGATGGACGAGCAAGACGCTGTGGCGAGGAAGAATGTCACCTCGAACAAAGCTGGTATGTTTCTCTCGCATCAGCCTCCATGAAAGCAGCTTTGTCAATACTGCGTATGCTAACTGGGAATGAAATCATATAGTCGCCAAAGCCGCCCTTCGACGGAAAAAGGCCTTTGAACACCAACTCGAACAAACCTCCGCCCAGATGATGACAGTCGAACGCGAAATCTCTTCCATCGAAACGGCGAACATCAACAAGGAAACACTCGACGCGATGAAGGGCGCTCAACAAGCCATGAAGAAGATCCATGGCGACCTCTCCATCGAAAAGGTCGATCAAACCATGGAAGACCTACGGGAACAACATGCGATTGGAGAGGAGATTGCAGATGCTTTGACACAAGGGAACTCGATGCAAGGAGTGGATGAAGATGAATTAGAAGATGAGTTGGCTGAGTTGCAACAAGAGGAACTGGATAATAAGATGTTGAGGACGGGTAATGTGCCGATGTCTGATCAGTTATCGCGATTGCCGAATCAGCCGGTTGGAGAGATTAAAGGCAAGCAAAACGCTGCGGCGGTGGAGGATGATGAGGAGGAGGAGTTGCGGAAGTTACAGGCTGAGATGGCCATGTAACGATGTGGTTAGATGGAAGGTCGGATGGATGGACGACGACGATGATGATGAAGGGATATAACGGAAGCGATGACGCCCTTGTGTCTTCCTTGCAGCTGTGCGCGTAGATGGTCATACTCTGAGGTCTGGAATAGGTGACTGCTGCTTCGGCGAATCTTGTAATGATGGATTGAGCAACCTCTTTGACAGCGTCTTTTCCGAGGATTGAAATATCTCGTATCTACTGAGAAAGTGCAGTCACATCCACTGGTGGCATGGGCTACCATCTCCGGCCATGACAACTTTCACCGGGCACTTGTGCAGTGATAGAGGTTTCCTCGACCTCTTCATCTCTTGTCTCTCTCGCGGGCCTCTCTTTTCTCCTTGAGGCTTGCACTACCTAACTTACACCTTCCCCTCACGATAGGGGGAGATAGATCCCATGTCTTTGTCTCTCAGAGATGAGTAAGGCTTACAGGACTCTAGACCACTCGTATCACCATGCTCCCAGACAAAGACTGCTCATAATTTGCCTTGCCTTGCCTTGCCTTGCCACGTGAGAAAGAAAACATAGGTACCTAGACAAAGAGCACAGAGTCAAAGTTACAGGATCCGAACGGCACGAAACGGACCACGTTAAACGAAGTGGAGTAGGATTTTCTCACTACTCTTCTAGACTGGACGATCACACATGACCCTTGACATCTTGGCCCCAAACTCAGACATTGCCTATCACATCACGTTGCGCTTGACCCGACCGAAACACCCATCACTCTCACCTGATACTTCACACTCTCCCCCTACAAACGAATAGTCAACTATAGTCGCTCTTTTTACCCTCATTGTGTGTGTTTCTGCTACTGCTGATGTGATTGTTTGGTGCGCGTGCCGGGAAGAGACGAGACAAGACGAGACGAGACGATTGGATAAGAGGGAGACCGGAGAAGGCGATTGCGCGTCTGGCAGATCTGAGAGATACTGAGCGGTTGGATTCATCTCAGCCGCACGCACGCGAAAGAACTTGAGGACTGGACACCCACGACGACGACGACGAGACGGGACTGACGCAGGTGCTCTTCGGCGCGCGCGATAAGCTGGCGCGAATCTGCGGAACGTCGGACCGGTGGGATTGGTTCACGGCGCTGCATGCACTGGATTGTGCATATCGAACAGAAGGGTTGGGAAAGAAGTGAAGAGCACTAGAGCGGAGGAGACACGAGCAGACGAGTGAAGATCAACGGAGAAGAAACGAGCAGAGGCGTTGTCATCACGAACGTGGACGAGGAGAAAGAAGCGCTCGCCGGCTGGCCATGGCGGAAGTTGGCATACGGGATAATGTGGTAGCGAGGGCTCCAGGCTGGACTGCCGCCGGGACAGAGGTGGAGAGGACGATGCGATCCATCTTTAAACGCTGTGTCGAGTGCGGCCCAGTGACTCCCACATGTCCAGCGTGCCCGTCGGGAGACATTTGCTCGCTCGTCCCTCAGACCTGTGACGAGTGCGCTCACATGGTATGCATAGCCAACCCGAGTCCCGCGCCTCCAGCTGCCAAAACCAATGTAGGAGCCATTGCGGGAGGTGTCGTAGGAGGAGTCGCTTTCATGGCATTTCTCTTGTTCCTGTTCTGGCGATACTGGGCCAAGAAACGACGAGCACAGCATGATCAATGGGAGATTGAGGACGAGGATGATCTCGCCACGCAAAAGGGCCAGTCGCAATTCAATGCCATGAAGTCTGATGCGGCCTCCACAAAGACCAGTCGCTCAGTGGCCGCGAGCTTCCTCAGTCGTGCCAGCAATATCATCCATATTGCTTACATTCCTGGTGTGACGAACCGTTTCGGCTCTGGTCATAACAGTATGACAGCGCCCGTTCCTCCGATTCCCGCTGCATATGCGAACAGAACACCGCAGACAACGACGCCGAGGAGTCCTTTGAGTCATGAAGGAGACGCTCTCTTCTTCAGACCTTCGGATCTGCGCGACAGTACTTGGTCCGACGGCTCTTCGCTCCGCTCCGGAAAGAGAGACACGCAGTATACTACACACTCCATCACTCCCTCTTTGGCTCGCTCTTCATTGATGTCGGACATCTACCGGGATGATGCCACGACAGAGCCTATGCCAGCAACGCAAGTATTTCGCGCGCTGCCGAGAATGGTGTCTGTGAAGTCGTTCTCGGCCTCGGCAACATCGACACCGTCCATGGAGACGCCACCAACTCTCGGCCCCAGCCCTGGAGGAAGTGGCGGAAGTGGTGTCAAAGCTGTGATGCTCGGCGAACAGCCCTCCATAACAAGCTCTCCCTCGTCTCATCACACGGGCGGCACTTTCGCCAAAGCTACTCCAGTCACGATTGGTGGTGGTGGTGGTAAAGGCAAGGGACGAATACCAGTCGTCACGCAACAAACGAGCAATGCATCATCACTTTCTCCTCCGGGTTCGAGTACAAGCCGTCCTCCTGCTTCAACGAGATCTTCCCCGTTAGTAGAAACGGCCAATGAATCGGACGATGCCAAGGAAGAAGACGAGGAAGAAGACGAACGCTCGCGGGCTCGCAAAAGTCTCATCAGAGAATCCACGGCAGCAGCAGCGAGCCCTGCTCCCCTCATCCAGCCGCTAGAAAGTCCGTTTTTCGACGCCACCGAGTTACGAACGCCCGCTTCTTCCACCATCATACCCCGACCGAACCCGTATGCGGCCATGTCAGCTTCTGTAGGCAGCGGGCCGCGGACCAAACGGTTCAACAGCAATATTGGCGGTGACAACCGAGGGCCGGGGGGCTTGAGTGCAGTGATTGAAGAAGCTGCGAAACGAGCGTCGCAGGATCCGGATCAGGATGGTAGCAGTGAGGGTGGGGATGGCACTGTGAAGCGAGATCCGAGTCCGTTTGCGGATAATCATGCCTATACTGCTTCCAAGTGATGGAAGGAAATTTCGCCAAAAGAAGTGTTTAGTGATACCCGTGGGATTTGGTGGGAAAAGAAGAAAGAAAAAGCAAAAGAAAAAGAAAAAACAATCAGAGCTGGTCTTGAGGAGATAATGGACGACGCAGGAATCAAAGGACTGAATCTAGGCCATACCAGATTGGTGAATTGGCACATGAATGATAGGAGGGGAATGAATGAATGGACGGATGGCCTCCAGGTACTATTCCTCACTGATCGCTCCCATGATAGCCAGCTGGGCTGGACGGGGCTGGACCTTTGTTCTTCGAAAAGAAGAGGAAAACACAAGAGAGATTTGACGAAAAATGGCTCGAGTCACGAACGTTGGCAACCACGGGGGATCCATAGAACCAATTTCCTTTCTGGTATGCAGGAGAAGAGAATGAAAGAGGGAAATAAACATGTGATGGGGAACGAAGAAGGGGAGGGAAGGAAACAAACAGAAAATGAAGAAGAAGAAGACGAAGAAGAAGAAGACGAAGACGAAGCAATGGAAGTCTGTACTCTCATTTCCATTTTCCTTTTACACACTTTGTAGTTCTCCTTGACGTATGAGAAATTCAAAAAAATAAAAGAAAATTCGATAGATTTTCTCTTTCTTGTCTCCCATCCCGAGTGGTACAGTTTTATCACCTACCTACCTACCTACCTGACCTAGAAGGTAAGTTTTTTTTGTGACCCTTATGGCTGATAGGAAAGACTTGGGGTGATCAGGTATCCGGAAATACTTCCGTCTGTCTGTCTGTCTGCTTAGCCTAGCCTAGCCTGAGGTAGCTAGACTAGCGGTCTCGACTCGACCCTCACTTATTGCCGGAGCGAGAAGGAAACCTCGGTCTCAATCTCTCTTCCTCTTCTTCTTCTTCTTCTCCTCTCTCTCTCATCCCTCTCTTCAGAACAACAACAACAATCACAAAGAGCCAAATAGAAAAACCGAAATGTCTAATATATACATGTATGTTTTGTGTTTACTGTTTACTGTTTAGCACGCCCCGCCCGATAATAGAGAGGGGGGGGAAGGGTAGGAAGGATTTTCTTTAGGTAAAAAATCACCTTCCCGAGCGACTCTATCTATTGGCCGAGAGGATGCGAGAAGATAGGCGTTTTGTTTATCTTAAGGTACCGACTTACTGTAAGTATACCAGGTACTTCTAGGTACTAGAGATACTAGAGATACCCGATTTATGTTTACTGTCTATATGTATATATGTATAGGTAGGAGGTAGGTAGACATGTACTTGTATTGGTATCTTTGTTAGGATTTTTAGGTTAGGTTGGGTTATGTCAGGTAAGGTAGGAAGAAGAAGAAGAAGAAGGTGTACCTAGGAAGAAGCCCGAGGAGAAGAGGTAGAGGAAGATTCGGCCGGGCGAAGGTGATTGCAAAGTGCGATTTGTGTACTAGAATGATAGGCTAGAGCGACGGGTACGGTTGTACCTAGGTACATGTAACGAAAGAATGGCCGCGGTAGGAGTTTTGCGGAGAAAAGTGTTTTGTTTATTACAGGTACCTCTGAGTCCTTGGTAGTTCTAGGCTTCTAGCTTTGTTTGTGAAGAAGAAGAAGAAGTCGAAGAAGTCGTGGAAGACTCAAAAGAGAAGAAGGCTCAAAAGAAGACTCCGAAGAGTTGAGAGGGTTCGGAGTTTCATTTCGAGTTAGCCGTAGGAGGTACCGATGGATCATGGCGCGTGGCCTGGTAGGACAATTCCAGTTGGAAATTCGGCGCTGTTGAAGGCTTGATTTTCAACATTCACGGTCAGGTGTAACAATACTTGGTACATTTGGGAGCAGTTTTCTTGCTAAATTAATAACAATAGAGACAGGCTCATCAGAGAGTCAGTGGTTCCTGCAGACGAAAGAGACGAAAAGAGACGAAAGAGTGGGTTGGTGGTGGTGGCAGTGGGCATTCTTCTTTTTTGTTCTTGTCCCCGACTGTCCGCCCGTCCGTCCGCCCTAACTGGACTAAGGTAGTTTTCCCTTTTCTCGGCGCGTCGTGGCGATAGGCGGTCTTCTAGGAGGTGGAGGGGAGGTACCTTTCATCATGTTCTACCTCCGTAGTGAGAGGGAGAGGGAGAGGGATCGGTTACTGCGGTGATGGATGTCTAGGAGGTATCCCCGTCACATGGATCGAGGGATGAAGGGATGCATTGGGATGGAGGGGCAAAAAGACAGGGCAGGGCTACGCCAACAACACCGGCCGTCGTGTCGTTTCATCTGATGACTGCTAATGAGCGATTTACGATGTGGATTCCCTTCCAGGTTGTCCGGTTGTCATTATTGTTATTATGATAATGATGCCGATAACACCACAGTCACCTCTGGTCCACTACCTCCTAGCTCCTAGGACAATCAACACCTCATCCTTCTCAGAGCCGCGAATAGCGACATGGCACAAGCCTCACCGTGGCGGAGTGGTAGTGTGACACGCTGCTCAAAGAGGCGAACGAGTCCCCCCCACTAATGACCAGCATAAGGTTATTTCATCGTGAGGTTATTATTCATGCCTTGCCGATGCGCTGATGATTATTCACTGTTGGAAGTCTTGCCGGCGGTTGGCGGTTGGCGGTGGGAGGAGGGACGCGGCGCCAGGGTCTGCACGGACCAGCAGCACGCTCGGCACAGCAGCTCCAGGTCCAGTAGTTCGAGTTCTATTAGTGCTCTCTCTGCCCATCAACTGAGAACTACTTGACACACACACCTACCTACACCCGAACACACTCTTACACTCTCACCGTCTGGAACATTCGCCCTCCTTGCGCTTTGTTCTCTTGACACCCTCTCCCACCACTCTTCTTCCCCCTTCCAACAACAACAACAACCACCGCGCACCTCGCATCACCACATTCACCACCCCTCTGCGCACTGCACCCACCGTCACCATGGTAAGCCCGCCGCCAGAACTGCCCCCCCGCTGCTGACCGCTCCCTCATTCGGCCACTTTGCTAATCTGCTGCTTCCTTCAGGCCGACTCCAAAATCATTTCCAACACCGCTACAGTACGCTCTTTGTGCTCTGCTCTGCACGCCCCGCGCCCCGCGCCCACCCTCTGCCCTGACTCCCTCATCTGACACCAAGAAATAGCTCGAAAAATACAACAAGCTCACCCAGCATGACAAAGTCATTGCCGAGTACGTCTGGATTGACGCCAGCGGAGGTGTGCGCTCAAAATGTGCGGTGAGTCAGCAGAAAATCTGTCGAAGACAATGGGCGACGTGAGCTTCTGGCTCCCATGGGGACAACTCAATGCGAGGGCAGGCCAGGCCTTGCCTAGCTGCGGCTTGGCTTGGGATGCCCGCCTTCGGCTGAGCTCGGACGATGCATGAAAGCTCCACGTTCGCCTTACTGGTGTGCGCGACAGCTGTCACCCTCCCCATCCTTCTGCCAACGAGACCCTGGCGCGATGGGAGATGCTAGCTTGAGAAAGCTCATGCATGCGCGCGCGCACGCATGCACGCACGCACACACACGCACACACCTCCTCCGTGTGGCCATGCTAATGTGTCGTGCTTGTAGACTTTCGACAAGAAAAAGGACATGAAGAACTGGGACTGGTCCAAGGCTCCCATTGACCAGTCCGAAGAAGCCATCAAGTCCCTCAAGGAGTGGAACTTTGACGGCTCTTCGACTGCTCAAGCTCCAGGAGACAACTCCGACGTCTACCTCCGACCTGTCGCTGCCTTCGCCGATCCCTTCCGTGGCGGTGACAACATCCTCGTGCTTGCCGAGACCTGGATGTCTGATGGCAAGCCCAATGCATTCAACTTCCGCCACGATGCTGCCGTCGTCATGAAGGCACACGAGAAGCACGAGTTCTGGTTCGGTCTCGAGCAAGAGTACACGCTCCTCGACTTCGAGGGCTGGCCATATGGCTGGCCCAAGGGCGGTTTCCCCGCTCCCCAGGGTCCATACTACTGTGGTGTCGGAACGGGCAAGGTCTTTTGCCGAGACATTGTCGAGGCACACTACAAGGCCTGCTTGTACGCCGGCATCAACATTTCCGGTACCAACGCAGAGGTCATGCCCGCTCAGTGGGAGTACCAGGTCGGCCCATGCACAGGCATCGATCGTGAGTGCTTTCCCTTTTTTTTTTCCTTCCTTTCTTTTCCGTTGCCTCTCGACAGCTCTCCGTGAATCCAAACTAATATACTCGCAGTCGGTGACCAGCTCTGGATGTCCCGTTTCATGCTCCACCGCGTCGCCGAGGACTTTGGCGCCAAGATCACTTTTGCACCAAAGCCAATCCCCGGTGACTGGAACGGTGCCGGTCTTCACACCAACGTGTCGACCAAGGCGATGCGCGAGGACGGTGGCATGAAGCACATTGAGGCGGCCATGGAGAAGTTGGCCACTCGTCACAAGGAGCACATGAAGGTGTATGGTGAGGGTAACGAGGCCCGCATGACGGGTGCACACGAGACGGCCTCGTACGACAAGTTCACATGGGGCATCGCCAACCGTGGATCCTCTGTGCGTGTGAACCGTGCTTGCGCTGAAGAAGGCAAGGGATACTTTGAGGACCGTCGTCCTGCCTCCAACGGTGACCCATATCAGATTACTGGTCTGATTGTCGAGACTGTAAGTTTGACCGAGCGAGAGAGGGGCGAGAGAGTAAGCAACCCCGAGAGTGCCATGCTAATGCAACATGACCTCCAGATTTGCGGCAAGGTCGAGGGCGCAGACGTCTTCAAGACCGCGTCTCAACAACCCAACGAGGTCGACACTGTGGTCCCCATTTCGAAGCCTTAGACGATTTTTGTTTTTCTTTCCTCCACACGAAGAATCAACGACTTGAACTTGAACTCGAACGAATCGCACAACCCACCAACCGACGACCCACTCATACACACACTCTACCACTACGAAGATGATATCCCTCCCTCGCATTACGATTGGTTGTGATTGGACTGTACTACGGGCAGGACATGGTGTCTACGGAAGCGTGGAAAGAAAGACAAGGCAGACACATATATGGACCGAGAGGAGAATGTGCCGGCCTTGGTTTTTTTTTTCTGCTTTCTTTTGACACTTTAGCTTTTCACCATAGCGAAAAGATACGACTTGACACTACTCACCTGCGCGATTTTCTTTTTTTCCCTTCCCCAAGTTTTATTTTTCCTTTTGTGAAAAGACATGTTTTCTTCCTCGTCTTGTCACTCACTTTCATACTGTAGCGATTTGTTTACTTACTGGAGTGAGTGAGTGACTGACTGACTTGAGATTTGATGATAATGACGAATAAGTTTCATCTGTTCTACTTATTCTCTGTTGTTCTCTTCTACTGCTACGCTGTTCTCTTTCTGTTCCCTTCTGTTCTGTTTTGTCCAGTTCTGTCCTGTGTCAAAAAACACTGTATATACAGGGCGAGCGGGCCATGCATCTATTTGCTTCTTCTCCAATTCATGATCTGAATCTGTATATGTGTACAGTGTGTGCATGTGTGCATGTGTACATGTATGTGCATGTGTGCATGTGTATGCATGTGTGTTTGCGTGTGCGTGCGTGCGTGTGTGTGTGATGACGATGCCGTTGCCGCCGCCGCCGCTGATGATGATGATATCAAAATCTCACAAGCCAACGACTGTTTCATCATCAAACCCTCGCCTTCTTCTTGATCCACTCAATCCACACACCCAAATCCTCACAAATCTCCAACGCACGCGCCAATTCACGTTTTTCCTGCGCCTCGGAATCTGCCTCTGCATCCTCACCAGGTCCATGCTTTACCACAACAGGATGATCACAATCCAGCACGACAATTTCCGCATTCGGCACCACCTGAAATGCGACTTGGTACACGAGGTCCTTGCAGGGAATCGGAAATGACATGTGCACGCTAGGGATAGCGACTTCTTTGAACGTATTGCTCGAGAACGCGATATCAACCCGAGTTTTGGCGACTTCGCCGCTGGTTGGAGGTAGTAGGTCCATAGACTCGAGATCGGCTGTAGGAGGTTCATTGCTAGAGAGCTCTGACGACGGGTCAATGCTCAGTCGGGGTGTGTCAAAGGTTTCTTTGAGAAGAATCGATATACGGGCCCACTGTCGCAGTGTAGGTAGCAGTTCGACAAGTTGTCTAGGATGTGAAAAGGGAACTTCTTCAAGAGTGTAGCCAAGGTCCGCCTTAGAGACTTCAAGGACATACTCATGGAGAGCGTCCTCTTCTCTATCCTTGGGGGCTCCAGATACCGGTACACTTGACTCGGAAATGACTCTGAATGCCATGTCCCCCGAGTGGAACCCGAGCAACTTGAGGTGATACAGGGGGAACATGGTCGACTGCGAGTATTGGTCTCCGAGGCTGGCAAGGACTGGCGCAGCGATTCCCAGAGGTAGGAGAACAGGCGGGTCCAGTTTTGCGACGAAGCGTAGATCGGGAAGTCGTTCACCCCCGTCAATGGCCATGGCGTCTCCACCAGTGCCCGAGGAGCTCGCACTGACGGTTGTATTGGGCGGGTCTTGCCAGGGGATGCCGTCGGCACTCTCCGGCGATGGCAATTCGAAAGTCTCTGGCAGCCAGGCATCGGATACGCGAAGCGGAGGGTAAATACCGGCTGCACATGATTGAGCTTCGACGCGCAAGCTCCAAACATCAGGAGAGTCGTCGGCTTGCGTGTCTGCATCCTCTGGGCCATCGACGTCCATGGCCGAGTCGTCCTTGGACACGGAAGGATCGAAATTCGACGTCCAGTAGTCCAGAGTGAGACCAATCTTGCCGTTCCCATGCAGTGATGGCCTACCGCTCCGTTTGCGCAGGACCTCACGCTCCGCTATGGCATCCGCAGAGCTACCCTTCAGCTCCCTCAATGTCTTGACGGCCGCCTTCTCCAGCTCGTACAGTTTCTCCAGGCTGGTGTGTAGGCCTTTCATGGCCTCAAAACAGTCCACCTGCTCTTTGCACAGCCGGTCCATCCTTGCTAGCCGATCCAAGCTCTTTGCAAAACGATCAAGACTCGACTGCAGCAAGATGCCATTGGGGACGGTCAGGTCCTGTAATAGCACCTTGCTCGCCGCGAGCCCCATCACCTGCTCCTCCGGCTTCTTGTCCGCTTCGCATGGGAACATGTCTGGACTAACCGATTGAGCATATTCGCCGTTCATCTTCACAATCACCATCATCTTCTCTCCCGGTCCAGCCAGACAAATCTCGTTGGCATTGTCGTCGTGGGTGACGTCCAGGCCGCAACGACGTGCAATTCTCTGGATCCCATCCCATGTCACCCTCCCTGTACTCTTCCCAATCCTCCTCATAATCTTCGCCATCTTGGCCTTCCTCTCCTCATCCTCGTTGCGCTTGCGACTCGGACCAGCCACGCCCATGAACTCACTCATACTCGGCATCATGCCCACGGCAGAAGCCAATACAGGCGTGGGGACATTCACGTTAAGATTCGGTGTCAAGCCAGTGCCCATATCCACACCCAGTCCATGTAACATGTTGCTACCTGGCGTGCCAAAAGGGCCTTGGCCCGGTGATGCCGAACCGATGCCAGGGCCGCCAGTTTGACTGAGAGAATGCATCATGGGCGTGGAGGCCAGTGTCTTACTGCCATGGCTACTGCTCACCGTGGGATGGTTCACCGGAGTCTTACCCGACAGCTCTTTCCGTGTTGCAGCAGGCGAGGGGACGCTGCGAGGAGTGGTGGTGTGCGGAGTGCCCATGTTATGGGTTGCTGCCTTTTTCGAGGCGGACGAGGGTTGCGTCGGGGTATAGTTAGTATTGGGCGTCGACATGTTGACGTGAATGCGCACGGAAAATGCGCTGGTGAGGTGTGGTTTGTTAAGTGACCATGTTATTGTTGATGTTGTTGATGTTGTTGTTGTTGATGTTTAAGTGAGTGTGGAAGTCGAGAAATCAGGCAAGGTAGTGTCGATCACTCTCACGAAAACACGTGACTTCAATTACCGCCTGTTTACCTTTTTTTCCCCCTGGGCTTCTTTCGACGTTCGTACTTGACTGCTGACAACGAGGATAGACCTAGCGATTGCTTTCGACATCGTAAAACAGACTTTCCTGTCGCTTCATCGAAGAATGCCAGTGAGGTGCTGCACACATCGATGACGCATCGCAGCCGGAGGGTCGTGGAAGGGAGAGAGAGACTGCAGTGCTCGGGCACTCCGGTCATACCGGTCATACCGGTCATAGCCACGGATGATGCCTCAGGTTACAATACACGGAGATGGTTGACCAACAGTAAGGCTACTTGGGCTACCTTACATGTCCTAGGTATGTAGCACCTACAGTAGGTAGATACCGTAGGAAAATACTACCCGCCGGTCTTCGCTAGCTCTAGGGGAAGCATCCGAACACAGTCAAAGTGCTTCGACATGGAAAAGCCTTATTTAGTACAACTTATAGCGCTGCGTGATAGAAAGATTTCTACCGGCTTATTGGAACTATTTATTGTTAAGGCTGACAGCGATTTAATTAGCGGAATTTCTCGCTATAGCTCAAGTACGGGAGGCTCCGGCTGACCTCCCTACCTCCCTTTGTTGGTATAAGGCATTATGTATACCAACACCTAGTAGTGCCACTCCGTGGTATTCGATGCAGTGCGCGGGTGAATACAATAGTGCAACTCCGTAAACGGGCTCCTACAGGCAGTTTGACGGCCTGCATAGTCTATCAAGTAAGGTAGCTAGCTTGCTTCCTACAGCCTCGACGACTACCGATATCCTTATTAGTATCCGCATTCTGGCTACAACTAGATTCATGACGCTCTTATCTAGGAGAAACCGTACGAGTCTTATAGTCCTGCGGGAAGCTGCGCCAAAGATCTAGCGACTCACCAGGCAGCGCTATCGATCTAGATCTACTCGGGAGCGATATGCGAGGAAGACGGACAGCAGTAGTGACAACTATACCGAGATCGCGATGATGATCCGATACTAGTTCCACGCTGTCTTTCCGTGGCATTGCATACTAGTTCTGGACGAGAAGCTTGTTGTGAATGGCATGGACTAGGTCCCTGGTGTAAGTTTAAAGTCGAGAGGCCTACTGTATGCTATGGTGTGACTAACCACCTACATGTTATAACCATTCTACTCATGACGAAGGTGCTGTATAAGTAAAATCTCCTGGTTCAAAGAGCCCTGGGATGCATTGATTGCTCATCTTGAACATGCATGGTTCATCCATTGACTGATGACATATCATCATGAGACCATATGTTATCTATAATAAACACGGAACTCTTCTTCCACTGCAGCCTTGGTTTGCCACTGCATTTGCATCACAACCCATGTTATAGCCCATGGGTCACAACAAAGCTTAGTCTCACCTCCTACCTACGCCTGCGCTCCATACTCACTCACTTCATACAAGCGAGATATTCAAGCGCGTTGATTGGCTGCCTTCTCCATGCGCGAAGCCTAATCGAGCTCAGACTAAAAGGATAATCTTCGACTGCATGTCGCGACAGGTTGCCAACATCAACTTGCCGTACCATCACTGCCCCGAGAACTGGCCGCCCTGACGTAGCTACACGAAAGAGATGCTCGTAAAGCTTCCAAGAACTCACACCGCACCATTCGAAATCCCCGTCGGTGGCAGTGTATAAGGATGGTCTCTTCAACTGTTCAGATCCATCGATCTTTTCATAGCAGGAAACAACTGTGACAATCCCCTTTTTCTTGCCCTGCATTGATTCAGTAAGGCAAAAAAAAAAACGCTGCATCAACAACCAACATGTCTCCGTCGCTCCTCGCTCCAGGTGTAACAACCAAGCTCGCGTACAGGAAGCCCCCTCCCTCAGCCGAGTTCCTCGAGACTCCCATTAGTTTATATACTACTTCAGACACCTTCCGAGACGAGCGCGAGGTCTTTGTTCGGGATGTCCGCGATGAGCTTCACAGATTCACCATTGAAAAGGAAGGCCTCGAATTCCTCCATGATCCCGTCGATATCCAAAACTGGGACGACGAGGACGAAGTGCGAGAAGTTTTGCTGAAGAAGACGCCTGAATTGATACTCAAGCGGTAAGTAATGAGAAACCACCGATCGATCATTATAAGAATCAAACACCATCAACGAAAATGAAAAGAAAAAAAAGAAGCCACATCACTGACCTATACATATGTATCCATTCCCCCATCCAGACTCGGCGCCAAATCCATCTTCCTCACAGCCGAACGCATCCGCCGCTCCGTCGACAACTCCACCAAATCCGACACGACTCCCGTCTTCGCCATCCACGGCGACGCAACCCGGCAATCCGGCCTCGAACTCCTCCGTACCAGCCTCGAAAAAATGTCTCCAACCGAACGCTCAAAACTCAATCTACCCTCTTCCCTCACCACCACCACCACCACCAACAACACCACCAACACCGGCCGCGTAATGTTAATCAACGTCTGGCGACCCCTCAAAACCATCACACGCGACCCTCTAGGTTTTCTCGTGCCAAGCAGTATTAATGCCTCAGAAGAACGGCACGAACAGCTCTTTTCGCGACCAGCAGATACATTCAAAGTATTTGGGAAACCTTTGGGAGATTATTGGTTGGATACGGCGAGTTATGGGGAACAGCACGAATGGGTGTTTTTGCGACATCAGAAGAGAGAGGAGCCTGTTATGTTTGTGCAGTGGGATAGTGAGGGAGTTGAAGAGGGGAAATTTGAGAATCGGATGAGTGTGTTCCATTCGTGTTTTGAGGATGAGGAGTATTGTGGGGATGAAGGGAGGGCGAGTATGGAGTTGAAGTGTTTGGTGTTTTTTTGATGATGAGGATGAAGATGATGATGATGATCATGATGTGGATTATGATTGGAGACGGTTCTTCTTAGATGCAGAACGTTGCTACGAAATACATCGGCGAGTGATCTGCTATCCAATAACATCGACCCCCATCAAACTCTCCATTGCTCTCATCCCCTGCTTCTCGAAAGCTTCTACCATTCTCTCACACTTCCTCCGCAATTCCACCTCGCTCTGTTCAGCTTGGTACCGAACCCACTCTTCCACACTCATCTTCTTCTCCGGACTCGTCAACTGCCCAGCCGCAGCAACAAGCTGTTCACCGACCCGCCCTGGGCTAGGTTGTGGGCTGGGGAGTAATACCGTATCGAGGTCGATGGCATTCCACGGATGTCGAGATTGTAATCCAGCGACTTGTTTGGAAGGGGAAGGGTTCGACATCTTCATAGGAGACCGATTCGGCGTACCTGGAGCTAGTGGAATTCTTGTTGTTGTTACTGGTTTCGTGGGTGATAATAGAACTTGGGGAGCTCTTTGCGCCGTTACAGGGTGCATGACTGATGAAGGGACATTCTCCTTATCACTACCATTTGGAGAAGGTGTGAAGCCGCCGGGCATGCGAGAAGAATGTTCAAGTAATTCGACACGACTTGAAGGGGAAAAGGCTTTCTCTGCTTCTGCAGCGACTTCATCGCGGAGTTGCTGCAGTTCGGAGTTGTCCTTGCTTCGACGTTCTTGGGTCGGCGAGGGGTCGTACTCATCGACAAGATCTTGCTCATGCTGTATAGCGGAATCAGCCTGTTGTTGTGAGGATAGTTGTTGGGTAGCGATTCGTTCGAGCTCTTGCTCAATCTCCAGTTCATCTCGTGCCAGGTCCTCGGCGACATCAGGCTCAAGTTCTGAGGACGTTCTCGTCGCCTTGGAAGCTCGCGTGGAAGAGTTCTTCTTTCCCTTAGGTCTTCCTCGGCCTTTCTTGGCAGGTGCTTTCTTGGGTTGCGAGTTTTCGTCGTCAGCTTCAGCATCCTGGCTGGTGGGTAGAGGATCGGGCTCTATTTGATCTTCGACTTCCGGCCGTGGTTCTGGTGCGACTTCCAGCTCGGCGTCGACAGAAGCTATGGATGTCCGTTCTGACTTCCGTCCACGCTTGACCTTGGGAGCTGGTTCGGGTTTTGAGGGCGCATCTACTTCGAGAAGGCTACTAGAATCTTGTTGCTTTCGAAGACCGTTTGACATCCGTTTGAGACCACGCTTAGCTTTATTTTGCTCTTGCACCACAGGTGTAGACTGATCAAGATCTTCTGCGAAGTTATCGACAGATTGCTCAAGCTCGTCTTGGAGTTGTGCAGACACTTCGCTGAGTCGTGCTTGCGCAGCCGCTTCCGCATCAGGGGTCTGTGGTATTAGAGGCACTTCGTCTGCTCCGTGTTCTATGCTGGGCTCCATTTCCGGTTGTGGTTCTGATTCAGGTTGCGTCTTCGGCTTTCTCGTTCGACTCGCCTTCTTCGGCGGAGGTTTATCGATTACGCTGATCTCAATCACAGAAGAATCGAGGACCGTAGGTTGCTTAGAGCCGCGGCCTGTTCTACTTGGCCCCTTTGCTTCCGGTGCTGATGCTGCCTCTGCCTCTACTTCCACCTCCTGTTCAAGGTCAGTATGATGAATTTCGACATCCTCTCCATTCGTGACCTTCTTCTTGCTCCTGCTGCTCTTTGCGACTGCTTTTGTCTTGGCCGTCTTCTTCTTGCCCTTCGTCGTAGTTGCCGATGAAGCTGTCGTGCCTGCTGTCATGATGCTATCATCCACATGTGCGAGACTGCTATTCATCGGAATGTCTCCAAAACTATCATGTAGACTTTGCGCATCGCTTGCTGCAGTCATCGCGCTCTGCGTGCTCATTCTACTAGCCTTGCTTGCGGTGCTGCCTCTAGCCTTACTCTTAGCCCTGCCCTTCTTCGGAGGCTCCGCAGATCCATGATAATGTTCCAGTAGCGAGAAGAATGGACATTGCGGCTCTCGTCGCTTGTGCTCCACGAAGGGATCATCTTTGGGCTCCCAGCCGTCCAGACTCAAATTACAGTAGAAGCAAGTAACTCCATCTGGCTCATCACCCTCGGGACTGGGATCCCAACACCATCCCGCCTCCACAAGCTTGTTCACTTTGCACTTCCACCCTTTCTTGGACTCGTGTGGCCAGCCATTTCCCGTTGTGAAGGTCTGCTTTCGTGCTGTGTACAATTCATCGCTCAGGGGATCGCGTGTTTCTGGTTCCTGGGTGGAATCTTCGTCTCTGGTCACGCTGATCGCTGTCGCCCAAGCGCAGTAGGCAGAGTGGGCCAGATGTTCCGAGACGGGATCGTCGCTCTCCTCCCAGCCATCGAGCTTAACGGTGCAGTGGAAGCATTGGACGTTATCGTTCGAGTCGGAGGCGGGGCGGTAGAAGAAGCCCGCGCGGGCGAGCTGTCGCGTCGATTAGTACATGAGATTTGCGTTAATACCATGTGCAGTGACATACAGCCTCCTTGGAAGGGTTCGCGTGAGGCCACTCGACTGTGTTTCCAGCTTTCCTCTTGCTGGTATTAGAGCTGGCGCGTCGCTTGGTGAGCTGTTGCGGCTGGTCGAATGTCGCCAGTCGCGCAACGAACGAGTTCATGTCGCTGGAGACTGCCGGCATGGCCATATACAGCTGGAGAAAGGACAGGTAGTGAGCGTCGGCGCGTGGAACAAGACTACAAGTGCATCGAATGGGAAACGGGCGTGTTTATTCGCGTTGTTTACACGGACGGAAGCGAGCGGGACGTGCCGTCGGTACCGCTAGCGCAAGGTACGTCAGAAGGCAGCTGCGACGGATCGATGGGATGCAGGCCGAAAGTTGATGAAGGAAAGAGCCAGCTCACTCTCACCTTCATGCCCTCACTCTCTCTTTCTCTCTCTTTCTCTCTCACACACACAGACTGCGCATGCCATGCCCTTTTGCTTCTGCCCTTCTCTTCTCTTTCATAACCCTCGATCACAAGGTAGCTCACAATATGTCGTAGACTAGCGACTATGGAAACACCATTCCCGTAAAGACACGGCACCACTACCCACACATTGCCCTCCATACCCACCTCAAAAATGTCTCTTACTCAAAAGCTGGCCGTATGTTGCCCCCAATTCCTACCAAAAACATTCCGAGATCAGAGGCTGATTGTTATACAGAAATCGCCAGTATTTCATTCCTTACTCGGTGCGAACAGCTTCTTCCTGGCCGATGCAGCATGGCAGTCCCGGCCTGCATACGTTCGATCGACTTATCCGACACGATCCTTCTCGCTCGGGCGAACGCTACGGGATCAGAAGGAGGCTCAGCCCAGCTCTCCAATCGACTCGACCGAGAGCGCAGCCAGTAGTAGCAGTGACAATGGCAGTCGAAGTGGCAGTGATGGGTCTTCAGTACGAAAACAAAAGTCTGCGCAATTGGACAAGATGAAGAAGAAGAATTCCGCGTCGGGTGACGCGGCAGGAGCAGAAAGCACTGCCGCAGATAGTCCCATGCAGAGTCTACCTCCTGGGTGGGAAGAGAACGCTGACTATAACATCAGCAACTTCTCCGATCTACCCCATCGTTTCTTTGGGTACAACCAGCACATCAAGATCAATGAGGATTTCAAAGAATCTTTACGACAGGTGCTGTGGCAGTTCCGAGCACCTATACGCTATGCGTTTGCCTATGGGTCTGGTGTATTTGGTCAAAAGTCCTCAAGTTCTAGCACTGCCGGTGAATCGCTGAGTCCACATCCGAACCCTCCCAAGGCCGTGGAGGACTGGCAGAAGGGGGGTGCAAAGATCATCGACTTTGTCTTTGGTGTCAGCCACACGCAACACTGGCATAGCTTGAACTTGCAGCAGAATCCACATCACTATTCGGGCCTCAGACACATGCCCTTCAGCTCGGGTCTCGTGTCGTGGATGCAGGATGGTTGGGGGGCTGGTCTGTACTACAATCCCTACATCACCGTCAACGGAATCATGATCAAGTATGGTGTCGTACACCTTGATACTCTCGCCAAAGACTTGACCGATTGGAACACACTCTACCTAGCTGGCAGGCTCCAGAAGCCTGTCAAGATTCTCCGCGACGACCCTAGGATACGATTGTCAAACCAGGTCAACTTGATCTCGGCGCTACGAACCGCACTTCTCATGCTGCCAGAACAGTTCACAGAGAAGCAGCTTTACGAGCGCATCACAAGCCTTTCGTACCTTGGAGACCCTCGAATGCACTCCATGATCGCATCCGAGGCACCAAACAAGGTTTCGAACATTGTGGGCGCGCAACTCCCGGGCTTTCGACAACTCTATGTTCCACTGATCGAGAATCTGCCCAATGTGAACTTCACCGACCCCCGCACACCACACTTCTACGGATGGGAAAAGGAAGATGCCATTCGTCACACTGGCACCATCTCCCAGCTCCGAGATGTCCTTGGCGGCCAGGATGGTCTGACACTCACCCAAGACATGGACCCACAAAAGCGCGGCAACATGGTCCGGCGTCTGCCCCAAGACTTTCGAAGAAAACTCTACTATCAATATATGAAGAAGTTCCAGCTTCCTGGCTCTGCCTTTGACGACATTCTCAAATCACAGGAAGATGAGGACCCTACTGGTTTCAAGAGGAGAGAAGGCGGTTCTTTTGAAAAGCGAATTGCAAGTTCCCACGATCTCCCTGAGGTGATGGCTACTTGTGTGAAGAAGACGGTGGCCTGGCCTGCAGCTATGCAGTCTGTCAAGGGTGTTTTCACGAGTGGTCTGACCAGGAGTATTAAATATGTGGGAGAGAAGAGAAGTAAGGGAAAGGCGAAGAAAGCTGCAGCGGCTGAGATGAAGAAAGAGGGGGTGAGAGTGGAGGAAGCCTCTGAGGAAAAGGAGGAGGAAAGTCCTGCTGCCGAGAAGAGAAGACAGTTGTTGAAAGAAGAGGCCGAAGACGACGAGAAGACAAACTACAAAAAGCGGTCCGAATAGGTGGATTGCTTTGATCATTGTGGCTGTTGCTGCATGAAACGGTATAGATGACTCCTTTGCTCGGAAGCAATAGGACAGGAAAGTGCAAAGGCAAAAGCACTTGACCATGATGCTTGCCTCTTGGCAGGCCGAAGAACGACAGCAGATTGTCGAACACCGCGTATTGCCCGCGGGACTGTAAATACTGATCAGTCGCAAAAAGCCATTGAACAAACGATGTCGTCTTAATTACTTGTCTCACCCACCTCTTCCTGCAGGTCTAAGGTAAGCTCTTTTTTTTTAGCTCTCGGCTTGGAAGTTCTCACAATCGAATAGATGGTGGATAAACATCATTGGTGATTGCAGGCGGGGAGGGAGGAAATCGGATGGATCAAACTTGAACTGGTTGTACCTACGAAAAGAAGCTGAATTGACAAATCCTCCCGTACGTGTACATCTATATTATCAAGACCAGGACCCTTATTCTTATTCTTCCTCTTCTGAAGTTGCATGTTCTTCTTCAGAAGCAGTACCACCACCACCACCTCCTCCTCCTCCTCCACCTCCTACTTCTCAGCCACCACCACCCTCTTTACCTATGGCCCGCTCGGGGGGTCGACTTTAGGAACATCATCAGCCGCAGTTGTCACACCATTTGCCTGAATCATCTGACCAGTCATCCCATTTCCAACATTTCCCCTGTGCTTCTTACCATGCCGATGATGCCGCCTCTTCGGCTTCCCAGGCACCTGCTCACCAGTGCCGCCATTCTGCGTACCGCCATTTTGCTCACCAGTGCCGCCGTTCTGCGTACCGCCATTCTGCTCACCAGTGCCGCCGTTCTGCGTACCGCCATTTTGCTCACCAGTGCCGCCGTTCTGCGTACCGCCATTCTGCGTACCAGTGCCGCCGTTCTGCGTACCGCCATTCTGCTCACCAGTGCCGCCGTTCTGCGTACCGCCATTCTGCGTACCAGTGCCGCCATTCTCCGTACCAGTGCCACCATTCTGCGTGCCAGTGCCGCCATTCTGGGTGCCAGTGCCGCCATTCTCCGTACCAGTGCCCCCATTCTGCGTACCAGTGCCGCCGTTCTGCGTACCAGTGCCGCCATTCTGCGTACCAGTGCCGCCATTCTGGGTACCAGTGCCGCCGTTCTGCGTTCCAGTGCCGCCATTCTGCGTGCCGCCGTTCTGCTCACCAGTGCCGCCATTCTGCGTACCAGTGCCACCATTCTGCGTGCCAGTGCCGCCATTCTGGGTGCCAGTGCCGCCATTCTCCGTACCTGTGCCCCCATTCTGCGTACCAGTGCCGCCGTTCTGCGTACCAGTGCCGCCATTCTCCGTACCAGTGCCGCCATTCTGGGTACCAGTGCCGCCGTTCTGCGTTCCAGTGCCGCCATTCTGCGTGCCGCCGTTCTGCTCACCAGTGCCGCCATTCTGCGTACCAGTGCCGCCATTCTCCGTACCAGTGCCGCCATTCTGGGTACCAGTGCCGCCATTCTGCGTACCCGTGCCGCCGTTCTGCGTGCCAGTGCCGCCATTCTCCGTACCAGTGCCGCCATTCTGGGTACCAGTGCCGCCGTTCTGCTCACCAGTGCCCCCAGTCTGCGTACCAGTGCCCTCCTTCGTCTCACCAGTTCCCCCAGTCGTCGTACCACCATTAGTAGTCGCCCCATTCTCCTCGCCCGCAGGAGCACCACTACACGCAGGGAATTTCGTCGCCATTCCTTGACCACCATGGCAAGAATTTTTATTCGTGCTCTTCAACGATCGCCCATGGCTTGAGCCTTCCATGCCCGTGTACGGTTGGCAAATGGAGGCGATGTTTTCCCCGCAGTTGTTTTCGATTTGGGCTGTGTCTCCGCTGTTTTGAAGGGTTAGCGGGTGGGGGTTTGTGGGGAGAGATGGGGAGATGATGGATTCGGAGGGAGGGATGGGATGGAGAGGAAGAGGAAAGGGGGAAAGGAAGAGGGGAAAGGGAGAGGACAAAGGGAGAGGGAAAGGGAGAGTATGGTTGTAAATGAGTTTGGAGGGTGAAAAGGGGACAGGGGGGGAAAGGGAAAGGGAAAGGGAGAGGGAAAGGAAAAAAGGGGGGAAAAGCGAAATACTCACAAATTCGGATTGATGCCAGCAACATCATTCTTGACATTGTGAATTTTATTATTCTGTATAATGACCTGTCGTGGCGAGTGCTCTTTGTTGTTGGGGCAATTCCCGCAGCTGCGGTAGAGATGGCTGATGCCGTAATATTCGCCTCCGCGAATGGTGACGGTGCCTGAGCCATCGTGTTGGACGAATTTGTTGGGTGCGTTGTTGGCTCCTCCGCCAACGATGAGGGCGTTGCCTTTTCCGTAGACTTGGACGGCTTCTGTTGATACCCAACTCGTAGTTTTGTGATTAGCGGATGTTCTTTTTGACTTTGGCTCTTGGAGATGATGACGATGACGACGATGATGATGATGATGATGACGATGTGGGTGTGAATGCGGAAGTGGTGATGATGATGATGATGATGATGAGAGGAAGAGGAAGAGGAAGAGGAAGAGGAAGAGGAAGAGGAAGAGGAAGAGGAAGAGGAAGAGCAACTCACCATCACAAACACTTCGAAACCAGACATTCGTCAAGGTACAAGAACCCAAACAAAAGACGCCACTGATTTGCTTCGTTCCAAAGATGACATTCGAGATGGAAGCACCATCTTCCAGGATAAACGTTGAGGCCGAATCATCGTATTCCTTGGACGGATCGCAATTCACTCCACGGTCAAACTCCCACATTTTGAAGTCATTGGCCCCTTTGATCATTTTCGGGGCGCTGAGAGCTGTGTATCCCGCGGATTTGGGAATGGCGACCTCGGCATAACAGAATTGTGCCACTGCGAGGGCGTTGAAAAGGGACCGGAGACGGGCCATTTTGAATGAAGAAAGAGAGGATCTTGATGTTGATTTTTTTGTTGTTGTTGTTGGTTTGTTTTTTTTTGTTTGTTGGTTCTTCTTTTCTTCTTTTCTTCTTCGCGAATTTATTTCTGGTGGTCCAGCACGCAGAGTGAAAGAGAGATGGCGAGAGAGGGAGAGAGGTGAGGTGAAGTGTGGTTGCGAAAAGGTTTGTGGCAGGTACACTCTTATAATCCCAACATCCTGGACCTGCACGTTTCGGGCATGGTAAACTGTAACACTGGTAGAACTCGCTTGTAATAGGACACAACAACAAGCAGACTATTATCCCTGTGGTCCTCGTAATCCCTTCCTGTATACGCCAATGTTGCGCCAGGAACTCAGCTGCTTGTTGGCAACATCAGCAGCAGCAGCAGCACAATCAGCAACATCAGCAGCTTTGGATCAAAAAAAAAAGACGATTTTGTACATACTTTGAGTAGGCACTACTGTTGTCTGTACCAACACGTCGGCAGATGGATAAATGGATAGATGGATGCTTGGATGATTGGATGGATGTATGAATGGATGAATAGATAGATAGACGGATGCTGAAGCCTGAATGCGATAACCTTGAGTTTAATTCTGCGAGCCAGATCGGTGAAGAACATGATAATCCTAGTGAAGATCAAGCGTCTGGACTCTGCGAATGCCAGGACCGACTTTCTTACTCTCCTTTTCTGCCTGCAGACAACCATGCCTACGGCCCAGGGCCATTTATTTCTCCAGTTTACATACCCTTCTTTCCGGGAACCTCGCCACGAATCGTACTATCGTAGCACGAAGTCGTATACATTCGTAACCACCGTAGACACCAAAAAACAAGGGGGATACGCAACTTGCCCATAACATTCATGGGCAAGTTGGCAAGCCACAACTGGGGGGTAAAAGAGGGCACCAACCTTGTCTTTTTGTTATGTAGAGAGCGCTCTAGGCCCTCGGATTTTTTGTCGATCAATTAAGATCAAGGTCGAGACGAATCTGTAGAAAGCCCTTTCTTGTTTTCTATCGAAGAAGGCATTTTGCTATTAGCCTAGACACAACCCCCAACCAAACCCCTGGAGCGTATGAAACCCAAAAACGTCGTCCCGTGGAGAAAGACAGGAAGAAAAGAAGGTTGCTGGCGACGATGATGATAATGATAATGATAAAGACAGTGATAACAGAATTTGATAAAATATCGAGCGAAAGGCATCAGGGGAGGGAAGTGAAGTGAAGTGAAGTGAAGTGTTGTTGCTTGTTGTATGAAAGTTGGAAGGATTTCACCCGGTGCTCGGGATGATCCTTGTTTGCATCTAGAACACTCTCGAACAGGTCGGTAACCGGTTGTAGTTTTTTCCCGTTCCGTACCGTATAAGCTTGCTACCTCTACTACCTCCACCTCCCGGCAAGGGGGGCGGATACTACCTCCGGGAAGTGGGGGTGTAACAGAACGTACCTGAAGAGTGAAGACTATTCACTCACTTTACTCACTCACTCACTTTCTATACTATTTTAACCAGAAAAATTTATATATACACACATATACCCAATGCGATCCCAACAAACCAACCACCTTACCAAACTCAACAACAGACAACAAAAAACCAATATACCTCACAAATCAGCCTATTCATACAGATACCTTAGGTACCTACTTTAAGCGCGCGCGCCCCCCCTCTCGTATTACCAAACGTAGCCCATAGAATCCACTAGTCACAAGATCTCTCTCCCGGGGTACATCGAAGAAAGAAAGACGAAAAAGGCTTGTATTGGGCTAGGGCTAGAGGATTGAGCCCTGTATTGTTACATTTTTCTTTTCTTTCTTTTATTTTTATTTTTATTTTTTATTCTTTTTTTGGTTGAATATATATCTACAAGGTAGAAAGGATAGGTACTCACTAAGCGAGGTAGGTAGCAATAATCAATCAATCAATCAATCAATCAAATACTATCATTATAATCATCATCATCATCATCATCATCATCATCATCATCATCATCATCATCATCATTATCAAAGAAAAAAAGAAACAAAAAGCGCAAAAGCAACCTAGTAGATACCGAGGCATAACATATACCTGTACGTAGGTAGTATGTAACTACCCAACGTAGCTAGGCTAGGTAGTGTCTAGGTACCTATTTATGTACCTTACCGTACACCACCTGTATCCATAGAACGACCTAGATAAAATGCTCAGAAAGACGACCAAAAGACAACAATTTCTCCATCCAACCTCCGTAGCGAGCTGCAAGAAAGCCACCTACATTAGGTTTAGAACTTTAGATACCTATGTTTGATATTGATTGCAAATACGGATCTATCATCAGCGCTAAGGGCTCGAGTTTTTTTGTCTCATGTATATACGAGGATATATACCTACCCCCTGTGTATAAGAGAGGAAGAGGAAGAGGAATGTTTGTGTATGTTTTTGGGGGCGAGGGAGATTTATACCTATTTGAGGTTTGAGTTGACTTTTGAGGTTTGGGTGAGAAGGGAGATGGGAGATGGGAGACGGGGAAGAAGAAGAAGAGGGGAAACGAGTTCGTGGAAAGGATGGAATTCGATCTCTCTCGCTGTCTCTCTCTCTCTCTCTCTCTCTCGCTATGCTATGATATGCTCTATAGTAGACTTTTGTACAATGTGATCCACTACTCTCTCATCTCTCATCCATCCCATCTCACCCCTTTTCCCCTTTCCCATTCCCCATTCCCCCTTCCCCCTCACCTCCATCCCCACCCCCACCTATTTCCCCTCCTCCCAATCCTCCCGAATCATATCCGCCGCCTTCTCGGCAACTCCATACAACGAACTACTCAAATGCGCACTCAACTGAATCGGCACCACACTCGCATCCACCACTCTCACATTCTGCGTACCATAGACCTGCAATCTCGAACTCACCACACCGCCCAATTCCCGCTTCATCATCGCGCAACTCGCCACATAATGCCACACACTCGTGAACGAACTCTTGATCCACGCCTCCCAGACGGAGTCGTCCGCGCCGCGAGGCACAACGTCGTAGCCCGGCGTGATTTCACTTTCGACGTAGTCGCTCAGCGGCGCTGTTTCGAAGACGGCGCGAGAGGCCTTGTTGATGGCGATTTGGAAGGCGAGGTCGAGAGGGTGGAGGAAGTAGTGGGGGTTCACGACCGGGTGGGTCCATGGGTCAGAAGAGTGGATGTGTGCGGTGCCGCGGGAGAGGACGATGAGGTTCCAGTTGTCGATGCCGACTTGGGTGTAGTCGGAGTTGACGGTGAAGAAGGCTTCGGCGGCGGCGGAGTCGGTGGTGGTGAAGAGGTTTTGGATTTGGGCGAGCAGGATGAGTTCGGTGGAGGAGAGGTTAGAGGAGACGAGGGATTGTTCGGTGAGGAGGGTGGAGAAGGAGTTGACGGTGGAGATGGCGTCGAAGAACCAGGATTGGGCCGAGGAGTTGCCCAGGAGCTGGTGGGCAGAAGGGAAGGCGATGGCGGAGGATGGACCGGTGCCGTTGCCAAAGTCGATGCCTGCGCGAGGTTGATAGAGGACGGTGTTTTTGGTCTGTTCTTGGACATTCTTGCCTACACCAGAGAGTTCGAGTTGGACATCGATGCCGGCTGCGCTCAGAACTTCGGGGTCGCCTACACCAGAGAGCTCGAGGATCTGAGGGCTTTGCAAGCTCCCGGCTGCGAGGAGAACCTCTCGTCCGGCTTGGACGTATTGCACCGGGGAGGTGGGTGAATGCTGGAAGTGTACACCTGCAGCACGAAGAGGCGCACCAATGCTATCGCTAGAGGTTGATTCCCAGACAATTTCGGTGACACGATGTCCCGTCAGAATGACAAAGTTGTTCCTCTCCTCCACCTGGTGTTGAGCGTACGTCGTGAAAGGGCTCGAGCGATTCTGGTTCTCATCCGAGTGCACCATATTGGGAATGATGGTTCCACCAGTAGTCCGTCCAGAGGCAGCATCAGGGTTGCGAGTCAAGCCAGGCCAAATCTTCTCGGATGCTTCGAGCGCCGGTACTTGCGTGCCACCATACATGCCAGCACCAAATGAGACTTGCACAGATCCATTGAAGCCATGGGCGGTAGGCTCATAGTCTGCACCCTTCGTGACCTGCTTGTCCAGCTCGGGCGTGTTGAAACCCTCCGCTTTCAACATGTACGGGTTGAACTCATCCCAGCCCCAACTGTCATCGCCCGTCAGAAGCGGGAGGATATCATACTGGGAAGCTGCTCCTTTGGTCCACGAAGCGCCGTTGATGGAGCCACTCCCACCGAGAGTCTTGCCAGCGACGAGGAGGAGGGAGGCATTGTTCTGCCATGGGATTGGCGTCGAGTGGATCTGGTGGTCGAGCTCTGTTGTGTTGAAGGCTGCTCCGTATGTGCGGACATCAGAGACACGCGGATCCTCGTGCATATCATAACCAACCTCAATCACCAGGACGGATACGGCTGGATCCTCGGTGAGACGGCTCGCCACCGTGAGACCTGTGAGACCACCGCCTGTGCTGGAGTCAGCCTGATCCTTTCTTGGATGATTCCTCTCTGCCAGTTGATCTCTGGATGACGATCAAGATATATATATCAGGTATACATATATATATATATAATGTCGAGGTACATACCAGCGATGACATAATCGAAAGTCTGATTCGCAATGGCTGCCGTATCGTTCGTGATGCCATGAGTGAAGCCATTTCTGGTCACTCTGGCAATGTTGGCGGGTAGTGCAGCTGCTACAGAGCTGGAGAGAGTGAGCCCGAGCAACGTTCGTGGATAAATCATCGCAACCGCAACTGCAACCGCAAGCACAGGTGTTGTCGTGGACAATCTTTTGCTGAGGGGATTATTGATGATGCAAGTCGGATCTCTGGTCGTGGACAGTTACGGTGCAGAATGGCGCTTCTTAAATCTTCAGTTGAGCCGCCCCAAGCTCATGTCTCTGCCGCAGGACGCCCAGCATAATTTTTTTTTGTTCATGATGTTGATTTGTTTACTTTCATCATCATCATCATCATCATCTTATCAAATCGGCTTCACTCTTCCTGGTCCGGTGAGACTGGGCTGCCCAATCATCCCACAGTATGATTATCCAGTTCGCCGCGGATTCCTTTCGCCACTCAATTGATTCGACTACACTGCCCATCCATAGCTACCTACCTATCCACATGGTGACAAGACCAGTGCAAGAGGCATGCATAAGCGCAACACATTAGAACACAAGGCAGAAGGGTGTAGTCTCTCGCATGACGAGAGAGCGGCGGATGTATCGATAGAGGATTGCTTGTTCTGGTAGCCAAGATGGCGCTGGGCAAAGCTTGAGGAGGTGAAACGTGCGCTGAAGCGGCCCAAGATATGTGCTGATGGGCGTATTGGAGGTATGGCGCCAAGAGTTTTCCGGGCTTGTCGTGGCGGTATTATGTTCTCAACGTTGGCAGACGGTGCACACTATTTCATCTTATCATGAGGTCAGACCGCAAGAGATCCGAGCAGGCCGATGGCGGTCCTAGCTGCATACGGAGTTGAGAAGTCAGAGCAGCAAGTTGCTTCAGCCCTAGGTAAGCTGACGAAGCTGTCTTGGTATGTATGTAATCCTCTCATCCTGTTGCCTGCGGCTGTATACCGGTGTGTGCCTGGCATCGACGGTGAACTGCCGTTGACAAACATGCTCAGCTATCGACTATGGTGCATGTCAGCAGGGAATAATATGGTAACCAGAGCATCCGCCGTAGAAGTCTCCCAACCAAATCTGGACATATTCGCCCAGCTGGTGGTATAGCTCGCGCATACGTACATTACCATGCCAGTGGATCCGTCACAAAAGCAGTTCGAGACTCCCCGAATCCAGCCAGTGCAAGGATCGGGGCACTCTACTCTGAATGCCGCCGCCCATTCGGCCAATTTCTCAAAAGAAAAAAAAAGAGACCAGAATCCCGCTGGAAGTCTAGTAGCAGACTTAAGGGGGGAAGGGGAAAGGGGAAGACGGGACCCGATCGCCATGGTCCAAAAACGACATCCTGGAAATACCTATACCTCCTTCGTATGCCATGAGGGGAGGGAGATAGAGAGAGAGTGAGAGAGAGTGAATTGTGCAATTTTCAGGTATAAGCCATTACCAAACCACACCAGGCAGGGCAATGCGATATGCTTGGCAATTACATCTGCCAAGGCATGTCAGTCCCCATAACATGTACCTAGGAGCTAGAGGTACAAGCATCGAAACAACAGAATACCTGTACCTTAGTACTCTTCTATTTCTTTTCTTTTCTTTTCCTTCTAGCGCGCAAAGATAAAACGTTGAATTAATATGGGGTGAGTTGTTATGCGTCAATTGGCATGCATTATTTGCTCACGCTTGCTATTCCGCCGAAAAGGAAAAGAAAAAGAAAGAAAAAAAAAAGACACAAATGCACCGAGAGATAGGAAAAATCCTCCGACTCTTTTTTCTCTTATCTGGTTTTACTTGCTATCCACCACTACTACGATGTATACTGTCTCTGCAGCAACTTGGCAATCGTAGTCAACTGGATATTACTCGTGCCCTCATAAATCTGCCCAATCTTACTGTCCCTCCAGTACTTTTCCGCCAGTCCCTCCCTCACAAAGCCCATGCCACCCATCCATTCAATCGCTTGTCCCGACACTTTGCCCGCCACGTTGGAAGCGTACAATTTGGCCATGGCAGCATCCATAACAAAGTCTTGCCCTGCCTCCTTCTTTCGGGCGGCGTTGTAGACGAGTGCTCGCGCAGCCGTAATTTCCGTCCAGGCCTGCGCGAGTTGATGTTGCATGCCCTGGAATTCGCCCACGAGGGTGCCAAATTGCTTGCGATCATTCCACACGTATTTGGCCGCGTTCTCGAACGAGCCGAGGGCGAGGCCGGTCATTTGTGCAGCGATTCCTGGGAGTTGCTGTTAGCGATTGTGCATCTTTTTCAGACATGTGTAGAAGAATGTGACTGGGGGGACTCACCAATACGCCCTTCATTCAGCAAGCCAATGGCATATTTGTATCCATCACCTTCCTTGCCCAACAAATTGCCGTGAGGAACGGTACAATCATCAAAATCAATCACGCACGTCGACGAAGCCTTGATACCCAACTTCTTCTCCTTCTTCGCAATCTTCAATCCAGGATTCTCCTTGTCCACCAAGAACGCCGTGATGCCCTTGTATCCCTTCTCAGGGAACAGATTCGCAAACACAATGAAGAAGCCCGCTTCCATCGAATTCGTAATCCACATCTTCGATCCATTGATAATGTAGCTGTCCGACGTCTTTTCCGCCTTCGTCTTCATCGCAAACGCATCACTCCCACTCGCGGGTTCACTCAAGCAGAAACTCCCCACCGTCTCCGTCGCCAGTCGCGGCAGCCACTTCTTCTTGCTCTCTTCACTCCCCCATTTCAGGATGGCAGTATTGACGAGCGTGTTGTGTACATCACACATTACACTGACAGAAGGATCCACTCGGGCCAACTCTTCGATCCCGACAATGGCGGACGTGAAGTTCATTCCCGCGCCGCCGTATTTCTCGGGAATCTCGATGCCCATGAGGCCCTGCTCAAAAAGTTGCTCAACAATTTGGGGATCCATCTTCTCGGCTTCGTCCATCTCGCGGACTTTGGGGAGGATCATGTCGTTGGCGAATTTTTGTACGGACTCTTGCATGGCCAGTTCCGTCTCAGACAGGTGGAAGATGGGCGTGGGTGGGAGCGAGTCGAGGTCAATGCTATCGTGGTCATTGCGGCGAGAGGGAGTGGTCGAGAGGCAGCGCGAGGCGGCTGGAGCTGGTCGTGATGACCGTGTCGCTGTGAAAGATGTAGTAGTACAGCGGTGGAGAGAGGCGCGGGCGGTGCATTGTGGCGTGGCTCGAGCCAGAGGGCGGAGAGTCTTTGCAAGTGAGGCCATGGTATTGTAGTTAGGGAGGATGTATGTGCATGTACGTGGAGAGGGCGGAGGCGAAGAGCGGTGGCGTGGGCGTGGACGTGGGAGAGTGTATATCGATCATGACAGTAATAAGATATTATTGGAGGTTCATATGCAAATCGTAGAGCCGCATCTAGACGCCATTGCCGACGTGGTACCATGTGCATAGCCGAGGATCGCTCACATGTGATTGTGTTTAGCTTTCATCTTCCGAGTCATTAGTCAATTAGTGGTAATTGTCCGAGTCAATATTACTCAAATCTGGACCCTCGTCTGCTCCCTCCACAAATCCCCCAACCTCCATCTGACCCTCCCCGTGGGCATCTCTCCTTGCTCTCTCCTTTCTCTCTCCTTTCCCTTGCACCCTCCCCCCTTTTTTGTGTTATTTTACTGTACCAGTCAGTGCAAGTCACCAAAGTAGAAAGAGAAAGCCAGGCCAGGCACAAAATTCCGCGGTACCACAGTACCGTCCCCGTGTCTCTCCCCTACCGTACGTGAGCCGCACGTTCACAGTAAAATCAGATCCCGAAACATGCCGTATGCCTAATTCTAACGTGCTCTTGGCGCCAGAGTCGCGATTTGAGAATTCAAAAGGACCGTTCATCCCGCCAGCAACTCCGCCGGCTGTAGTGCAATGGAATGAAGACGCATGAGCACTGAGAATGAAGCTCATTCTGCTGTTCTAGGATCGAGTAATCTTAGCGGACTTCCATTTTCTCTGCTATGGCTTAGTCATGCATTTCCATACTGTACATCAGTCAGTCCACTCATACTGTATTGTACAGACACCATTCTGTGGCTGGTTCTCCGTTTGCAGTTGATATCACAATCCAATCCCATCCAGTTCCTGGAATGCATAGTTATTTCACCGCGGTCGAGTGAGCTGTTCATTGCTGCTGCTGCATGCTATCTAATCAACCGCTCTTATCCCAGATATCAACACCAAGAGCCTCCAAGACCGGACAAGGAAACTCGGAGCGTGGTGGACATCTTCATCGTCGACATTGTCGTCTTCTTTTTCAACTTCTTCTTCGTCATCATCATCATCATCATCATCATCATCATCTTCTTCTTCTTTTTCTTCCTATCACTCCCACTCCCGTCCCCGTCTCCGTCCCCACCCCCTCCGCCCCCCCTTCTCACCCTCATCCATCCGTCCCAAAACTCGCCTCCGTCATCAAACTCGGCGTAGGAGTCTGCGCCATCTCATAGCGTCCCTGTCCCTGTCCCGGACCCGGACCCTCTCCCTGTCCCTGGCGAAGGAAGAGAAGAAGTTCCGGATCCTGATCACCGAACAACAATCCCCCCACCCCTCCACTTCCCACTCCACCTCCCATTCCCTGCTGATGAGGATGCTGATGATGGTGATGGTGGCGCAGATGAGAATTCTCCAGCGGGAGAAATTCAAAACTGGATATTTCACCTGCTGCTCCAACTCCGCCTCCTTCTCCTCCTGGTTTGTTGACTCTGTCGCAAAGGACGAAAGAGGCGGGGGGAGCAGAGGGAGCAGAGGGAGGAGGAGGAGGAAGAGGAGGGGAGAGGAAATCTTCCGGGGTGGCTTGATGGTAGCCTTGGAGGTGAGGATGCTGGTAACCATGACCGTGCATGGAGTAGTCTTGTCGGTGTAGGAGTGGTGGTGGGGGTCGCTGTTGTTGCTGGAAGAGGTTCGGAGAGTTATTGTTATCATTGTCATCCTCTGCTTGGTAGATGGAGAAGTAGGGTGAAGAGGGAAGACTAGTGGGCGTGACGAGAGGGAATTGGCAGTTGGTGGCGTAGGAAGGCACGAAGCCTGGATGTGTTGCTGGCGATTGAGGTGTTGAGTAAGGACTACTCGTAGCGTAACCGTTCTGTCCTTGCTGCTGCTGCTGTTGTCGTGGAGAAGGGAAATTTGGGTGGTAGCGGTCTGAGCGGCGCATGTAGCGAGTTGATGACGTTGGGACGTTTGTGCTGACAGGTCCTCGATAGTTTTGTTGTTGTTGTTGCTGCTGCTGGCGCATACGACTGGCATCTCGAGTAGCTCGACCTCCTTTGGCGCCAGAAGCTTGACGGTTCAATGCTGGGACTGCGCGGCGCTCGGGCTTGCGTTTGGGGTCTTTACGGTAGCGGGTTGTGGATATGACACCGTCTCGTAAAGCTTCTTCGGTCAAGCGCCAGAGACTGCCTTTCTTGCTGGCGCTGGTTCGATCTGTGACGCGTTGAAAAGCCTGCAGAGACAGAGAAGAAGCACACGTTAGCCACAATAACACGAAAAGGAGCAGAAGGGACTGGAATTGCTCTTACAGCGTTCATGGACAGGTTGTGCCGAACACTATTCTGCCATCCTCTGTTGTTCGGATCTTTGGCCTTTTGACTGTGCTGAGATACCCAATCATACAACTCGCGAAGTGATAGTGTGTGTTGCGGCGCCTCTTTGAGGCACTTGTGAAGCAGCTGCGCGTAGCAAGGATCCGCGGAGTCCGCAACGTCTTCTTCGGCTTCGTCACTAAAAATGTTTTCGGGAGTGGGCACAGTCTGCTCCAGGTGTTGCCAGCCATTGGAGAAATTTTGCCTTCCATAGTCATCGCGCGCATCGATCGGCGAGGCATGATGGTCGACGAAGGCGCCCCCATCAAAGCGATCGATAGTGGGCACTACTATAGGATTCGAAGTCGGCGGCATATGGATACCGAGTCCGTCACCGCTATGGAATGTCATGGGCTGGTCAAATCGTGTGTCGGACATCCACTGTGGAGCGGGTTGAAGGGCGGTCTGCTGGTACCCGAAAGTGAGTGGGTCGGATCTCGTCGACCATGGCCCGAATGAGAGATGATTCATGTTCGAGTCGTATGTTGAAGAAGAGCTGGAGCTGCCACCGTTGGAAGACGCCAGCGGCGCGGCATGAATATTGTCTTGGTCCATAGCTCCAAACTGCGGCGCCAGCGAGTCGTCAAAGAGGAAGGACTCCATGCCCATTGCTGGTATGTTGGTGCCGTCGTCGTTCGTTTCTCCGAAGAGCTTAAGAATGTCGGCGGCTTGTTGGTCAAGCGACTGCGAAGGCTGCCGTGGATGGTCTGCTGGCTCTGTGACACCGCCGTCATCTGATCTGGCAGCGCCATGATCAATGGACGGCCATGAGGCTGTCTGAACTTCCATGATCGCGTCGCGTCGTGTGGTGTTGCGCGCCAAATGGGCGTGGTGGTGAGTAAGTGTGATGTGCAAAGTGAATGGATGCAGGGAGCTCGGGCGATTATCAGCGTCGTGACTGGTGCGTGGGCGGAGCGGTGTGGCACGAGTGGTTGACGACCGGGTAAGAGAAGTCGGCTTCTGTGATGCTTAACAATGGTCATGCACGTGTCCCACGAACGGCGAACAGTCAGATCGTTACCGAGCACAGTCAAGGGGTAGAATTGGGGAGAAGAGAGCGAGAAAGATATGGACAAAACCTACGATGCTGCAGCCTTTTGCAGTCTATTTGGAAAATGCCCTGGTCGCATCTCGCGCGTGCATCCAAAGGGTCATTGTCACGGATACACTCTTTGCTGTCGCCAGCGCATGCCCGTCCACATGGTCTTATTCTCGGCTGCACGCCCATGACTGCCGGCGCAGAAGCCATTGTGATCTGAGATGTGAGCCTCTGCCCGCGCTTTTGCACGCAAACAGTATCAATGAAGAGGCTCTGACGACCAACAGAGATGTCTTTGTCTGACAGAAAGACGACATCAGGAATAACCCTGCCTACATGGCATGGCCCGGGAGCCCGCCGACAGACTTATGCAGACACTGGATGGCGGCACCGGCACGCACAACGTCTGCTGGTGTGGTCATGGACCTGGGTCACACAGAGCGACACATGCGTGGTTGGAGCAGCTTGAAGGGTGACTCCCGCGTGTGCAGCAGTCCCACGGGCCCGCGCATACTGCCTAGGCTTCGGCCTTTTGTAATGGTAGTGCAATGCCGTCGCGGCTCTGGGAATGGCGCCCGCACGCACTGGACATGGACCGGGAATCTCAGCCTTCTAGAAGTGGTTCGCGCGGAAAAAGGCGCCCTAGACGGGTATGCAATCGTCAATGCCTTTTTGTCATGCTCCAACCTGCTCCGCTTGGTAGAACGACATGCAATGTTTGACGTTTGCTTTGGACTAGCTGATGGTATAAGGTGCGCCAGTCTGAGATGATCAACAGAGCCCCTCTCTGCTCAAGATTCGTCCCTGGCGGCTGTAATCCGTCCTGGTGTTGCACTCAGCGCAGGACAGAACACTCTGCCTCGCGCCACACATCATGCGCGCTCCCGGGCTTTGGGTGCATGTTCCCGCATGCACCCTGCAGCACCCATGCTCTCGATCTTTCGTGCGCCGAAAAAGTGTCTCAGATGGCGCTATTCATTGTTCGATCCGACTGCAGTGTGGTAAAAGGGCGCACAATCCTGTAGGGATGGGACCACGGCAGCTGTCAACGCTGTTGTGGTGAGTATTGCGTGTCTCGCGCCGTGATGCTGTCAACGTGAGAAGACAGGCACGAATGTGCAGTCGTCGCGCAGGCACAGCAGGTGTCAGAAAATGTTGATTCGTAGAGATGTCCTCGCTAGTCTTGACAGGCGCTGCGAAACGTGTGCAGCCACGTTCAGTGGCTGCAGCGCCCGCTGTCGATCCTGAAATATCGTGACACACCATTTCGTGGACTTTCGACACCAAGTACAGTTTCAGTGAGGAGGGGTCACTCAAAGAGGTGGCTGAGTGCAGTTTCGTGGCCTACTTTCTGTAGTAAATCTGTAATCACGTGGTCAGTCGAAGTGGCACGCACGACTTCGCCGAGCCACTTACCTTTTTGAACATGAAGTAAAGCTGTAATATGCCCTGGTCAAAACGTCAGTTTCGTTCTCGTTGTCCGGCCCACTTTCGTGTGTTGCCGATCCCAATGCTCATGTCCAGATTCATGCGCGACACGAATGTAGAAATAGAGGTCGATGCATACCTTGTCAAAACTGCTCCTGAACCCGCGCTCGCGTTTGGCACTGTAATCCCACTCCTTGTCCACGATGCGAAAGGCAATGTCTTCATAGGGCGGACCGGCAGTGAAACGGATCAAGCACGTGTCATCCTCTCCTGCTGGTGCCAACGTCTCTCCTCGCCTCCTGCCGTTCTCACGCTCGATGCGATAAGTGGGCGCTTTCGTTTTGTCCACCAGATCCGGGAAGAAGACGTTGAACCTGTATCCCTGTACGACCCTTGGTGGAGGATTATCGTGGTCGTAGTGGGTTTGATTATACTTATTCCACTCGTATCCGAGCAAGACTCTGTTGAAATATTTCGGTTTCCGAGGCCGATGTTGCTGGGCCCATTGAGCGCGGTTTTTGGTAATGACTTCCACTTCCTGAGCGAAGAGCTCTTCGTTCTCGCTAAGGCCTCGCGCCACTTCACGTTCAAAAGCAGATTGGAAGGGAGCTGTTTCGCCGCCATCGGTTCGGGCGCGCTTTGCGATGTGTCCTCCACTACCCAATGCTGCAGACTCCTTGCGGCACGGCAAAAACCCTGTTGTCAGCACCTTTCGCCTATCATCAGCCAATTGCTGCGCAAACTCCTTGGCGGTCATTGCGGTCAATGACTTGTCTTCCGGACGCAATCGCAACAGCGACTCTGGGTCGAGCGCATGTCTACCAGCTTGGTCGACAGGATCTGGAGCTACTTTGCCGTCACCAGAGTTCTCCAGATGAGCTAGTAACCGTGACTTGAGTTCTTCCGCGTCCGCGACTTGCTGTTTGCGCAAACCGCCAGACCGCGCTTCCAGGATCGATTGAGACACTTTTCGCAGTCTGGCTCGAGCTTTGTAAGTGAGCAAACTCTTCAACAGGTGTTCCCAGTAGTCAGTATCAATTGGCTCATTGGATGAGAGCTTGCCCCGGATTTGTCGTTCCAATTTCTCTAGTTCTTCCAGAGTTTTGGGACCGAGAAGTTTGTCCAGATCTGATGCTACGGCGCTTACACCTCTCGCGGTCGATTGTGCGCCCTGAGCGCCCTTTCGTCGATCTTTGCAGATAGTCTTCATCATCTAGCGGTCTGTCAGCATATTGAAAAAGTTGACCAACGGACCCATCGCGCAGGAGACACACTTACAGTCCAGTAGTCATGATTGCTTTTGCTCTTCTCCAGCGTGACGTATGTGTCGATACCCTTTTCTAGTTCCCCTAATTGTTCATCGTTCAAGCCTTCGAACACTGCTTCGGGGTCCACCGTCTCCAGCTCATCGACATCCACGTCGTCGCCCAGCGGATTGCGCTCGGGGTCGATGACCGCCAACGTCACTGCCAACCAGTCTATCGGCTGGGCTCTGCCGCCTCTTGCTCTAATGGCTGCCTTCTTCTTCGACTGCTGTAGCACGAATCGGTCCTCGTCTGCCACCCACGCATCTTCTTGGGCATCCGCCGATCGCTTGCTGGGTATCGTGGAGCGTGACATTCTCGCGCAAGCTTCGCTCCTGCAGGGGAGATGGATGGTGCTACGTTGCTCGCGGCTTCAGTTGCAGGTTATTCGAGCAGATGCGGAGTAGTCGGTTATGGACGTAATTCGCGAATGTTCACAAACAATTCTCGGTGAAGTCAGTGGCAGTGGTCGAGTGAGGATGGGAACTTGTGATTACGTCAGCAATCGCTCGGATCTATCCGATAGCAACCCCGTGCACTGCACTCCACCGTGGTTTTCGCGTCTTCCTCGACAACACGCATCATGTTGATTCGCAGACAGTATGACCATCGTGCGGCCGTGGAAGTCGCTCGCCATCGAAGGCGACTATCCCCCGCTCTTCTTGAAGGCGCATTTGGATGCCGGACGATGCGCATTGGAGCTTACAGATCTGAACCGTCTGTGGTCAGGCTGTCTCAGTAGAGACGAGCTGCTTAAGAGTGCGAGCGATCAAGGCACCAGTATAGATCCCAGCGAAGATGACGACCAATATCACCAATTTCTCTCCAAGTTCAACAGTGCCCTGAACGGTGAACCTAGCACAACTGTCCATCTCGAGCCTTTGGGTGCACAGGACGGGCTGATGCTAAGCATCTCGGCACCTTTGCCAGGTTCGTTACCTACTTTCGAATGGACTATGCAGCTGCGCCGCGTGGACAACGATGATTCCTGTGTCTTCAAAAATACCGTACTGACACCTCTGCTCGTCCATGCCAACAACTTAATGTCTCAAGTTCGATATCTGATCGCTGAGCTCGGCCATAAGGATCGCGTGATCGGGAAGATTGCTGACAAGCTGGAGAACATTGGGCAGGACCTTGGACAGGTATTCCCTGGAGCGTCAAATCCTCGATCTACCAAAGCCACGAAGAGAGCACAGCTAGCTAGCCATGTCGAAGGCCTGGCAGAATTCGACCCCCGCAAGTGGCAAGCTGCCGGTACCAAGGACACTGAGGAAGATCTCTCAGTGGACACGATGAACACTATACTCGCCAACTTGCCCGAAGCAGGTCTGATCAACGCACACAAAGATACTCATGGTATTTGGTGGAGACCCCGAAGCGCACCTGTGCTGCATGATTATGATTCGACTGAAGACGATACCGGGTTTGGGACTGCTGGTTGCCAATCGCCATTGCTCCATAAAAATAAGGACGGTACTCATCCTGCAATGCAGGGGAGTGAAGAGAACGATGGTATTCGGCAGCAGCTCACAGCGCCATCATTCCCAACAGACGAGGAGACAGAGGATGAAGACGATCTCGATGCACCTTGTCAAAGAGCTGCGCAGCCCGAGGTCTTTCCCCAGCATGATTCTAGTACAAGTCGAACGTTATCGTACGGGCGAGCATCATCACAGTCCCAACAGGTAACAGATAACCGAGCTCAAGATGTCCAATTATCTTCAGGGCAACAACTCAGGATACCAGGAGGGAAAATCTCAGAGCATCCACAGCAACGTTCAGATGAAGTTGCTCACGAAAGCAGAGAGGCGAGAGTAGTACCTCCGAGCTCGACTCACCAAGCAGATCCGGATGCAGGTGACTTTGCAGGCAGACTACGGTCACAAACTCCTGGGCTTGATTCAAATTCTGTGAAGGCAGAGCTGTTCAACTCTTCGCCAGCAAAGCCTGATCAGCCTAGACGCAAGCTTGGCGCATTTGGACGTAAGACGCGAAGCTCTCCAACACCAGATCGAGAGCCAGTCGCAGACTCAACGCCCGGGCATGGCCAAGGTTTGGACAATCTGGAGCGCGATGCGACGATGCCCTTCTCTCAGCCAGCTGATGCTGATCACGCTTCACATGGAAGAACGAAGCCTCGAGTTGGCATATTTGGCAGCAGGAGACAAAATGAGTCTCAGAATGCGCAGGCAGATGCTGATGCAGCTATTGAAAGCTCTCAAAAGTCTCCGCTAGAGACGGAGGAGGCTTCACCAGTTCATCACATGACAGAGACTGAGGATAGGCAGTCTCGAACGCAAGTCAGGTCAGAGAAGGTAGAGCAGCAGGGGCGAGAGGAGTCGGAAGAACGTGCAAATATACGGCGGGAGAAGCTGAAGCGGGATATTGCAGAGAAGAGCAGAGAGCCGGTGAAGAAGAAGAAGCGGAAGTTCTGATTTTGGATGAGTGAAATCGGCTCCTGCTTCACCAGTGGAGACTGGAACGGCTGACCGGAGTTGTTCCAGCAGCTTCCCGTACAAACGGCGTACAACGCGTGCTTGCCACGCGATCAAACTTTCGCTGTTTCCACACTGCACTCGAGCAATCGCGATCATCCCCTCTCCCACGACCGACACGTACGACAGGTACATACCCGACACGACAGACACACCGCCCGACACATCTTTCCGCTCGATTACGACATTGAGGTAGCTCTGGCAGCAGAATCAATGTCGGCGCTGCATCAGTCATGTGCCAATATAGGTATTATTACTACGCCGGCTGCCGCCACCAGCGCACAGTTCTATCCAAGTGTTGCGCCCACGCGAAGTCAACAGCGATCGCACTCGCAGCCCAGCAACGCGACCCGGGCGCTCCTGTCAAGGCAGAAGAGTTCGAGAACGACGGGGAGGAAAGCGCGCACGATGAAGCAGCGAGCGCGAGTTCTCGTCCTGCGCTGTCAACAAGAGATTCGGGCATTACTACACTGTCTTCCTGTCCGGACACACCACCAGACTCGGACATCGCACATCACACCTCAGCATCGATCCCAGAATTGAATTCCGAGGTCACATCTTTACACAGGCCTCACTCCACCTGCAGTCGGCGACGCAAAGTGGTAGCCATCGACGACATGGCCGCTGATGTCGGAACCTCTTTCACCAAGCCGAGTTGGGGACAGCCAAATCAGCGGATGACTGGTGCACCGAATACTGATCTCAGTTGGGCAGTGGTTGATCGCAAGGAAAACATCGTTGGTGTTGCCACGGGTACAGGACGGTGACTACTGTTGCTGACCACGCGTGTAGGCTCACAAGACACATGCACCATCACAGACACAGACACAAACGCGTCTAGCTCACCAGCAGAATGATCAGAGCTATCACTTCACTGAGCAGTAAGAGTGTCCCTGGTCCTCCGTCCTGCGCTATGCTCAAGCTAACATGTTCCATCATAGTACGTGGCACGCGGCTTCCACTCAGCCTTCAGACCATGGTTTCTCCCAAGACCGCAAAGTCCTGGATCTGGGTCGTGAATTTGCCGATATGCAGGCCCAGTTGAAAGTGGCACAGGAAGAGTTGGCACGTCTCCACGCAGGAGAGGCTCAACGTCAAAGCGCGATCGATACGGCGGCCAGTGTAGATGAAAGTGGCCCATCTGGACCATACTGCCACTCGGGCGCCTCTCCTGCTGCCCTGCTGTTACGTGAACACGAAAAGGCAACATTGCAACAGTCGTGCCAGTCAGATTTTGCCATGCATGATAAACCACAGCCACTGCACAGCGGCCTCGACTTTCCCGGACTACTGGATTTACACTGCACACAAAGCAAGACCCCGGAAGGACCTGCCACGACACCTCGAAAGCCATCATATGCAAACATGGCTACTCAGGGCATGTTGAACGCAATTGGTCAGAACTTCCCATCCTCGACAGGATCTAGCCGTGGTCCAAATACTTCGAACGATTCTACATATGCGCACACGGGCTGCAGCTGTACTGCGTCTCACACATCTACCGATGCCACGACGGACGCGGAAGTGGGTAACGACAGTGCCGTTGTATCGCCACGAAGCCCAGATGACTGTTCGCCCGGCCTGGATCCTGTATCGACATTAAAGAGTCACAGAGCGACGAAGTTTTCGCCTCGCTTTGCTCAACCTACCGTTGCTTTCACTCGTCGCGCCGACGAGACGATTCGCAAGGATTCTTTCCTCGGTGTAGGCAAGACGGGTTCGATGAAGAAGCCATCGACGATGTGCTCACCTCACCAGAAGCAACAGAAGCGCAAGTCGCTCCCAGGGGACTGGTTCGGGCAACCTTCCGAGCCAGCGTGTCCTTCCGCGCAGACTAGCAGCGAGAACCACAGTTTCGAGCACGTGAATGGTTTCCATGGATGCCCGGAACCTACATTGCGCAAAAAGACCAGCACGTACATGTCACCGACCAAGGCTGCGACTCGCCGTACAATCGCCACTATCGGACACGATTCTGCCACACCTTCTCCGCCACGGCTGCCTCGCAACCTCGCGAAGCTCGCTCTCAACACTGATATTACTTCGTGCTCTGACATCTCGAAGACCAGCTCTCCGACCTCACCAGAGACGGCTATTGAGACCGAAAATGTATCCCTTCGCGGAATTCAGATCCAACCGCGTATGAGCGAGAAGCTGGATGTGTCGAGACCACGCCGTCTGCCTGTCAATGGTGCCCTTGCTGGGCCCCAGCGATTGCGCCCAAACACATTCGCCTCGGGTCTGCTCGCTGCACAAGCCAAGGCAGCTGGGCTCCCCATGCCAGCCAACACTACCGCACAACGCAGAGGCTCGCATGGTCACTTACTCATTCCAATCAAGGCGAAGCTGGACAGGATTGGTATTTTGAAAGAGAATCCACGGCCTGCCAACGTGCGGCGGGGGTCCGAGCTACTCAGTCCGATTTCCCAGAGCAGTGAGTCCGAGCTTTTCAGTCCTCTGACACGATCCATATGTGCCGCCCAAGCAGCAGCATTGCCCGAGACACAGCACATGTCGCAATGCACAGAGGCTCCACAAAAGCCCAAGAAAGCTGTGCCACCACATGTTCGAGCGGCCATTAGGGATGCTACCGCTGCTGCGGAGGCTGCTGGTGCTACCCATGCACCGTCTCTCAGAGCTACGGCACAGGAATTTAGACCGATGTTTGACCTTGCACCAGCACCTCAGCTCGGCCTCGCACCACGGCAAGCTCATATGGCAGACCAAGCGATCGCGCAACCATTGCTGGAGCCCAAACAGCACGGACTCGATAAGTCGCCGTTCCAGATTTCTCCAGGAATTAGCTTCCCTCAGGCGCAACTCCAGGATCCCAACTCGCTGGTGCATCGGTCACAAGGTTCGGAGTCTGGGTTCAATCGTCTACCACGTACATCGATGCTACGCAGCTTCACTACGGCAACTGCGTCTCTGCCCTTTGTGACCGATGAGGATGCCAAGAAGTTCTACGACGAAGAAGAGTGGTCAAGTCTGACCTCGTACGACAGAAAGCGCATCCTCGAGAGGCGCGAAGCACTCCGATATCAGGAACAGGCCAGAAGCCATCCATTTTCGGGCTTTCCAGAGACCCTGGTCGCGCAGCCCATCGCTGTACAGGGCGGCCACGTTCTACTACCAAGTGTTGACCCAATAACCAAAGTTGTAAGCTGGACACTTGACAATAAGGATCCTATGAGCTTGGGTAGTCTGCTGCCCACAGATCCGCAATTTGCAGTGGATCACATACAACAGACGCCGAGCTTCAGAGTTCCAAGAACTCCAGATCTTGTGCCACGCTCCTGGACCGTCGGTTCAGAGCAAGCTCGACAGGTCTTTGGATGGAAAGGCGGTGATGGCCGCGAGATCAAGTTTGTCGGTCATGGTCCTGACGCAGAACGTGAGCCTCATCACGGCGTCCGCTTCAATTACCAGAGAAGAATGACCAGCATGGGCAGAGGTCCACGCATGATTGGCGAGGACATGGAAGATGGCTCACCGGAGGTTCCCCTTGCGCCACGTGGACGGCGTCAATGGGCGCAGCTTGCGGGATCTCCACAACAGCCCTGCGACAGGATGGATATCGTGGATGCGGTCGAGCAGATTCCTATACCGTTTGGGCCGGCTTTGCATGGATTCTGCGATGGCTGCGCTGTCAACAGCCATTAAGCTAGGCATTGGCTGATCTTGCGAACGGTTTCCTCATTTGCGAGCATTGGTTGTATTGTTTGCGACAGACTTTGTGGGAACTATCACAGTGCTTGGTACAGCCAGCGCATCATGGATGAGAAGCATGCGCTTCAGGTGTTTGGTCATGATGAAAAGGATGGCGAATTTTTGGTGGGTATTGTTGTTGTTGTTGTTGCGAGCTGGCTAGACTCAGCTTCACCTCATCGTTCAGGAGCAGTGCTTCGATAGCTTACGATCAACAGAATGGGTAGATGGTTCTGATACAAATGCACCGGATGCTTGTTTTGGCGCAGCTGGTGCATCACCGAGATGGCCCTAATTCACGGATGTTGTTGTAGTTTGCCCACCAATGGCGGAAGAATCATGGCCTTCACGCCGTGAGATGGAAACTGCGGGGATGCGTACAGGACACGGTTTGAGGCTGTCGGTTAGGTATAGGATTCTCAAAGTGCGCATGACTTTTGTAACCAGAAGCTGTGGAAGTGTGTCCATGGCCCGGCCCAGCCTGCCGACTAACTTGGTGATGATGATTTGATGTTTTCGCACTATGCAAGGATCAACTAGTAGAGGCTGGGATTACCTCATAGGTACACATGCCCGCACAGTAGTTTGTGCCCAGTATATTAGCGGCTGACGGAGTACGATGGCGCGCCCGCTCTCGGAGTTCCAGTTTCATTTTCAAATATATTATTTACTGGTATTTACTTGAAACGTGCAGGAGAGACACAGACATGGTTACATCTTCGGGTTGGAAGCGAAGTGAAGTGGGGGGCTTTGTATAGTGTATATGTACGTACTACCTAGTGGATATCAGGTAAGCCTTAAGGTACCTAGGTAGAGGTATATATGTCAGACATGTATAGGTTAGTAGGTACCTATACCTATACCTACTCTTGTCGAAAAGCTTTGTATTTCTTATCTTTTACTTTACTTCTGGTAGACTGGTACCTTGACGTGGAAATCAGATCGGATCGGAGGTTCTGGTTCTGGTTCTGGTTCTCTGATGTCGCTGCCGCTGTTGCTGCTGCTGTGGCTCCAGACACTACTACTCCTACCCGGAGTAGAAGCTACATGGACGGCCTATCAAGAATATCTGAATGGACTTGATTCTTCATCATCTTCTTCTCCGGAACAGCAGCAACGGCACGAAATTACTTTTTCGCCGAATTCGCCTTGGAAATCTATTGCTGCTGTTACTACTGCGGGCCAGAGAAATCAAACGTGTGTGGTGGAAAGTCATGGGGATTTTGTGACTGATGATTCGGCGGCGATTGTGGATGCGGTGAAGAAGTGTAATCCGGGTGGGAAAGTGGTGTTTCCTGAGGGGAAGACGTATGTGGTGGGGAAAGCGATGGATTTGACGGGGTTGAGGGGGATGGATATTGGTATGTTTTTTTTTGTCAATCTTCCCTTTTCCTTCTTGGTGGGGAAGGGGGGAGGGGGGGTTTCAAATTGCTGATATTGTTTTTCTTTTTCTTTTCCTTTTCTTTTTACAGATATTCAAGGATACATCCAATTTAGCAACGATACCGATTACTGGCAAGCCAATGCGTACAAACAAATCTTTCAAAACGCTACGACCTTCTTCCAGCTGGGTGGTGCAGATGTGAATGTCTATGGTGGTGGCATGCTCGATGGAAATGGACAAATTTGGTACGATCTCTACGCCAAGGACAAATTGATCTTGAGGCCCATTCTATTCGGAACTGTGGGCTTGCACTCGGGAAGCATCTCGGACCTGCGCTTCAGATACTCTCCGCAGTACTACAACTGGGTGGCGAATAGTACGGACGTGGTTTTTGATGGCATCAATGTCAGTGGGTACAGTCAGAGTGAGCATGAGGCCAAAAATACGGACGCGTGGGATACGTAGGTTTTTCCTCCTCCTCCTCCTCCTCCCTCCTGTCCACTTGGTGAGAGATCTGAGCACAAGTGGGAAAAAGCTGACGTTTTCTTTTTCTTTTCTGTTCACAGGTATCGATCTTCTAATATCGTGATTCAAAACTCGGTGGTCAACAATGGCGACGACTGTGTGTCCTTCAAGCCCAACAGCACGGAAATTCTCGTTCAGAACTTATACTGCAACGGCTCACACGGCATCTCTGTGGGATCTTTGGGTCAATATCCGGGCGAAGTCGACATTGTCCAGAACGTCTACGTGTACAACATCAGCATGTACAATGCCTCCGACGGTGCTCGGATCAAAGTCTGGCCTGGAACTCCTTCTGCGCTCTCCGAGGATCTTCAGGGAGGCGGCGGATCTGGTCTCGTGTCCAACATCACGTACAAGGACATGTACATTGAGAACGTGGATTACGCGGTGGAGATTACACAGTGTTATGGGCAGAAGAATCTCACGCTGTGTCATGAGTTTCCCAGCAATTTGACGATCTCTGGCATTGACATTAGCGGAATTCACGGTACGACTAGTAAGAAGCGTGATCCGCTCAGTGGGTATGTGGTTTGCAGCTCGTCGAGTGTGTGCAGCAATATCAGCTTGAGTGATATTGACGTTGTGGCACCGAGTGGAGTGAAGAATGCCTTCAACTGTGGGAACGTGGACGAAGCTGCCTTGGTGGGTATTAACTGTACCAGTGCGAAGTGATCGAGGATTTGAAGTCATGTTGAAGATGGAGAGGAGGAAGAAATAGTTACATGTATCACAATGGTATAGCTCCTAGTTCTATGCTGATATCGTCCGTGCACCCGGGCCTGGCCGAGGCCGGTCCGACCAGGATGCACGGAGTAAATAGCTCTACCCTGTGTTTACATGGCAACCGCGCGCGAGTCCGTTGACTTCCTACATCTCACATGTACTCCTCAGCCTAGCACTTCTAGTTGCACACTACTGCGCAGACATTGCCCAACACTCGAGATCCAACATTTATATACCACCGGCATCAGTATCGTCGAGCTCGAGCGTCTGGGCCAACCAACAAAGGAAGCTCAGCTGCTTTAGTGATCACACTACCTAGCAACCTCTCTTCTTCTTCTCGGACACGACGACATGGCCAACAGGTTGGATCCTGCAACCATGGCTTCTTCTCCCTCGGTTTCTCAAGCTAAAGGCGGCAACCGAGCTGCTCCAGCCATGCACAACGGCAATGTGATCAAGAGGTATGCTGTGCTGCCATTATGGACTCGCGTGTTACGGCGCCCGTTCACACAGCTGATCTGTATAGACTCCAATCAGAGCTCATGGCCCTCATGACATCTCCTACGCCCGGTCTCTCCGCCTTCCCCTCCTCCGACATGACTTTTTGGAACGCCACCATCCTGGGGCCCTCGGGAACGCCCTACGAGAATCTCACTCTCAAGCTGACTCTCAAATACCCTCCCAACTACCCTTACTCGCCACCAGAAGTACTTTTCAAAACTCCCATCTATCACCCCAACGTTGACTTTAGCGGACGCATCTGCTTGGATATCTTGAAGCCCGGTGGAGAGGGTAAGGAGGGTGCGTGGAGTGCAGTGTTGAACACGGGAAGTGTGCTGTTGAGCATTCAGAGCTTGCTGGGCGAGCCAAACAAGTAAGCAATTACATTGCGCGAAGGTGTATTGCCGCGGAGGGTAGAACGCTGACTAGGAGAAATTCGCAGCTCATCACCACTGAACGGAGAAGCGGCTACGCTGTGGGACTCGAACATGGAAGAGTTCACCAAGAAGGTGCTGGCCCGACACCGGGATGACACCGACGATGCATGAGCTGGAAAAGGAACAATGAGAGCATAATGGAACTTGTCAAGCATTTCTGGTGTCTTGAAGGCGTTTGTTGTTTGTTATTGTCTCGAATCAGGGAGCAAGAGCTGTCGGTGGGAGAACCTGCGTTTACGTTATACAGTCGTGTGCAGCTTGGCTGGGAAGAGGATCCAGCACTCGAGGCTACGAAGGTCTCAGCTGTGTGTAGGATATCCGAGACGGGACATGAAGCGATGATTTTTGAACCTGAGCTAGATTGAGGAATCTGTGGTAGATCTCCAGCGTTCGCTACCCGAATCATCGACGTACACCATGTGGAAGGCACGCAAGCTAAGGAATCCAGCACTTTTCCAGCAAGCCGACAGTATCGAGATGTGCGAGTACGTCGTATACCATGACCGGGCATGGAATGGCAGTTCTCCTCGCCTGGAGTCATTCTTCGTTGAAGACCTATTATCATCAGTACAGGTAGCGTTTCGATGAGCCACGAGCTGACGCGGAGAGAACGGCGGAAGCGCGTTATAAATACTTCCTAGGAGGTAGTATTAACTTTGTACTGCCTGAGCCCTGAGGCTCTGGACAAGAATGCCCATTCACTTAATGCTTTCTGGGTAGCAAACAAAGTGAATACAACTCAACACTTGTGTCACAACCCATATCTTATACACTACCTACCCTAAGGTACTCCTTCTCTTGCGATTTGTACCGGGCTCAACCACCTCAGTTCCGCTTGAATTATTCTCCTAGGGTGCGTAGGTAAATAAGCTTTGCGCGCTGTACCTAAACTGTCTAGCGCGTTTTTGGCGGCAGCAGAAGACGCGAACACAGCTTCACAACCTAACACAGCTTCACAATAGGTAGGAAAAACGGCTTTTCGCAGCTCCATCAATTCTATTGTCGCCGTCGCACAATAGGAAACCGCAATCATGGCAGACGATAAAGGCAAAGCCCCAGCCTTTTCCTTCGGGCTCTCGACTCCCAATTCCTCCTCAGCTTCACCTTTCGGTACCACGAGCACAACTGGCGGAGGACTCTTTGGCAGCAATACGGCCAAAACAACTTCGTCCGGCGGCAGTATTTTCGGCGGTGCTACACAAACAGCATCTTCAGGAGGTGGACTCTTTGGAAGCGGCGCGTCGACGTCAGGGAACAACAGCGGGACGAGCACAACTGGCGGAGGCCTACTCGGTTCTGGTCAACAAACATCAACACCGTCCGCAGGTGGAACTCCAGCGAGCGCAGGGAACGACGGCGGCATGGTCAACTCAGGCAGTGTGCTCTTTGGAGCAGCCACGGCGAAGAGGAGCGAACCGGGCTTCAATCCGTTCGCACAAAGTGCTGCGCAGAGCGGTAGCAGTACGCCCACAGCAACGAAGCCCGGAAGTCTGTTTGGAAATGGCACAACTGGCAGTTTTGGTGCTTCTACAACACCGGCTGGTGAGCCGAAGCAGACGGGCACCCTTTTCGGTGGAGCCTCGACTGGCGGTGGTGGGGGTCTCTTTGGCGGCGGCGCGAAGCCAGCCAGCAGCGGAGGTCTGTTCAGTGGTGCTCAGAACAACACCGGCTCAAGCAATGCGTCTGCCACAGCAGGCACAACAGGCGGACTTTTTAGTGGCGGCCAGCAACAGCAAGCTGGATCCAGCACTGGAGGTAGCAATCTATTCGGTGACAAGACCAACAAAAGCTCATCGACGCCGTCTAGCGGATTGTTTAGTAATCAGCAACAACAGCAGACTGGCTCTAGCACGGGAGGCGGCGGCCTGTTCGGAAACAAGACGAACGCAACGTCTTCGACAGCCTCGGGCGGCCTGTTTGGCAACCAGCAAAGCACCTCCGGAGGCTTGAACTTTACTCTCGGGACTCCGACCGCCCCAGCAGGTGGTAGCAATCCTACTACGGCTTCTTCGACATCAAACGCCGGTAACACATCTGCCACAGCTCCAGCAGCTGGCGCATCGAACACGTCCTCTTCCAATGCCCAACCTACTACGGCGACAGCTCCCGGCAGCAGCTTCTTTCCGGCGGCAGCATCTACAACTGCTTCGCAACCGACTACGACTACTGCGGGTTCAATAGGTGGCGGCTTGCTCGGCGGGCCGGCGACCAGCACCGCGCAGACGACTAGCAGCGGTTCAACAACAGGAACTTCCGCGCCAAGCATATCTGGTATGTTCTCGAAGCCAGCTACGCCCGCTACTACATCAGGAGCACCAGCGCTTGGCGGAGGGTTGTTCAACACAGCACAGCCCACAACTACGGCGAGTACAACTAGTGGCTTGTTTGGCAACGCAGCCACAAGTGGAAACAATTCTACACCAAGCACCACTGCTCCCGCTGGTGGCCTTTTCGCATCAAGTGCCGGCCCAACTGCATCGAGTAGCGCTGCTCCTGCTCCTGGTGCAAGTCTTTTCGGCAGCAAGCCTGCGACAGCGTCAACAACAAACAATGCGACGACAAATGCTCCTGCGACGGCTCCTGCAGCCGGAGGCGCCACTGCGACCGCCAACGTCCCTGCAAGTGCAGCGGGTGGCGCTCCAGCTGGAGGCTCACGCCTCGCCCACAAGTCGCTCGACGAAATCCTCACCATGTGGTCCACGTCGCTCACGCAGCACCAGAAGACCTTTCAGAGTCTTGCTCAGCGCGTGAGTACGTGGGATAGACAGCTTGTGGAGAATAGCACAAAGATCAGCACATTGTATGGTCGCTGCTTTCAAGCTGAGCGTGATTGCAGCGAGGTAGAGCGCCAGCTCACCAACTTTGAGCATACACAGCACGAGATCGAGCACTTTCTGGACAAGTACGAGGATGAGGTAGACAAGATGATGCAGAATTCTGGGATTGGTGAGGATGGTATTGGTGGGGTCGATGCTGAACGCGAACGCACATACAAAACTGCCGAAAACTGCGCCGGAAGACTGAGTGATTTGCAAAACAGCTTGACGGATATGGTTGAGGAGATCAATGACACTTCAGGCAAGCTGACTAACAACAAGTCTGCCGGCGATAACAAGGACGATCCTCTCCGACACATTGTCAGCATTCTCAATGGCCATCTTGTGCAACTGCAGAAGATTGGTACGGGTGCATCAGACTTGCAGAACAAGGTCGCTATTGCGCAACGTGATACTCGAGGCCTGAACAACAGCTATGCGCTGAACGGAGGCAGGCAGTGGGTAGAAGACTTTGGGGCTAGCTATTTGGGACGTCGATAGACGATACATTCTGCTTGTGCAGAGCAACACGCACAGATACGACGCTTGGCATGGGATGGCGCACACTAGGCGTTAGGAAGGCAGAGCGCCGATGGGAGATGCCGTCGGATGTCCAGAATGAAAGGGTGGATTCTTGTACCATAGCACGCATCAAGTGTCGATGCCATAGCGTGACGCTCGACAGAATACGAGAGAAGCTTTCACTACAAGCCGCCATGGCCAAACCTCCACCACTACTCGGAAGCTAACCGAGAACTTTCCACAAATACTACGGCGATGGATGGCACCCGAGTCTCCCAGGTTCTGTATGCCTGCATGTCGAGAACGATACTACCTACTGTATCGATACATGGTCGTGGCGCGATATAACACGCGGAAGAACGCCGATCCTCCGCATTAAAGCACTCGCTAAACACCAGCGCACTATTTCTGTCAAGCTTCGTATAGTGACTGCACACCAAGGAGACATGCGAGATATAGCCGGACCGAAAGAGGGATGATATGTGACAATGTACTTGTATTTAAATCTGGAGGGCTCGAGCACGACGACTATGTTAATGAACAGCTCGAACTGACAAACAGGATGAGAGGATCCATTTCATTGTCACTGCTGGCATTGCCATCCCTTTTGGGCGTCGCCAGCGCCGCTACCTTTTTCCCGCTTCTCAACTTGACTGATACCGAAGGCAATGCCATTCAGGCACACGGAGGAAACATCATTCAAGCCCAAGGCGGCGATGGCTCGTGGTACTGGTTCGGAGAGGACAAAACCGGTTGGACCAACACAGGCAAATTCAATGGAGTATCCTGCTACAAGTCTCCCGACCTGAGCACCTGGACAAACCTAGGCCATGTCCTATCGCCGGTGGAAGGCACCAACATCTCTTCTTCCCCCGAACGCATTGTGGAGCGACCCAAGGTTCTGTACAATGACAAAAACGCCGAATATGTCATGTGGTTCCACGGCGACAACAATAATTACGCCGACGCCCAAGTCGGAGTTGCAACAAGTAAGACCATCGATGGCCAATACACCTGGAAAGGAAATTTCAGACCTTTTGGAAATGACAGCCGCGATATGACAGTCTGGAAAGACCCTGATACTGCTCAAGCTTACCTCATCTTCGCTACGTCCGGAAACGCGGATTTCCAAATTGCCACTCTGGACGAAGACTACTACAATGTCGTCGATGCCATCTACACCTTCGATCAAGTGTTCCAAGAAGCTCCCGGGGTTTTCAAAATCGACGGGAAGTTCTATCTCCTCTTCTCTCCTCAAGACGGTTGGACTCCCACGGACAATGGATATCACGTTGCAGATAGCATGTCCGGTCCTTGGAGTGAAGCCACACTCTTGCACCCCGAAGGTGCTTATGCATACCTCACGCAAAACGCCTACGATATCACGATCAAAGGCTCCGAGGAGGTATTTTATCTCTATTTGGGCGATCATTGGAACGCGAATAATCTTGCCGCGAGTAGCTATGCTTTCTATCCTATTGTATACGACGCAGGCACTTTGGCACTGCATCCCACGGGCGGTTGGACCCTCGATATCGCGACTGGAAAATGGTCAGATCTCCCTTTTACGTTCATCACCGCAGACAACTCTACTACCCCCGAGACCCAACTCGTGGCTTGCGAGACTGGGTGTGCGGGTGGCATGGCGGCCAATCTGACATCTACCGACGGTTCTTTCACCTTTACGTGGAATGGCGCGGCGGGAGATTTTGTGGTACAAATTCTATATACATATCCGGGAGCGAAGAATGCTTTTCGTCATGTGTATGCGACTGTGGACGGCACCGAAGTCGAGGGCTGGGCGCTCTTGGAGACTACCCGGCAGCAGACTTTTGCCCAGAGAATTCCTTTGCCTATGACTCTGAAGCAGGGAAGTGAGGTTGTGCTGAAGGTGGCAGAGAGTGGATTGGAAGTCAGGGTTGAAGGAGTGGAAGTTTATGAGCACGCTGCTGCGTAGGAGTGAGAGAGAGAGTGAGTGAGTGAGTGAGCAGCGAGGAATATCTCCGAAGAAAAGGAGAGATTTGTGGATTGTATTGCCTTGCCTTGCCTTGCCTGCCTGCTAGGTAGGTAGTTAGGCTTTGCAAATTCACTTTTTTTTTCCTCTGCATCGGCCATCACTTTCATACCATGAAAATATCAAATCTTCATCCCACACTCCCGCTCATGTTTCACCCATCACGCAATATCATGATCATCACCATGAAAGAATCTCAAAATCGCACTAGCGATAACCTCACCATCATGTTCCATATGCGCCGTCTCTTTCGCATACTGCACCGCCTTGCGATCCTCATCCACATCAATCGCTCCCGATTGAATTCTCGCTTCCACTTGCCTCCTCACCATCGTCTCGTCCAATCCCAAATGGCCCTGACTCGAAAACAAGCGGTCTCGGATATACAAGCCTTGAATGCTGGTATGATTTGTCGAAGCCCAAATGTGAACTTTTTGATTTTTCCCCAACAGATTTGTGGTTTGGGATGAAGGTAATGTCGTTACTTGATCTTGATGCATTTGGTGCACATGGAGTGTGTTGTCGTGTGTTTTGAAGAGCTTTTGGCCCACTGATGAAAGGTCCATTTCCGTGTGCGCGAGTTCCCATTTCGAGCCTTCTTCTGGCTCGACGGTGGCTCCGAGGGTTCGGGCGAGTAATTGGTGGCCGAAACAAATTCCTGCAAATTTGATGTCTGGTCGGGTTTTCCATAGCTCTGTGATGAGGGATTTGAGCTTGAGGATCCATGCATCGGAGCCGTGCGCGTCGTACATGCTGCCGGTGATGAGAATGGCGTGGACATCGGAGGGGATTGATGAGGCGGTCGGGACGTGACCATTGTGTCCGTTCTCCTGCTTCGAGCTTTAGCTATCTTGTCCCTGGCAGATTTCGGGAAGTTGGCCGGGCTCACCTCGTCTTCTACCACGAAGAGCATTTCTACTTCAATACCGAGAGGCGGCTCATGGTTGTTTCCAGCAGTGGTGAAGAGTCTGTCGATGATCTGGCCAAAACTGCCGCTTTCTTCCATGGTATTGGGATCGGTCTGATCCGTCTCCAAGACGAGCATCTTGACTGTTTCTCGAGCCTTGGAGATCATCTTGGCTGCAGCGTATGGAGAATGTCTGCTCTTCGTGTGATTTTGTATCGGACTCTGCAATGATATTAGATGATTTGCAACGGCAAAGCTCATCAATTCTTCTGTTTGTGTCAGTATACCGAGAGCTTCTGACAACACATTGGACTTCCTTTTGAGCCAAATCAGTGGATTTCCAAGCGTCCCTATTAAGCGTCCCTATTACGATCTTGTCGTCAGCGCCCATCATTAGCTGCCAAGCCAGGTTTGCTTGGCTCATCGTGCACGTCATTAGCATCTACAGAACTGAAGCTTCAACGCATTTGGCTGGTAGCGCAGTCATTTGACCGTGTAAGAACAATTGGCAGTAGAAATCAAAGAATGTGCTAGGAGGTAAAACGAGAACAGATCCGGTGGGCGATCGTCGTCATCTTCGCCAAGAAAGGCTTGAGCGGCTACCTGAGTGAAGAGAGGCAATGCCTCAACTTCAGGTAACAGGATCTTAAGTCAGGTAGGTCGAATAAGGATCCAAGTGTACACAGCCGACATGATCTTCTGGCGCAACCTCTATCCTTTATACCATCTTCAATGCAAGCCTGCTCTTCCCGTTCCCATGAAAGTGCTTCTTTCGCAAATCATGATTGGTTCCACTGGCTTCGGCGCGGCCTTTCTCCCAACAGACTTTCCATAGAGAGTGTATAGACCCCTGCATCACACCCGCCTTCTTTCGCCCCCTCGACCTTCATGTCTCGCCATCTCCGACTCGTAGCTCTGAATCCAACGTCCAGGAGCGCTCACGAGTGCACCACAGGAATGGCATCTGTAGAGAGAGTGTGTGTGTTTGTGAATAAGACCGAATCTTGAGCGTGGGCCCGTACAAAGCAACCACTCCGAAGTGTACCGGCCCTCGAACATGTTCACTGCCTGCGCATTCCAGAGGAGTGGATAGTGCCGCATAGTCTCTAGCCAGGCGGATGGACTCAATACGCGAACGCGTAGGCTGCCCTTGGAGCATGACTTTCTTGACTGTAGTATTTCTCGTCTTGCAAGCCATCCACATCAAAGCGACGCGGCCGCCTCAATAGCCCCGACACCTTTGAACAAACCAGGACTTGTGATCTCTACCGTCACAGGATACTTCCACTCCATAAACTTCGCCCATCCTAGATGCCCTGTCAGCCAGCATACTCACGCCCTACGCCTTCCACTTCCACCTACCATAATAGGCACACTTTCTCCCAAAGTACTTGCCCAGATAAGGTATCAGCACCAGTGTCATCATGAGTTCCAGCTGTTGTAGACTTTCCCGCCATTCTCGCTCGGCATCTGAGTAAGCTTCTTCCTCGCTCGGAGAGAGGGATGTCGTGGAGCCTGCGGAGGAAGATGGGAGGGAATCGAATCCATCGTCGTCGTCGATGTCGGAGGCAGCGGAGGGGATGCGCGCGTAGGAGGATGAGGGATCGGACATGACTGCTCTCGTTGTGTGTGGGTGGGATGGGAGTGGAGTGGCTGTGGACGAGTGACTGGTACACTCGGTGCTTGTTGACTAGGCACAGATGCACTGCTCTACCGCTCTAGGGTCGACGAGCATTACTTCGTGATCGAGTGTACACTGGTACAGACTGCTACCTAACCTCCTCCTACAGCTCGGGCTGGGAACCGAAAGCTAGTTTAGAGACGATATATAAGGTTACCTATGGTACCTTGTGGCCTCAGGAGACGAAGACACGCGTGACGCACGTATATCTCCCGTGGAGTGGGAAATAATACTGCCCTGGGCATTATGGATGGGGGTAGGATGAGCACTCCTCCAATGCATTCATCTTGCTCCTGTGTTGCTACAGCCCACGGCCAACTCGTCTTGCACGTCGCATTCATTCGCTGTCCGTCCATACTCGCGACGGATAGTTCCGTCGAAAATCCCCGCTGACATAATTGTGGCCTTTGACTCACTGAACGTCGACTTCAAGAGCACCCGCCGCCACAACTTCTCCTCCACCTACACCCACCCACACAACCAGCATCGACACTACCGCAATCATGGCGGACGAGATGCTCTCAAAACGCAAGTCAGTGGCTTTCGCCGATGGCCAGACCATCGTCGACGGCGACGGCACTGTCACACATGATACGAACGGCGTGCACGATGGAGACAAAGCTTCTGCCGCCACGCATACCATCGAGAACGGCGGCGAGGACAAAGCCGTCGACGAGGTGACCGCCATGTTCGAGGGACTGGCTAAGAAAAAGAAGAAGAAGCCAAAGAAGGAGGTTGAAGAGGGCGAAGACGGCGAGGAGAAGGCCGAAGAAGATGGTGAAGTTGACTTGTCAGCGCTCAAGAAGAAAAAGAAGAAGAAGGTCAAGGCGCCCGCAGACGACTTCGAGAAGCAGCTGGCAGAGGCCGGCGCCGCAGAGGGTGAGGACGAGGTCTCCAAGAGTTCCTCCAAGGGCGATGCGGCCGAAGCTGGCGTACAGGACGGCGACATCCACGGCGGCACTGGTATCTGGGCACACGGCGAGACGAAGGCTTACAACTACGAGAGCTTGCTGTCGCGCTTCTTCGTCATGCTCCACGACTCGCATCCTGATCTGGCGTCCAGTGGAGGCAAGACCTACAAGATTCCACCACCACAATGCCTACGTGAAGGTAACAAGAAGACCATTTTTGCCAACATTGCCGATATTTGCAAGAGGATGAAGCGCACAGACGAGCATGTCACACAGTACCTCTTTGCTGAATTGGGCACGAGCGGTTCCGTAGATGGAAGCCGAAGACTGGTCATCAAGGGTCGTTTCCAACAGAAGCAGATTGAAAACGTGCTTCGTCGGTATATTGGTAAGTTGCTTGCGTGCCATTACCCCAGTTGCAGCGGCGAGCTCGTACTGATCATGAGAATAGTCGAATACGTGACCTGCAAGACATGCAGATCCCCGGACACCGAGTTGAGCAAGGGAGAGAACCGTCTCTACTTCGTCACCTGCAACTCGTGTGCCTCTCGTCGATCCGTCACCGCCATCAAGAGCGGTTTCTCTGCTCAAGTCGGCAAGCGCAAGCGTATGCAAGGTTAAGCGATTGCTTTTACCTTTCATCGCGCGTCCGAGCTTTCTGTTCTGCTCCCTTAAAAGTAGGTAATGCCGGTTCCATCGTCCTGTCGGCAATGATCGAGATGGCACCTTTTTGGTGTTTTCGAGAGCACGGCGAAGACGATGGGAACCACGAGTATACGATATGTCGCATGCTAGCCGCAAGGCACATACAGATTTGCTCATGACTTCTAGAACAGCGACTATAATGATCGGGCGAGACGCTGAAAAGTACGGGATGATACACAGGGAGGAAGTGACCGAGGCGGCCTAAGGGAGCGGGACTTGGGACGGTAGAGCGTTCGTGCGAGCGAGTATACCTAGGTACTGTACCTAACTTGGTTGAAATGGAAAGTTTTTTTCTCCAACACAATGTCCTCTTTCACCTGAATTTGCAAGTCCTTGCCTTTTAATTTCAATGTTCCATGCTCAAGGTAGGTGTCTACTGTACAGAAAACTCGAATTTGGCGTATGTCGAGCGAGAACAGATAGCATGACCACCTACCTCATCGAGTCCTCCGCGAAGGCAAGCGTGAGGTATGTAAAGAGGTACCTACGATATATGAACCAAAACATGGCTACAACGTCCTCATTCTCGTTTCGGTAGGTATCTCAAAATGGAAAACAACATATTGCCAGGTCAGGTCAGGTACCTAGCGCCACATCAAACCCCAGTGTTCCCCATCAATTCATGAAACGCGTCCATCCCTACTACCTACCGTACCTACCGTATTTTCCAAGGGCATGATCGCAGCTTCCCCAATAATCTCCAGACCGAGACTTAGACCGAGACTTCGGCCGAGACCTGTCCATCCATCCATCCATATGGTATGCCAGCCCCAACTCCACCCATCTTAGGTAAGTACCTCCTATGCAGCGCCTCCGTGTGCAGCCATGTACTGTGAAAAGGCAGCAGGATTGCGAGTCTGCATAAACACGGTGCCGGGACCAGAGAATTTGCACACCAGACCTTCGCCCGCGCTCATGTTGCTGATGATGCCGCCGCTCGCCACTCGTTCGAGGACGTAGTTGCAGTTCCACGCGACCAAGTGGCCATTGTCGATGATGTATTTTTCGCCTTCGCGGAGCTGGGAAGAGGGGTCGGACAGATCGAATCAGCGATTGACGAAGCAGGAAATGAATTCTTTTGGCAGAAAGGAAAAATGCAAAAGCAAGGTACTTACATCTTTGCGAATAATGGCACCCATGGATTGGATCCAACATATTCCTGCTCCACCGAGTTTGTATACAAACAGTCCTTCGCCAGAGAAGATGGCTTTGCTCAAAGCCTGACTGACATAGTCCTTTGTGACACCTTGCGTACATGCCAGGAACGCGTCTTTGCCTATATTCCACGTCTCTCCTTTCCCCGACAGCCTGATATTGGTAATGTCGCCCAATGCAAACGGTGCTAAGAGTAGCTCTCCCGGCCCCGTGAACGTGGTATGAGACATTTCGCCTCTAGCCAATAGCTTCTTCATACTAAATTTCACAGAGCCTTTGACTGTGATGGTGGGTGACATGGCAATCATGGCGCCGGGCTTGACCGTGATGGGACAGCCCATGGCGAGCTGGATCGTGACGATTGTGTTGGTGTCGCGATGCGAAATTCGATACGAGCCGCCGTTGAACGTTCCCACATCGTCTAATGTTGCTCCTGCGCCTGTGAATTGTCCTGGGGGAGGTGCGCCGCCTGGAATCGATGATTGGCGGTTGAAGGACAGTTGTCTAGGGCTTGCTAATGCCGTATAGTTCGAGGTCGCATAACTGGGTTCAGGCTCTTGCGAAGTCGTTGGTGGGCCTGGATGGTATGGTATCGATATCTGATCCTGTTGGTTTGGTTCGGGCGTGGCTCGTGGGATGCCGGTGGCCTCTGTACCAGGAGGTGTAATTGGAGAAACAGTAGGAGGAGGTGCGAACGTTGGCGGAGGCGCGAAGTGCTGCTGCTGTTGCTGTTGCGGCTGAGGTGGGGCCGGGTAGTGATTGTCGGCTATGCTGCCAGCGTTAGACCCATATCTCGCTCTAGGAATGCCTGCTGGTAGTGCCGCCATTGTCGTCTTGCACGCGGATAGGACATGTTCTTGTGGCGTGTACGTGGGAAGCCTTACTGTGAGCATGACCGCCTGGGGGAGCTGTGTGTGGTAGTACCGTCAGCTGCTGCTGCTGCTTTCTTACACAATATACATGTAGGCAAGGGCGGCCTCACGAGGGAAATATTCCTGGGTAGACGCCATCTTGTCCCGTTGTTGCCTCTTGTGATATCTCTTTCTAGTTCCTGCTGTGCGGTGCAGCTCTCTCACAAGTGTTCGTGCTGGCTCGATATAACGTTCACTCGGGAGCCTTGTTGCGTCGTCGTAGGCTGTGGTAAGCTGAGGGAGTTGGGGCAATACTCGGTGTGCGTGAGGGAGTGTCTCGAGAGTGAGTGAGAGTGAGAGTGAGAGAGTGAAAGAGGGAGAGCGAGAGGCAGACCAGACCTACCTTTGGCTGTATACCTGAATTCTGGGAGGTATTATTCTGGAGCATGCATCAGCTCGCTCGCTAATCGTGGCCGCAGACTCGCAGCCTGCTTGTGAACGACTGCAGTGCTACAGCTGTTGAGAGCTCCCATTGGTCGTCTCCGCTCCATGCAGGGCGCCTAGAGAGTGGTGCACAGGCGCCCCCATCATGGAATGGGCGCTTACGGCAGTGTTGGTGCGTCTGCCGTACTCGATGGACCTCTCATTCGGTGATGCTTCTCACCAATCGTCTACTATGCTGATGAGCGACGAGCAGGAGTAGTGATGGCACGAATGATGCCCTCGGCTGCCTCCACTCGGCTGCCATACACTGGGCTGGCGCGTTCATCAGCAGCAGACTCAGCAGCACGCCGTAGCTACCGTCAGCAAGCCTATGCTGCCGCGTGGAGCCCCCATGACCATGTTGGCACCTCGTGATGAGTGTATACGGGCGCGCTGGAGAAGACGAGGTCGGGGAGTATTGATGGTTAGGTACCTTATGGGCGAATACAAAGCGCCGGACTGCCAAGATACACTCCGCCAAGTGCACTGAGCCGAACTTCAGAAGACACCCCAGGTATATAAGATGAACTGGATGTATTCAAACAAGGGGAATGTACACAACAGAGTGGGGTGGGCGATCATATGACATGTCGATCTAGGAAGAGTTGTAGCCCAAAGGTCATCCTTGAGACAGTAGCTGGAGGAGGTAGTGGTAAAAGAGAGAGAGGGAATAGTATTGACATACCTAACTCGCTCTCGACGTTATATACAATATCAAAGAGGATAAGATGGCGGAATTTCAACAGTGACGTGAATTATAACGGACGAGACGAGACTAGACGATGGGCTGATGTACAAAAAGATGACGATAGGTTGGTATTTGCTAGTAGCTATTAGAAGGTAGCTAACCTTGGGCATTTTGAGGCTGTAGACACGACTAGATATAGACTCCCTAGAGTGATCCGATGGCTTGACAATTTCAACGTTCGGTCTAACGTTCGGTCTAACGTGCGGTTGGTACCTGAGGTATACTTTTCACGGCGACGATCTTTGCGGTGTTTGCTTTCTTATGTATGTAGCTTGACTCGATATGACTCGGGAGATGGGGGATAAGAGATGGGTGGTGAGGTGTGAAAGTCCATGCTGGGAAGAGGAGGATATCCGGGAGATACAGGCAGGTCGGTAGGTATATACAGACATAAGGTGGTGGTGGTAGGTGGATGTCAGGCGCCCCCAAGTCAGTACCGCGACTTTTGCACATATTACTCGCACCTTTGACGAGAGCCGAGCTCAGCTACCTAAGGTAACTTACCTCCTAGAGTCTACCGAGAGACACGACTCAATCACGCACAATTCGCGGAAATTGACAATATGCCTCTCATACAGCATGCTCCAGATGCGCTGCCGTACGTTGACCCGCCCGTTTCTGAAGAGACATTGCACGCCGCCAACGCTCTGGTCCACGCCGAAATGGATCCTGCCCACGCCAGCGCTCTGCACCCTGCAATTCCACCCCCGAACCCAACCACCGGCTTCTCTGCACTGGTCGAGGCCGAACATGCGCGCATTTCTGCGGGTCAGCCCAAAGATGCCGGCCTCGATCTGAGCCGCTACGAGCTTCTTGACGCGCCTGCCAAAGGCGATCTGCCCGCGTGGAAGGAGTCCTTGCAAAAGGCCTACGCAAGCACCGAATATCTGCGCGGCCGGGAAATCAACCTCAGCCTGCTGGAGACATATGGCAAGAATGCCTGGTTGATTGGAAACAGTCGGCTCGAAGATGAGCTGAAAGCGCTCGAGAAAGAGCTCGAGGCTGCAAAGACGGGGCTGGAGCAGCTTGAGCAAGGTCGGCGGACTACACAAGCAAACGCAGCAGGAGAGATGCAAGGCCTGGAAGAAGCCTGGAGAACGGGCGTGGGAAGGATGATTGAGACACAGGCCGCTGCGGAACGCCTGCGACTGGAAATTCTGCAGCGAAAGCGACAGGGTGTAGCGTGAGATGATTGATGATTTTACCACTGATGCATTGGACAACGGCCTATGTATGAATCTCTCATCCAGATTGCTCCGAGAATGAACTGGATCGAAGCATGAGCTGAGTAATGCAGCACAGCCGTTGCTGAGGTGTGATTGCGTTTGAGACTCGGGCTATTTGTAGCTCGCAGGCGAGGGCTCATGCTGGAGCCTGTTGCTATTATGTTCTCAAGCCAGCCGTCTGAGAACCGCCTTCAGCCCTGCAAAAGTTGCATCGCACAGGGTTACCGTATTGGGTGCATGGAGCTTGAACGCGCTGTTTTTGGACTCGTAAATGCAAGCATTCGCTGTTTGCAGATGGCATCTAGGCTGCAGACACGAGTCAAGAAATGTGGCGCCGGAGCATCAGGCAAGCCACAACAGCCATACACACAGGACATGATATGTGTGCCGCAAAGTCTTCAAACACAACGGCTTCTGAGACGTTGCTCAACCTTAAACGAGCGCACCTTGTCCCAGATTTGACAGCTATCTGCCTCACACACGACGCACGTATAGACACACTACTCGAGACCTAACTCTCTCGATGTATCGTCTGTTAGGGTTGACTGACACGGACAACATGATGGCGACTCGCACCCTCTTGGCCCTTGGCTCAAAACCCGCACGGCCTCGACATCGTCCACCATAACATTGCTTCCGCTCTTTCCAACCTTCACACATTGCTCTCTGTGAGGTCTTCCGCACAGTGACCCGAAAACAATCAACATGCGCAGCCGCCAGCGAATCCCCCGGTCTAGCTCCGTGGAGAGCCTGAGTGACAAGTTCAAATCGTGGAATTCATCGTTGTCCAACCTTCAGCTGCGTGCATCAGTTGCTTTGAAACCGGTCCAAGAAGGGCAGGAAGGGCTTCCTACCAACAACGCCTTCACTAAGAGCACTCCCACCCTCATCGACTGCGCCCAAGACAGCGTCATCGACCTCGGCGAATATCGGGATGGGTACACCGGCGGTGATCTACCCTTGGGCGAGCGCCCGGAGCACTCTCAAAGATATGGCACGGGGTCGAGGGATCGATCGCGCAGTCGTATGCGCCTATCAGCGCGTGGCTCCACGGATTCTGAATCCTCCGAGAACGAGATGCTGTTCTTGCAGCGTATCGAGAAAACACGCAATGGCCACTCTGCACATGCACCGGCTGCAACGCTTCAACCGGACCGGAAGCGCACCATGAGACATGCCAGGTCCATGTCTCGTATGACGATGAGGACAGAAAAGTCTTTGCCGCCACTCCCGGAAGTCCAAGCACAGTCGCCCGTCAAGAAGACTTTCATGGAGTCCGTCAGATCGACTCGCTATCTCCGCAACATGAGGAGTCTGCCTCAAATCAAGCCTTATGTGAATCCCCACGAGAGCATGGACTTTAAATGTGTCGGGAGCCCCAGCGAAGCCGTCAGCGCAGTCGAGCATGCGTTCGAGGAGCGAGAGATGCAAAGTGAAAAGGATGAATTAGCCCGGTCAATCAATCTTACCAGAGCGAGAATGTGTGATCAGAGGATAGAGGTGCTCGAACGCTCAGTCCTTCTCGATCGCGAAGCAAGTAAAGCTGCCAGCGAGATTGACGAATTCCTCTCGCTCCCTGCTGGGAGTACAATGACTGTGGACGAGGTGACCGGCACTGCCGAACTTGTTGGGCCTGCAGGATATTCGGGTCTCGCGACCGGCGAACGTTGGGCTTCGCTGCAATATCACGGAATGGGCGGTGGATCGGACGTCGATGGCTCGAGAAAACGATTCAGCAGATCTGCCAGCAGACCCTCAAGCAGACAATCCAATAGACCCCCTAGCAGACAACACGAATCTTCCCAAGCAAGTCACGCGAAGCCAGTACTGAAACTCAACACCAAATTCGCAAGTTCGCCGGTCGGTACTCTCGATAACATGTTTACGGCCATCACTGGGGATCGCTGGAGATCGATCGGCATGGCGAGGACAGCAGTCGATCGTAGATGGGTGGTCGTCCTTTCGGGCGCATCTTCATTGATTTCAGATAACGACGACACCAGGTCGATCCGCTCGCTCCTGACACCTTCAAGTTCCGTGAGGACACCCTGGTCGAGGTCGAAGAGCAGAGGGATGGCGACACGGCGAGAACCTTCCACTCCGGCAAGCGCATTTGGTATGATGATGACTCCCTCCTACTCAGATGATGATGAGGAGGAGGAGTACGGTATGCCAGGGACGCCGAGTATCTCTGTCACGCCCATTTTCGCCCCTGATGGAGCTGGGTTTCTGGGAGCAAGGAATATGGGCGAGAGAATGCCTTTGGCTCGCCGCAATACCCGGACGGGCCAGCGGTTAGAAACTGCACTTTCGCCGAGCGTTCGCGAGGATGATGATTGCTCGCCTATGACACCAATGTTATGACATGAACTTGGAGGAGGAGTAAGCTCAGGATGGTACACGGACTGGGCAAGGGAAGAAGAGGCCAAAATAAAGTCCAAACATAGCAGCTTGCGTAGTTTGAACCACCCACATGAATTGATGACGATGACAGGTTTCGCCACAATTAAAGAGTTGAATTATTTCCCATGTATGATTTTACTTGATCTTTTTTTCTTCATGCTTGCTTCATGGTTAATCGCTTCTAGAAGGATGGCATCTCTTGAAGTAGCTGGTGACAATGCTGCATACATGTGCCCCCATGTCAGCAGCACTCTCCTGCCTGGAGGTACCTTACATTACCTTACCCTCTCTCAACGGCTCACCGCCGCCCGATGATGATGATGAACAAGACAAAACATGTTACCTTGTACATATTTGGCAACGAGACTGCAGAAAAGAAGCCAGAAAGAAGTCTTTTAGTACACACACATACACTTTCTCTTTCCATCTGTTGAGAAATCAGTTTAGATTATGTTAAATTGATAGATCAATAAATAATCAGACTGGTCTATTTGTCTTTCTGTCTTTCTTCTTCTTCCATGAGAGCTATTCAGTCGATTCCCTAAACGCCCTTTATCGGGAAAATAAAATCATAACCATACCTACCTAGGAGGTACATGTACCTATCTACCGACAATGGAATAAATACCTAGCTTAGCCGAAAACAAAACAAACCCAAGAAAGGAAGGAGGGAGGAGTATTGCTGGCGCGTAAGGAAGGAAGGAAAAGGATTCGATAGTCAGGTAAATCAATACTCTAGAGAGAAACCATGTTCAATCTTCTCATCAATTGATTAGCTCCTAGAAGGGAGGGAGGGGACGTAGTGAGATATTGAAGAAAGATGCATTATTCATTGGTTTGTTGTAAAGACTGAAACGGTAACATTCTGATACTCCTCTATCTATCAACACCCATCTATTCCCATCCCCCCAAAAAACCATACATTTTTGTGAAAAATCTCTGACTTCGTACACTTTTTGTCATACACTTGTCTCTCTCTGTTAGAGATGTATACTGGATCTGATTTCCCCAAAAATCACTCGCTCGCTTGTATGAGTCAGACAAAGCAGTACTATATACAAAAAGAAAGATGCCATGGTACAGTAAGAAAAGTCCCGCGCTGTTGTATACTTCTATTCTTCATTCTTCTGCTTCTTCATACATTTAGTAGGCGGTAGGGGCTGGGTAGGAAGCTGGACCCGCTGGAGTAGTCGAGCTTGCACCGTAGGCTGGTGGTGCTACGGGGGTGCTGCTTGCGCCGTAGGCTGGTGGTGCCACGGGGGTGCTGCTGGCGTACGCAGCTGGGGCGGTGGAGCTTGGCTTGTACGCCGGAGGCGAGGCCTTGGTCGAGCTGGCAGCTGCGGGCACTGTAGAAGAGCTGGTCTCAAGGAGGTAGCATCCATTGATCAGCTTGCAGGTTTGGCCCTCTGGGTAGGTGTGTGCCGGGTTGCAGCTGTAGCGGCCCTGACTGTCCTTGGCACCCGACGCTGGGCATGCCGACGACGATGAGGTAGGGTAAGCGGCTGGCACGGTAGAGCTAGTCTTTGGGGTTTCGAGAAGGTAGCATCCGTTAATCAGTGTGCAAGTTTGACCCTCTGGGTAGGCGTGGGCTGGGTTGCAGCTGTAGCGGCCCTGGCTATCCTTGGCGCCTGATGCTGGGCATGCTGAAGACGATGAGGTAGGGTACGCCGCTGGCACGGTAGAGCTAGTCTTTGGGGTTTCGAGAAGGTAGCATCCGTTAATCAGCTTGCAGGTTTGACCCTCTGGGTAGGCGTGGGCTGGGTTGCAGCTGTAGCGACCCTGGCTATCCTTGGCACCCGACGCTGGGCATGCCGACGACGAAGAAGTAGGGTAAGCCGCTGGAATAGTCGAACTGGTAGATGGGTACTGGAGCAAGTAGCATCCATTAACGAGAGTGCAGGTCTGGCCCTCTGGGTAAGTGTGGGCTGGGTTGCAGCTGTAACGGCCCTGGCTATCCTTGGCACCCGACGCTGGGCATGCCGACGACGAAGAAGTAGGGTAAGCCGCTGGGACAGTCGAACTGGTAGATGGGTATTGGAGCAAGTAGCATCCATTAATGAGCGTGCAGGTCTGGCCTTCTGGGTAAGTGTGGGCTGGGTTGCAGCTGTAGCGGCCCTGGCTGTCCTTAGTGCCGGATGCTGGGCATGCTGACGAAGAAGTAGGGTACGCTGCTGGCACAGTCGAGCTAGTTGGGTATGCTGCCGGCTTGGTGACGGAGCCGGTGCTAGTCTTTGGGTACTCGAGCAAGTAGCATCCATCAATCAGCTTGCAGGTCTGGCCCTCTGGGTACGTGCGTGCTGGGTTGCAGCTGTAGCGGCCTTGGCTGTCGTTGGTACCCGGCGCTGGGCACGCCGATGAAGAGGTAGGGTAAGCTGCTGGCGCAGTAGAGCTGGCAGATGGGTATGCTGCTGGCATGCTAGCAGAGCCAGAGCTAGTCTGTGGGTATTCGAGTAGGTAACAGCCGTTGATCAGCTTGCAGGTCTGGCCAGCTGGGTACGTGTGTGCTGGATTGCAGCTGTAGCGGCCTTGGTTGTCCTTAGTGCCGGACGCTGGGCACGCCGATGAAGAGGTAGGGTAAGCTGCTGGCGCAGTAGAGCTGGCAGATGGGTATGCCGCTGGCTTGCTAGGAGAGCCAGAGCTAGTCTGTGGGTATTCGAGTAAGTAACAGCCGTCAATCAGCTTGCAGGTCTGGCCAGCTGGGTACGTGCGTGCTGGGTTGCAGCTGTAGCGGCCTTGGCTGTCGTTGGTACCGGGCGCTGGGCATGCCGATGAAGAGGCAGGCTGCGATGGGACGGTTCCGGTAGTCTTGTAGGCTGGGACTGTTGGCTGAGAGGCCACAGAGGTCGAGTAGACTGGCGCTGGCTGGGTCGCAACGGAGGTCGAATAGACTGGCGCTGGGTGTGTCCCGACAGAGGCCGAGTAGGCAGGCGCTGGGTGTGTCTGGACAGAGTTGACGGCCGAGGCTGGTGGTGGCGCCATGCTCGAATAGACGGTCACAGTCACTGGTGGGGGGCACTGGTTGACTGGGCATACTGGGCAGCTCGCAGCGGGTGGTGCGACTGGGTATGTGGTTGGCTTGCCGACATTCGCGGATGTGAGCCAAGTGGACGCACTGTAAGAGGGAACGACCGAAGTGCTGTAGTATGTAGTTCCAGAGGTGGAATAGACAGGAGCACTAGTTGCGTGGTAGACAGTGGCTGTCGAGCTGGTCGCATAGGTGATCAAAGAACCCTTGGATGAGTAACCGCCAGTGGGGTTGTGGTAAACCGGAGGCTGAGACTCAGTCGCAGTGTATGGAGGAAGCGTCAAGGTTGTCGCCTTGCTCACCACGTATGTGGAAGGACCGTGAGTCAGAGTAGTGGGGTGAGGGCAGTACGTCGTGTACGATGGGTAGACTTTCGTGGTGTACGAAGGGTACTTGGGTGCCTCAGAGCTGCTCTGTGGGTACTCGATGAAGTAGCAACCATCGATCAGCTTGCAGGTCTGGCCTGCAGGGTACGAGTGGGCTGGGTTGCAGCTGTACCGACCATGGCTGTCAGAGGTGCCAGCAGCAGGGCAGGACGCAGTTGGCTGGCTTCCGGCAGAGGTTGTGGAGTATTTGGGTGCCTCAGTCGAGCTGCTGACTGGCTTCGAGCTTGGCGAAACTGGCGGTTTCGACGAAGACGAAGAGGCGCCATATGCTGGAGGAGCCGCCGCACCGTAGGCTGGGGCGTTTGGCAGAGCGTAGGTAGCGCCCACCAGCGCCAGAACCGAGAGCTTGTACAACATGATTGCTGTTGTGTTACCGAACAGCACAGTAAATGTTGCGGGTGATGGAAAGCGATGGGATAGACGAAGCCTGAACGAGTGGGACCTCGACAAAGATATAAAACAACGGTCGGCGGTGTTGAGGCGCCTTTGAAGTTGCCTGTGGTGGTGACGATGATGGGAAGAGAGAACAATGAAAGCAGGAGACTCTGGTATTCATATACTGCGCCGTGGCGATCGACAGACCATTCCCGCCCGCCACGCAGAATGCTGTTCGAGCCATAGTGTTACCGGTGGTAGCTTGGCCTTCGCAAGTAGACGGCCCTGAGAGATACGAGCCAGGAAGCCATGATCCTCAGGAGAAGCGATCCGAGATCCACATTGTCAACGCACGGCTCGGAGAGAGCGTCGGCAGTCCGGCGACAGAGAGGTACACGTTGACGATGTTTGCTCCTCTCTCGGACGCATCGTGTGAACTGTGGCCAGTGATACGACGAATAGCAGCTGTCCAGGCCACTCGGATGGCGTAGCTTTGGGAGTGGCGTTCTGTGAAAGCGGCAACTCAAGGCTTCCATTCTATTCTTGCGAGTGCAACGTCGATGTCATGTCAAACTCGCGCGGCGGTGTCGTGCTACTGCAGCGCGGAGGAGGTAGCGTCAGGCTGCGGAAAAGTCAGCGCGAAACACCGACCGAATGTAGTAGGAGAGTTTTTTGATGACAGAGGCTTTGGAGAGAGACGTTGAGAAGAAAGCTCCAACAAGCTTTGCAGAGCGCCAAGGACGTATGTACTATTTGTGTCTCACTCACTCTAACCCGGCTGGGCATATTTCTGTGCACGTCGAAGGAGCAACACGAGGCACTAGTAGAACACTAGCGACTCCCAAACTTCAGAGGCCTCTGTGGGGCGATCGAGGGCGGCCGGCAACAGTAGGAGGTACGCCTTGGCGATTTAGTCTGGTTGCATACCACGTCTCCATGTCTGCACGTCAATGAGACGCCGCTTGATGATCATGATGATGATGGTGATGATGATTATGAACAGCAATAGTTCAGAGTCGTGCCGTGCAGCCCACGGTCACATTCGCATGCGAAGCACTGGATATGTCGAGCGGCAGGCGATGTGTTCGGGTACTGTGGACTGTAGCAGGATGGCCTCTACTGCACAGTGCAGGAGTGAGTGTTCATGGTGATGCTGCTTGCGGGCCAGCTCGCCACTGTACCAACAGCATCAGCGAATTATGCAGCGTTGACGGAGGTGGCATACCGCTATGCAGCGACTCCGGCGGCGTATGTACCGGTACCTGCATGAGCATGGGGATGTGGAGTGGATGGCCGGCCATAGAACTGCCTCCTAATGATGAAGAACCATCATCCAGCACCGGGCTCGGAGGCTTCTCTCATGGCCATTGCGCACGTCTGCCGGTATTATTCATCGCGGATCCAGCAGGAAGCACAAGGGCGCCGGGCAGTTCATCCCATAGTTCCACCACATTGTGCATCGCGGTTGTTGCTTCACTTTCTTCACCTACCTCCTACCTCCTACCACCTACCCCTCTGGTCCAGCGATGCCCAGCAGGCCCTTGCGCCGCCTTCCGCCGTGTCGCTGTGCACGGGACGTTGTTCTTGACGTTGCAGTGGCGGCCATGTGTGCGCCATGATCCATTCGGCTAAGCTGCTAACAGCGCACGCCTCTGAAGAAGGGCCCGCCGATCAGCGGCCCAGTGCTATTTTCGACGGCGAAGAGCTGTTCTACCTTCTACCATCCGGAATGATCGGGTCTCATCATGATCAGAATCCACGAAAGCCGCGCAGAAACATGCCGATTCTCATCGTGGCCGACGACTAGGCGGTACCTCCGGTACTGGGAGGGTACGAGGTACTTTGTGAACTAGTATGGGATTGAAATTCATCCATCCAGATTCGACAGAGGGTGCTCGTAAACAGGCTCTAGTCAGGAGTCGGGAGTAGGAGGTGCGTGCCGTCGGGCTGTGGCGAAAGATTTTTGTAATGGGACTAAGGTATTTCCCAAGTAAGGAAGGTAGCAAAGCATGTGCTGCATAATAATGGCAGAAAGGTGGAAGAGGGAGGTACGGTAGTCTCGAGACACGTCTCTCTGCAGGTGAGGAACACGCAAAAAAGAAAAGTCCGATCGGGAGACACGACGGGAGTGCGAGCGATGGAAGTTTGGAAGGAATGAAGTGCCCTCACGAGAGTTATTTTGGGAACCAATATTCTTGGCTGCATTGCAGACCTGATGATGATACCTTGCCTACAGTAGCTCAACCAGTTACTCCCACATACTCCCACCTACCAGGCTCGAAGCAGCACTTTTTTGGGGAGAGTGTACGGCGTCATTGACGTCCTTCTTCAGACATGCAGCTGGCCACGAACTATCTGTATCGCTCGACCAGACTTCTCATGCTCTGCTACTATACTCGTGTGGCTGCAGATACATCCTACCATCCCGTCTTCGTTGCATCGCACGTGCGTACGAGGAGGCACCGTTGCCGTCGTATTGCAACAAGCTGTTCACATAGTGTTATCACTACCTCCTACCAAACTACTCTCAGGAGGTAAGGTAGAGACCAGACCAGGAAACCGCCTATTGTCGTGAATAACTCGAACCAGCCAAGAGGCTCCTCCGATATTGAATCGCCACAGACTCTGCACGGAAGAAGAAAAACACTGGAATCTGGTTCCGCCCGCCAGTGACGCCAGAGTCACTTCCATCGACGACAACCTGAAGACGCCTGACTAAGACATGCCGACAACGCTCCTGCCGTCATCGACTCCACGCTCCCGTCTCGTCTTCCTTTCTCTCTCTCTCTCTCTCTGCCCGATATTTGCTTCCCGCTGACTCCTGCATGTACCTGACTGTTGCATCCCGCTGAAAAGACATGGAAAAACCTGCCTTCTCGCCAGCCAGCCGTTTGAAACGGTCGGCTCTCTCAACGCCTTCCAAACGGCGTACCAACATATACTACAGCATCATCACTTCGGACCGGATGAGGAACGGCCTCTTGGGCTGCGTGCGCTCCGAGGTCGTTTACCGTCTGTTCGCACGGGCGACCCCCCCTCCCGCCGTCGGCTTCGGGAATATGACGATGGAACGAGTCACAGTCACAGTGGGAGCAGCAGCTCGATCTTCCAGCTCCATCTTGTGGCGAAGAATGGACTCCCTGAATTTGTTACATGTACAGGTAACTGAGAAAATCACTGACTTGCCTGCTTGCCTGCCTGCCTGCAACCCTTGATACTACAGATGGTGAGATATAGCAGGTATTGCATGGCATACTCTTTCAACAATCAAGCTTGCCTACCAGTTGGGGGCAATGAAATAATTTCCACCCGAGTGCTGTCTCCCGTACACGATCCCAGGATGAGATGAGATGAGATGCACGAGGACAGAACGAGCACGATCAATGCTCTAGCAAGTCATGTGCTGGAATGAAGACTTATTAAGACCCAGCATCCAACTCCCAGACTCCTTTCTCTTTATCACGCTCCCTCTATCCGTTTTTCCTCCAAAAGTCTTGCAGCCCCATCCTCTACACCCTATAAGCGAAGCTTGATTTAGATTCATTGATATTGCCGCCGCCATCTCCTATTGTCACCCAACCTTGATATACCGAGGGTACATGAAAGAGCGTTGCTCAAGTTGAATTCAATTCCAATGGGCAAAATTCGAATAAAAAGAGGTAGGTACATTCCGGACGTCCTATGAAAAGCCGCGCGAGAGCGAGCGTCAGCAAGGTGGACGTGCAAGCTGGAAGCAGTGAGGTACCATGCTCAGCAGGACATCATAATCTCGATTCTGCTCTCTCTTGCCGTCTTCTCTTCACCCACTGGCCAAAAGGAAGCCAAATGGCCTCCTTCTCATGCGGTTTCGTATTTGCTGCCAATCCACTCGTTGCAGTTGCCACGAATACAGCAGCGCCAGGCCAATCTGCTGTTTTGCCTATACGCTCACTCTCTTTTTGCCACCCGTACTGGAATTCATCTTTCCTGATAGCGCGCTGATGTCGCCAGCGCCAGATGGATTCCCATATACCTTTACCAACGATACACACAGCTTCAGGACGAAAAGCTCGGATCTTCTCTTCCAGAACAGGTGTACCAGCAGCGGATTCAGCTTTACTGAGTTCGGCAGCGTGTCTGGAAGGCCGGGCCACAATATTCGTGTTTCCCATGCTGTATAATCTGGGTAAATCGACATCTTGCTCGGGCCTCAATCGGATATCTGTACATCCTGAGCTATGCAGGAGCTTCCAGAACATGTTGGAAGGATGAGCATAAGCATGTCCGGATGTGGCAGTCATGATACCGGGGTTGAAGCCCACAAAGACGCAGATGAGATTGGGCTCCAGCACGTCTGTGAGAGGGGCCAGATGTGCATACTTCGAGGGCGGAGCGTATTGCGTGGATGTACGTTGTCGTTTCGCAGGGGAGCTAGACACTGAATGTGCTGTCCCCGGACTGTCTTCCTTCGTTGGCAGCGGGCGTTTGAGGTTGGCTTTCGTAACGGTGTCTATGCTGACCCTCTCTGGTGCTACAGTGCTTCGACTACTACTGGTGTGCCTGAATCGCTCAAGGGTGCTCTTGAATGCTTCATTGATCGGGCGCTTCGCGTCGCCATCAATGATGGCTCCATCATGGTCATCCCAGATCGATGAACTGGAGCATGTGCTGGCGTTGTCTGGTATTCGGTCCACATCGGACATAATACAAAGTGAAGTATGGTGGCGATTCAAGGAGTCGAGTGTGATTGAAGAAGAAGGAAGGTGCTGTTGAAAGTTTATCCGGCGCGGCGAGCGGGCCGTCTTCGGCAAGAGCTTATCGCTGGTGTCACATGCGCTCATCGGCTGTCTTAGGTTGTCTTTCATCACTTGAACTCTCTCGTGCACTCTCTCTCTGTCTCTCTTCATCTCGTGCAACACTTTCCCCAAGACATCGGCTGCCTGACCAGTCGAGCCGTATTCTCTCATTGCTTCTGCTCATCTCCTCAAAAGCACGCGAGATGACGGCGTAAGATGCCAACACAACGACGCGGCCTGAGACGGCAACGGCATCGACATCGGCATCAGCCAAACAGACGGGCCACTCTTGAATAAGAGCGGCTCTATCCCTTTCACCGCTTCCGCCGTCCTCCGCCATGAGTTGGTGGCAGAAGAAGCTGCTCCGCTATGGCCTGCGATATGGCTTGGCGCAGACCGGCTTGCTCGACGACTCCGCGATCGATCTCGACAACCTCGACATCACCATCGGCCGCCAGAATGTGATCGAGTTGAAAGACGTGGGCTTGAATATTGCGCGGATCAGCCAGCTGGCGCAGTTGCCGCCTGCGCTGAGGCTCGAAACAGCACGGGTGTTGTTGCTGAAGTTGACAATACCCGCCGATGTCTTCCAGAGTAGCATCATTGTTGAAGTGAACGGCGTAGAGGTGGTTGCCGTACTGCAGGACGATGTGTCCGATCATACGTCACAACAGAAACCAACTGGGGCAAGAGCGAGAAGCCCAGAAAGTGTGCGGACACCACAGCATAGAAAGACGAACAGACGGATACACTCGCCCCCGCCATACGATCCTGGGGGCCCAGATCAGGATGCGCGTTTGCCGAATGTGCAGGACATTGCAAGGTCCTTCTTGTTGGAAGAACCTCTCGAGGAGCGACAAGATCTTGAGGCCATGGCGTATGGATCTGGTGGTGTCGAGGAGTCGTTTACCAGTGAGAGCAGCTCAGGTGAGGCCGGAATAGGAACTGGCGTTGGTGTGCCTGGATTCTTGACAACATTCCTACAGGGCATCGTGGAAAGGTTTCAGCTGGTGGTCAAGGATTTACAGGTCAGGATCGATGCAGAAGTACAAAGTGACTCTCTGCAGAGCATGCCTGTCACATTGCGGTTGCGGGTCGGCACCTCCACTGTTGCCAAGGTGGACCAGTCCGCGCCGGACAAGAAGCGTGAGATCAGCTTAAGTGCTATATCTGTTGATCTCTTGTCACAAGACGACGTGCTTGCAGAACTCGCAAGCATGCCTTCATGTGCCTCTGCGGCAGACAGAAGGTCATCGACCCACAGCGCGAAGTCGGCTACCTCCTTCCCTAGCGCTGGAGATTTGGCCGCGTCGACAGATAATCCTCGTCTCCACGGCGTGGGACTTACATCCCCGGCCCAGAACAGGCGTAAGTCATATGAGAGCGAGCGGTCTGTTCATGACATGATGCAATCCGCTACGGGACCTACGCTACGATCTGAATCTCCTTTGTCACCTTTCATGTCCAGTAGGGGAGCTTCTGCTTCAGTAACAGTGGACGACGACCTCGCTTATAGAGACGATGTCTACGGGTCCAGCCCGAAAGCACACGAGCTCGATATCCAGCCCGGCGACGACAACATCAGTTGGGGCTCCAGGAGGAGCAAAGCTAGCGCACCGACCAATGATCTTTGGGGTTCCATGATGAGCGAGGACGACTTACCGGACTCACTATTGATTGCTCAGCCTGCTCTCAGCGCTTCCCCTCATGCACAATCTTCACGAGGCCATAGTCCCTTCACCGCTCGGCAGAGACGTGCTGTATCACCATATGATCGCGGGATTCCGAGTCCCAGATCATGGCCAGGACCAGAGGACAGCCCGCACGTGCAGCTGCGGCAAGGTCCCGGATCATGGCCAACATTAGATCTTGAACCCTCCAACACAGCCGAGCCACTCGATCAGGTCCTAACAATGGCCCCAGACGAATCAACAGATAATAAACTCTTGGCAATGGAGCAGGTCCGACCTGAGTCTCCCATGCTGGAACCAGAAACCCCGCTTGAAATGCAGGACTCAGTGGACGAGAGCATGATGGAGTCGCGCTTCTTTAGCCACGAAGATGCGCAGAGTATGTACATGAGTGCCATGACTGGAGCCCCTGCCAGTGCGACCACGAACATACCTGGCAGTTCGGCCGTGAACACACCTGGCAGTCCGGCCGTGAATACGCCTGGCAGTCCAGCCATGAGTATGCCTGGCAGTCCGACCATGAACATACCTGGCGGATGGGGCTATGATACTCAGAACGTGGAATCAACACCATCAGATGTCATGGCTAATCTACCAGAAGTACAAGGTGGTCATACAGCACAGATAGATGGAGCGCTGCAGAGCAAGGAATTCAGCTCTGGCAATGCCACGCCAAGAGCGCAAACACCTGTGCAACCATCATTTGGGGGCAAAACCTACTCCCCGCCTGCTATGTCAGCGGTGAGGGAGCTGCTACACATCGATCGAGTCACGGTTACCATTCCCTGCGCACAGCCGACCGACACCACCGACGTGTCACCAAAGCCTACACAGACCAGCCAGAATTTTCGATCGAGTAGTCGAGCAAGGGGGATGCCAGGTACATTTTCAGCTTATTCTGAATTGAGCGCTTCACGAAGACGTGGAACAAACTCAGCACATACCGACGTCAGCAGCGTCGTGTGGAGTCCGCAAGACGTTCTTAGCCGGTCAAAGCCTGAAATTATGCTGAACGTCACGGTTAGCACTGTGCTGGCTCAGGTGGATGTCTCGACTGGCCAGCTATTGTTCAAGGTCGCGAAAAAGCTCAGCGCTTCTCTTCCTGCGCAGCAGTCAAGCTGTTCGAAGCCAGCAACTAGTGAACCTGTTGAGAGTGCCCTCCCACAAACGTCACTGTACTTACAGCGTATACATATATCTCTTGCTGAGCAGATCGACGCTCATTACAACCTCGGAGACGGGCCATGTCCACCTCGACCAGGCCTTGTCGACTTTGACTGTGAAAATCTAGCTCTGGAGCTGGGCGTCAGCCCCACGATACGCGCTGGTGCGATGCAAGTTCTACTTGGTGGTCAGGACTTGCTGACATTCGATGTTGCAACCAGTACCATGTCAGGATCAATTGCATTTCCCGAGCATGCTCCTGTCGTTGCGATCGACATCACCAATCACAGACTTGTCGCCAGTGAGGAGCTAATCACGGAGATTGATGTGCAGACTGCACCGATCAGATTTACTTTTGATGTTGGCGTCTTCGATGAGACCTTCGATACTTTTGGGGGTCTCAGCGGCATACTGGAACTAGGAAACTCCGTTTTTCTCGATAGCGGCATGAGCTCGCCTACATCGTCCAGAGCCCCGAAAGGCGTGCGTTTCGCTGGCGCAGAAGAGCCTGCCAACAGTGGCACCGAATTCAAAGTCAATGCACGTATCAGTGGTGTCACTGTAAATCTGAGGAGTGTTCCTTGCTCGGCAATATTGCGAACAAGTACGATCAAGGCTATCTATCGCGAGGGCCCCGAAGCCGGCAGCAAAGCCACAATCTCACGCGTGGTCCTCAGTGGTCCTCACTATGGAGCTCATTCGCGGGAAACACCATTGATGATAGATCTCGCTACAATTAGCGCTGAGTACCTACCGGCTCCGTGCGAGAAGGACCTTGAGCGGCTGATATCGTTACTGATGCCTTCGCGGGACCAGTACGATGACCGCGGGGACATCTTGATTGACACACTGGTGCGTCAACGTCGGAATGGAGCACTTCTTAGAGCAGCGGTTGGAGATGTAAAGGTCAGGTTGGATAACTTTGAGTGCCTAACAGCTCTCGGTTCCCTTGCCAATGATCTTGCCAAGCTCTCTGCTGTCTCAAAATATCTTCCCGAAAATGACAAGCCTGGTTTGCTCACGCTGCTTCGAATCAGAGACGCCGAAGCTCGAATGCCTGTGAACGATCGCTTTGGCACACTGATATGTGCTCTGCAAGACTTGCATCTTGCTCATGTAGGCCTACCAGCGCTGCTGGCATTTTCCATTGGAGACATTCTCGCCCAGCAGGATGGAGGACCTGAGCTCATTCGTACTCTGCTCCCTCTTGCTGGCGTAGACAAGCTTCCGGTCGTGATGGCACGCACGATTGGCAACGAGATAGATCCGACCGTGAAGGTCAAGGTTTTCAACGTCTGCTTGGAATACAGTGTGCCTGTTGTCCTTGCCCTCACCAACATGGACCGCCCCATCGCGCCGGAGGAACTGGTGACCGGCATCGCACAATCCATTGCCAACCTCACCATGTTAGAGAAGTCTGCAAGACTGACTCGCAGTCCCGCTAGCGATGCATCATGCACACCGGCCAAGAAGACCAACATCAGTCTGTTGATACACGACTCTGCAATTGGCTTGACTCCACAGAAGCTCCATTCGAAAGTCCTTGTGGTTCTGAATGATGCTCACGTAACAACAAGTGTACCGCCGGGCGAGACCATGTCTGCCAAGCTTGAGCTGAGAAAGGCTGCCATCTTCATCACAGACCATGTCCAGGATGATTCGAGTATGGGACCCACGCCAAGCCATGTCAATACCATGTTGCGTCTCAGTCACGCCCTCACGGAGAGAGGATTTGTCTCGGTGGGCTCCATCATGTCTGCAGTGGTAGACTTCCGCGCGAAAGCGGCTAGTGACGAATCTGCCACGAAGGTTATTGAAGTCGACGTCAAGAACGAGCTCTTCCTGCTAGAGACGTGTGCAGACTCTACTCAGACACTATTCGCAACTCTCGGCGCACTTGCTCCGCCAACGCCACCTAGTAATGTGCCAAAGTACCTGACCCAACCAATGCCGATCGAAGATATGATGGCGTCCTTCTCAGGCGAGCCAATCCTACAGCCCGAGGAAAAGACGGAGACATTGTTCGATGTTGAGCACGACCCAGACGATATCGATGATGGAGGACTGCTTGGAGTGTCAACCTTTGATGATCCAGACGAATTGCTTGCCGAATCCGAGATGAACTCGAGCCTCTATGGACCAGTCAGTGGCCTGCTGGGTATGGAAATGGATGCGGACGAAGAAGGCAATAATGTTGGCGACTATCCAGAGACCGCTGAGAGCTTGCTTGAGGAAGACCCATTTGAGATGACACTGTCGCCGGAGGATGCTTATCTCGGCGATGCAGCCCTTCTACGAGATCTCAACAGACAATCAAAGCCAGCTGTCAGAAGCACGCCTGTTGACCTTGGACTATACGAGATTGAAGATCTTGGATATGATGCACTCGGAAGTGGCCAGCAAGCCCTCGGGGGGCAGCATCGCTTTAATGCTCCATTCGTTGGGAAACGCGGGCGAGGGATCAACCAAGTGGCACAAGACATACCTTTCCGACTGCGGCTGAGAGACATGAACCTCATCTGGCATCTATACGACGGATATGACTGGCAACGCACGCAAAATGGTATCGTCGACGCTGTCGAGCAGCTTGAGCAGCGTGCCGAAGAGCGGAAAGCTCGCCGACAGCACTCTCGCCAGGATCCGGAGGACGACGAATCGATTATCGGAGATTTTTTATTCAACTCGATCTACATCACGGTTCCTGCTGATCTTGATGCACAAGACATCCGACGCCAGATCAATCGTGGCATAGATCACGACATCAGTGAGACTGAGAGTGTGCCGGTTTCCGGCATTTCCAGACCTACGACGACTTACTCTGCTTCGGGACTACCACGACATAAACAGTCGCAACGAAGACGGCTCAAGCTTGGTCGAAGCCGGAGCCACAAGATCGCTTTCGAGTTGAAGTCGGTCTCGGCGGACTTCGTTGTCTTTCCTCCCTCGAGTGGTGAAGTGGTGAGCTCTGTAGATGTTCGTCTGAAAGACTTTGAGATTTTCGACAAAGTGCCCACTTCTACCTGGAGGAAATTTCTGACCCATCTCCACACCGACACGGCTTCACGCGAGATGTCCAAACCAATGTTCCACATCCAGCTCGACAATGTGAAGACTTTGGAGAGTCATTCCGCATCTGAAATTGTGCTGCATGTTACAGTGCTGCCACTTCGGTTGCACGTCGACCAAGACGCACTGGAATTCATCACTCGCTTCTTCGAGTTCAACGATCCTGAATTGGTGCCCCAGGAAGAACCCGGTGAGAAGCCTTTCCTGCAACGCATTGAAGTGGATACTGTAGACCTGTGTCTCGACTACAAGCCCAAGACTGTCGACTATGCGGGCCTTCGATCTGGGCGCACGAAGGAATTCATGAACTTCGTCACTCTGGAGGGTTGCAATATTCGTCTCAAGCACGCTATTATCTATGGTTTGCAGGGCTTTGATCTTCTTCATGACACGCTGAGTGACGTGTGGACGCCCGATGTGATACGCAACCAGCTCCCCAGAGTACTGTCGGGCCTCGCGCCTGTCAGGAGTCTGGTGAATCTGGGCATTGGCGTCCGAGATGTCGTCGCCATCCCAATTCGCGAATATCAGAAGGACGGGCGTATCGTCCGCAGCATACAGAAAGGTGCATTCCAATTCGGCAAAACTACAGCCGGTGAGCTCGTACGACTTGGCGCCAAAGTTGCGCTTGGTACACAAACTATGCTGTCAAATGCAGAAGACTTCTTGGCGCCTGGGAATACCTCTGCAGCCGGACGCACTCGTTTGTCGTCCTCTCCTGGATGGCAAGAAGGAGGACATGTCTCCGACGAGGACGATCCCGAACGACAACGAGCAGTCTCGGCATATGCGAATCAGCCACTCGGTGTTCTATCCGGTTTGCGCTCAGCAAGACGACATCTGGAGCATGATCTCTTGACCGCAAGAGATGCGCTGATTGCTGTCCAGGGCGAGGTCCTGGAAAGCAGAGGACCGGTTGATGTTGCAGGAGCGGTGGTTAAGCATGCTCCTACTGTTATCCTCAGACCTGTCATTGGTGCCACGAGAGCCGTGGGGACGGCGTTGCTGGGCGTTGGGAATGCGGTCGACCGAGGGAATCTGAGGAGAGTGGAGGACGTAAGTTTTCTATCTTTGCCCCTTGTTTATGCTTCATTCTGCAGGAATACATTTACTGACTGTCCTACTTGCGAGCAGAAATACAAGAGACGTTGATACGCGCCTTGCTAGCCGTGCCAGTAGGCTATCAACGCAGAGCTTATGCATGGGGAGGTGGCTCGAATTTGAACATGATTGGGAGGTCGCGACAAGAGAGTATTTCGATATGGATTACAACAAGTCTCCTGTCTCGAAGCTAGGTAGATTTCAGGCCAAGCGATAAGCCCGCTGAGCAGTCCCACTCCACACTAATGATTTCTGCTGGTCGGTGAGAAGAGTGCCTTGATATATGCAGGATTCGAGCAGTCGGGAAACCACATTTTTCCATACCGGCCATGAGCGCTCTCCCGCTGGCCCTCGCAGATTACACACGGGCCAATCACTCCCAAACATGACTCTCTCCGGACCGAATGCACTCAATACTACGTCGACCCACGGCATCATGTATCTCGCTATGGCATCGCAATCCCCCCCTTTTAGAACATGTTCCGGCAATTCACTAAACGCCCCCGAAAGTTTCATATACGTATTCGGACATTTTGCCATGCTCGTCACTGCATTTTTCCACGCCTGAAATTCCCCTTCTCTTCCCTTTTTCCCTGCTGCTGCTTCTTCTTCTCCTTCGTCATCTTCTCCATCTCGAAAAAAACTCGGCTTACAAAAATGATTAATCACAAACACCACCCTCTCCCCCACAGGAACTCCCTTCTCCTCCCCCCTCGCCCACACCTTCTGCATCACCCTCACCATCCCCTCCAACTGCCAAATCCCACCCGATCGTTGATCCACTCCCACATCAAACACCAAACCCCTCTGACCCAAAATCTCCAAATTCTCAACAAAATTCTCATTCCTCACTACGACTTTCTCAAATATTTCTTTCTCGGAAATAAATTGGAAAAGATATCTAAAACCTTTAATTCGAAGCCAGGTTTGTTCTCCGGCTTCGTCCTGCACCAGTTGGAGCCATTGTGAGAGGATGAGCGGTGCTTGCGTCATGGGTGCCCAGGCGACGATTCCGAGGAGTTTGGCGCTGGCGTGAGTGCCGTAGGAGCCGGTTATGATGGAGCGGAGGAATTGGATTTCTTGGAGGGGGCCGCGCGTCCAGGATTGGAGGGAGGAGATTGTTGGAGGGGTGGGGGTTGCTGGAGGGGGGGTGGAGTAGCGGACGTCGGTTTCGACGTATATGATGCCTTTGAGGATTGGTTTTGATGATGAACATGGCTCGTCTTCTTCTTCTTTTTCTTGTTGTTGTTGTTCTTGTTGTTCTTCTTGTTGTTGTTCTGATGCTCGAAAGTAATCTTCTGGAATTTGTGGTTTGGCCAGTGGCATACCCGGAGTCATCCATGCGTGACCTTGTTCGTTGGCCATGCTCTCCGGCCAGAGATGGATGTGGCTATCGATAATAGACAGCGGCGCCATGATGTCGGCCGATGATGATTGATGATTGATGATGATGGTGGTGGTGGTGGGTGGGTGGGATGAGATTCGAATGACCTGCCAGAATTGTGCTTCGTCGTGCAGTATGGGGGTGGAGGAGGAGGAGGAGGAAGAGGGTGTGGTTCCTACGCTCTACACCAGACCCGACTATGCACGAGCAATCAAACGGGGGCAGTGGAGGAGGGTGGGAAGATTCTTGTTTGCTTCTGAGAGCTGCTGCAAACTGCAATGCCGGCTCTGACGCCCCGTCTGTCTCAACGGATGTCGGATATGTAAGGTAAGGTAAGGTATGTAGTCTGTAGTAGTTTGTAGTCTATGTTTGTAGCAGATGCCGATAGGAGGTGGGATGTGTATCGACTGGCTCTCTCTCTCTCTCACACACACACTCACACACACACACACACACACACACTCACACACACTCACACACACAGACTCACTGGAGTGGCCATCCATGTCGTGGCCTACGTGCAGCTCGCTTCTCATTGTCCCGAAAGCTTGCCCCTCTCCCAACCTCGCCTCGCTTTGAGCACGAATCGTCAAGGAGACACCCGAGAGAAATCAGGGATCACTTGAATGAAATGTCCAAAGTAGCCATCGCTGTAATAATAATGTGATTTTTCTGCAGGACAGTACTTAGTGTATTAAACAGGCCACACGGCTTGATGCGGATACCTCCAATTCCACGGAATCCTTGTAGTCTTTAGCTCTCACATACATGTACCAAGCAGGAAAAACCAAAAAAGAAAAGAAAAAGAATCGGTTGAGAGCTGTCGCTGGACTCTGAACCCGGCAGAAATCCGACATAATGGCGACAGCAACAACAGCATTACTGTTAGAAGGAAAAGTCGCAGCAATCACGGGAGCGGTGACGGGAATTGGAAGGGCAATTGCTCTGGATTATCTCGAACATGGTGCTCGTGTCGCCGTGAATTACTATCCCGACGACAAGTCCACACGCCAATTCGAGGCATTGCAAGATGAAGTGGGTGCCGATTATCAGGACATGTTGATCGGCCTACCGGGAGACATTACCAAGCCTGAAACTGGCCAAGAGCTGGTGAAGAGGACGGTAGAGAAGTTTGGGAGACTGGACATCTTCGTGAGCAATGCAGGCGTTTGTCAATTTGCAGACTTTCTGACGTATGTATCGAGTTGCTCGCCGCTTTATGCAATATGTAGCAATGACTGACATTTGCTGCTGTTAGAATGTCGCCTGATCTGGTCAATCACACCATCACGACAAACTTGAACGGTGCCTTTTTCGCCATTCAAGCTGCTGCCCAGCAAATGTCTCGACAGGAGCCTTGTGGGGGAAGCATTATTGGAATTTCCAGTATTTCTGCATTGGTCGGTGGTGCTGGTCAGACCCATTATACTCCGACAAAGGCCGGAATTCTATCTCTCATGCAAAGTACCGCCTGCGCTCTTGGTAAATATGGCATCAGGTGCAATGCATTGTTGCCAGGCACAATCCGGACACAACTCAATGACGAGGACCTGGCGAGTGCAGACAAGCGATCATACATGGAAGGCCGGATACCTCTAGGCAGACTGGGACAACCGAAAGACCTGGCAGGTCCTGCTGTGTTTCTGGCGAGTGATCTCAGCGAATACGTGACTGGCGCACAATTATTGGTGGACGGAGGTCTCTTCGTGAACCTGCAATGAAGTAGTAGTAGTAGTAGTAGTAGTAGTAGTGGTGGTGGTAGTAGTATCTCACTCGAAACCATCAAAGCCTGTGTCTTCTCCTCCAGCCTCAGCTGCTGCTGCTGCTTCTCGTCTTCGACTCCCGAGTATCGCGCCTTTCTTCTTGTTCTCCTCTCGGCGGATGAAGCCTGCTTTTGTGCTAATCTTCGCTCTGCGAGCTGCCTTTGGGTCTTTGTTCAAACCCCTTGCTGTTCTTGCCTCAACTCCGTGCTTCTTGAGATTCTGCTTGTCCTTTTTATTCAAGTCAGGCAAAGCGTCAAGGAGCCACGTCTGCAAGCCTTGATCTGCTACGCCTTTCTGCTTGTGTGCTGTGGCGACGACATTCGCAATCGGCTTCATATATGCAATATCTTCCTGGCTGAAGAACGTCACTGCCACGCCGCCCTCGCGTCCCGCGCGACCAGTACGACCCACACGATGGATATATGCTGCACTGGATGTGGGTATGTCGTAGTTCACAACGCCATTGACGCCTCGGAAGTCGACGCCCCGAGAAAGCAAATCCGTCGTAATGAGAACCCAGACTTCCCCCTTGCGGAATTTGGTCATAACACTGTCGCGTGCTGTGTCAGAGAGGTCCGAGTGCAAAACCGCTATTCTACTGATCCCACCAGCCTCGGCAGGTATATCGTAGAGCAGTTCCGAGTGTAGGGCAATGGCTCGCTCGATCGTCTGTGTGAATACAAGGAACGGCGGTAGTAATGGAGGCCCTGAATCAGCTGAAGTGGTGGCCGGGTGCAAGAGGTTTCGCAAACCCATTAGTTTTCCTTGCTCCGAGGCTGCGTACACAAGTTTGTGTTCAATATTTGGCACTGCTGAGTCCTTAAGACCGACCACCAGTCTAATGAGAGGTGCTTCAGCAGTCTCATCTTGATTCAGTCGAATCCATCTTTCGCGCATCACTGATCGAGCCAGCTCTTCGATATTGCTGCCCATCGTCGCAGACCAAAGGCTTGCGCGCAGATTCTTCCGTGGCAACCTGTTCCATATGGACAGAGTCTGTTCTCGGAACAGTGGATCTAGCAACACGTCTGCCTCGTCTAGTATCAGATATCTCACCTCAGATAGTGCGCTGCAGCTGTCCCGATGCGCATCTTGCAACATGCTAGCCAGCACACCGGGCGTGGACACCAAAATGTCGGATTTGACAACAGTCCCGCTTTGAATTGACAACTGGTCCGATTGTTCATTCTCACTATCGCTTCCAGGCGCAGCAGTTGGTAATCCTAGCTTCATGCCTTTTCGTACTTGCGTCACACGTAGACCCGTGTTCTGGGCAAGCTTTTTGCATTCATTCACAATCTGACTTGCGAGCTCTTTGGTGGGAGCAAGGATGATGGCAGATATGGTCTTCGGCGCATCTTTCGTCTCTCGTCTTGTTTGCGAAAGATGGTGAATCAGTGGTATAGCGAACGCAAGGGTCTTGCCACTGCCAGTAGGTGCCACGGTCAACAGATCAATGTTCTTATGACTATCTGCCGGTAAAGAAGCTTCACTAGACAATAGAGAGCTCGGCGGCCCCAGGAGAAGTGGGATTGCGCCTAGCTGTACCTCCGTTGGTGTTGCATAGCCTTGATCCTCGACGTTGTTTGCCACTCTTGTCGAGATGCCATACTTGACACGCAGCTCCGAAAATGATTGTAGAGGCTGTGGAAACAATGGCACCTTGTCCACCTTCTCTGGCTTAACCTTCTTCTTCTCCTTGCCCTTCGAGCGACCCTTCTTCGCGAGAGCAGGTGGGTTGAGCCAAGTGACTTTCACCTTATGCTGTCGCAATACACCTTTGCACTCGTCCGTCGAAAGATCAGGCACAGAGCCATGCGACACACCAACACGTGCGTTGTCCGCTTGTCCAGCCACGTCTGCGCCCGTCTCCTTCTCGTGCGACACTTGCTCGTCACCACCCTTGCGAGCGAGCTTGGATTGCCCACCACCAAAGAAGTCCAGCTCTGTTGGCGTCTCCGTCGGCTCCTGCACTCGCTTGCGCTTTCTCGAGCTGGACGTGACCGCCTCTATCGATGATGGAAAAAGTTGCGGCTGTACATTTTGGCCACTGGAAGGAGTAGTTCGCTGAAGAGGCGCGCTTTTCGAGCGCTTAGTCGACCGAGACAGCAGCTTGAGAGGATCCATAAGGCGTCGTCCGTTGTGACGAGCAGCGCGAGTTGAGTCAGTGTGGAAGCTTGTAGATACAAAATTAAATATTTCTACATTCGCGGTCGGAAGCTGCCTCCTCGGGGGCCCGGGCGTGCCACGGAGGATTTAGCGTCCCTTGATCCGGCATCTCCCGCGTCGGACTTCGTGATTTTGCAGTAGCAGCTCAGCCATTGAAACAGCTTCAGACAGATACCCAGCACTTCCTCAACACAATGGCATCTCCAGCCATGTCCCGGATGGTCCTCCGCCAGTCCAAGGTCCTCTTCCAGCGTCGCGCCGCCTCGACCACCTCCGAAGCCGCCAACGCCGCATCCAAGGCCGGAACCGCGGCAAAGGAGACTGCCCAGAGTACGGCATCAAAAGCACAGCAAGGACTGTCCAGAGTGACAAGCTCAGCCGGGCCTGCATTGAGCAAGGCCGTGTCGAGCGTCAGCAATAGCCTCTCGACAGTCGGCGGCCGCACAGGCGCGCTCATTGGCTTTGTACAAGGTGAGATAGGAGACGGGACGGTTTACGGACAACACATTATCTGACTGAGCATGCGTGCACTAGGTCTCATTCCACACGTTGTATACTATGGCAAGGTAGTCGGCGAACTCGGCAAGATAGTGTACTCTGGCCGCGGGATGCAGCCACCGTAAGTGTAGCCCAGCAAATGGCGGCGGGAAAGGCAAGTGAGCTGACTCTCTCAGTAATGCGCAATCCGTTCAATCCGCCATCGCACCGCTTCGAAACGCCGTATCCAACCCCGCCAGCTTTGGGTCGCGGACTGCCAAAGCCGCCGAGAAGACTGCAGACCAGGCGATCCAAAACCCACAGTCATTCGTGGAACGACTGAGGAACCTCGATCCTGCCGCGTTGACCCAAGTCGGCATCGTAACTGCTGAGACCATTGGTTTCTTCTCGATCGGAGAGATCATCGGGCGCTTCAAGCTTGTTGGGTACAGGAGCAGCGCCGTGCACGACCATCATTGAATGAGTTGTCGCGACAGAGAAGAAGACTTGTGTGTGTGTGTTGAAGCACACTATACCTATTAGATGGATGTGGTCAGGGAGATTGTGGCCTGGCTGCGTCGGCAGGATCGAACGGCGCCCGACACGATCTTGTCGGTGCGTGTAACATTGTGCATAGTGCAGAGTCCTGAGCATTCCTGGACGTAGACGATAACAGACGGTTCTTTCATTCTGTGTACAACAGCCAGATACACAGTCCCTAGCTCCCCTCGAGTCCCAAGTCGAATGAGCGGCGGACAAGAAGTCGCCAGCGACCTATCAGAAACGTGACTAGGTGAGTCCAGTTGTGCCAATCAGCACCAGCACCAGCACCGGCATCGACGTAGAAGGTTGAAGTTGCCAGGTACAGGTAGCTGCGAAGTTGGTCACTACCGTACCGGCGTACCCATCAGACTCGGTCTACATGTACCTACACAATCAGTACCTGGTAGGTTGCGAGTTGCAACATCGTCTCCACTCGCAATCAAAGGACTCCCTTGTGAACGGCACAATCTAGAACGCGTCCGTCCGAATACGCCATCCACATGTCACTATCTTAATATGCAGGTTGGCTGCATGCTATATCAGCCTGTTCTGGTGTGGACCAACAAAACAACACCTCGCCGAACAACAACAACAACAGCAACAACAACATGTTGGTCCCCAGATCCCGGCTCTCCCCGCGCGTATCTTTCTTTTTTTCGAATACAAAAAGTCAAATCTCGGGAATGCCAACCAACACTTTCTCCAGATACAATGTACACTGTTACTGGCTGCTCCACCCCCCTCCCCTCCCCTCCCCTCCCCTCCCCTCCCAGGCTCTACATACATACATTACCCATGGACCATTCTCACGGGCAAGCACCGAGAGACGCGGATCGCCGGTACCTACCTACAGGTACAGGTAGGTAGGTACGTAAGTGTCGTAGTAAGAAACCACACCAATGATGCACACACACACAAATACGATATAGGCAAAACACAGGCACAGCCTAGTAGGGGGGGTGTGTGTGTGGTGTGCTGCTGCTGCCCACACTTGTTAAAGCCACCTCTACCTCCACCTCTTCCCCCCCCAAATACCTGGTCCCTTTTGAAACGAACACGAACCAGGAATTGTTGTGATGGAGGAAGAAGGTAATTAAGAGGGTAAGGTAAGGTACATGTAGTCGGTAAAGTAGTGGGATTCTTTTATCCCGCTACAGTACGGCGGTAGCCGGAAGAGCCAGGGGGTAGGTGATGGCGACTTTGTCAGCGGGCCTCTCATACTGTATTTTTGATCGCACTATTATTGAGTTACAATAATACTAGTACCTACCTCACCCCATCAGAGAGAGAGTGTGTGAGTTTACAGTAGGTATACGATGCGCGGCTTCATCTCTGTCTCACTTTTTGCACTTTTTTTCTCGAAAAAAGGGAAAAAAAGGAAAAGAAAAAGAAAAAGAAAAAGAAAAAGAAAAAGAATGCCACTTCTGCTAACAATCCCATTCCGCCCGCCCAACTTGACGTATCCACGCGGTAACCTGATTACCCAGGTACATGTAGGTAGGTAGGAAGGTGAGGTAGGCAACAGCAACCACCCCCCGAATCATTCCAGATTTTTTGCTTACCTACATGTACTTTCAGGTAGTACCTCTTATCTGATTTGCCGAGAATGCCATGCTATGCATCATCGAAGAGTAAGATGGAAGACATGGAAAGAGCCAAGATACAAAAATGAAAAGCATTGGCGATCAAGAAAAGAGTAAAAGTTCCGCGCTGGAGAAATGGGGTTTCCCGGGCAGGCGGAAACAGCTGACTGAATGACTGACCGACTGACGGGATTTGGAGAGGACAGCGAGATCCAAAGGGCCTTGGAGATAGGGTGGGGCGGGTAGGCGAAGAAGGAAGGCATGCATTAGAAGAAGGCATTACCTAGGTAAGGTAAAGGTCGGTACCTTCTCTTATTCAGCCTGACAGTAAAAAGGTGAGTGAGTGAGAGAGTGAGTGAGTGAGTTCCGACTAGACCCGGGCCGGGCTGCTTCTTTTGGAAGGGGAAGGGGGGGAGGATTCTCGAATTAATACCTGGCCGGGTTTTTTTTGCTTCTCTTGGATGACACGAGAAAGAAGGGAAGAAAGAGAGAAAGAAAGAGAGAAAACGAGAGAGTTAATACCGAGAAAGACAAAAAAAAAAAGAAATCAAGGCGCAAGCATACACCACATACACACACGAAAGTTGATTTTTCTAGAAAACAGAAAAACCATATCGTGACTTCCCCCCCCCCTCGCGCCTGACCCCCATGCTACTGCTTGGTTGCCTGAAAAGCAGATCTCTCAAGTCTCGCGGCGCCGGTTGTGGGAAGTAAGGAGTGTGATTCCGGCGGCAAATTCGCGCTTGGGGGGACTTGCTCCGGCGAGTATTACTCAACTGGTAGTTAGGTACCTGCAGACCTGGAAAAATCTCAATTAGGTAGGTACATTAGGTAGGTCTGGTGGTGTTGCATCACATCACAAATCCTATTTCCGCCGTGACAACAACACCTGTCACACACACACACAGACACAATCACACGTGTCGTATTGATGCAACTATTGTGAAAGATGTCGGGTCGTAATAGATAAGACCCGCCTGCATTGACATGAAACGGTCGGTCGTGCACGAGGCAACATAATACCTAAACATGGTGCAGGCGACAAAAAAAAAGACGTCAGATTTGGCAGACTCACTCTGGCACAGCGACAGCGACATGGGGATTCTTCTTTCTTTCTTTCTTGCCTTCTCTCTCTCTCTCTCTCTTCCCTCCCTCCCTCCCTCCCTCTCCAGCAGTAGCGAGACGCGCGGACCGAAGTTTCCAAGCGCAGCAGTGGGTCAAAAGGACAGAAAGGACAGCGATGCTGATGCTTTACTTTTTCGTCTTGACGACACATGGCAGGGCAATCGTGTCATCGTGCGCAAGGCCCTAAATGGCCGATGTCTGAACGAGCGCTCATGCTCACGCTAGCTAACGAGTGGAGTGGAGCTCATGCGGTGCGGAGCTGTGGATGCAGCAAGCATTCAGGATTCCAGGAAGAGGAGCTCCTTTTGTGTTTAAGCGAAATCCTCCAGCTGTCTTCTACTCTCGTCTATACAGGGAGTCTGCAGTCTGCACGCACGCACCGGAACGGGGAGCGGATTCCACGCGAGAAGATCGCACGCAATCCACGCATTGTTACAACCCCGGATTCGTAGTTCATCAATGCTATGGAGCAGCTCATCAAACAAGTGCGCACACCACTCTCCCAAGCGCAAGCAAGTAAGCTCTGCTCTCGTGGATCATGCTCCTCTGCAGCGGGCGCCGGTGGAGTCGAATGGTGCTCTCTTGACGTCAAACCGCTCATCAGGTGCGCTCCAGAAAATGTACGGAAAAGCAAAAAGTCCGATTTGCACATGTTCGGACATTTCGCTCCATCAGGTTTCGTAATCGAGTGCCAAGAACACACTTGAGCAAAGTCTAGTGTAAGCCTTGTGTCCTAGTTGAGGCACTGGATGGTCTGGTGCACGATAGAAAAGAGAAAAAAAAACAAGGTCTGGCTCGCGCGAAGGAATTTGCCACGAAAGCCGCACCGCATGCGTGTTGAGCGGGCAGGCGGCTATCACGTAGCACATGTCGTGAAGAGCGGAGAAGTGGTCAGCGACAGTCAGGTCCAAGCAAGGTATGTAGGTACCGTATGTACCTAGTTCGGTAGTAAGGTAGGAGGTGGTCAGGTAGGTAGCAGATACGGCAGGCGTAAGAGGGTAGGTGGTTCGGCACAAGTAGTATCGCTTACAACATCACGACATGTACAGTCCTCAACGTTTTGCGCGCGCGCTGATGAAGCCTGTGAAGGCCGCAACCTAAAAGCCAGGAGGAGGCCTGCTGGGCGGGCCGGGCGCAAGATCTGGCCATCAGGGATTCGAGGTACGTACTCTCACACGAGGGTGGTGTCGTCGAAGGCCCTGGCCCTTGCTCTCCGTCCATTGTGCACCGATCATGTTGCGACGACGCTACGGAGGTGAGAAGTCGTCATTAGTTGCCGGCGGCCTCTACCCCAGCATCGACATGGGCTGAAGCATCGTCGATTATCGACACATGCACCGACTGGATTCTGGCTCATGATGCAGTCTCGGTGCTGTGTTGACGGCGAGCGAGTGTGTGTGTGTGTGTGTGTGTGTGTGTGTGTGTGTGCGTGTGTATACATGTACATGGCATGCATGTGGCACGTCTGCAGTCCTCAACGCCCTGGAGCGAGCGCGACGGCGAGCGCGCGGCGATGGAGGGTGTCCAGCGCGTAGGTAGGTAGGTAGGTAGGTAGGTGGGTACCAGTACAGTAAGTAGTACTAGCAAGAGGAAGAGGAGGAGGAGGAGGAGGAGGAGGAGGATGTTGGTATACCTACCCGGTGTCGATGCCACTGGATGCCAGATGGTGGTGGTGCCTGAAAAGTTAGGTTGGGTAGGTCGTGATCTGACCTGACCTGATCTTACGCGTCGGGGGCTCCGTCTCGGTGCTCGCTCGTCCTCGGGCCCCTTCAACCCTCCCCTCACAGGCTCACAGACACACTCACGCCTTTGCCGTGCTGCCGTTCGTTCTCTTTTGCCGCCCGACCTTCAACCAGCAGCAGCAGCTGGGGCCCGTCTTCGTTCCATGCAGCCTGTCCGAGATTGGCCCATCCCATCCGCAGCTTGACGTTCCCTCCTGGCGCCTCAAGGCTCAGTGGCAGACGTGCAGCCAGCCAGTCGTGCCGCCGCATGGGAGTACTGCATTGGAAGCAGACGGGACACACAGACACAGCACCATCTCTCAGGTACATACATACCCTTCATGCTACATACTTCATACTATATAGGTTAGGTACTGTACTGGACTGGAGCTGCAGGCTACGACGGATAGTACTACTGTAGAATCCTCCTACCACTCATCGTCGCAGCAACTGGAAAGTGTAGCCAGCCTGCCAGCCAGCCTGCCTGGCCAGCCTGTCCTGCCCGCCTGTCTGCCTGTCTGTCGGCCTGTCTGCCTGGACCGGGCTGACTCACAATCTACCCGTCTCTGCCTGGCTGGCAGTGCCTGCTGACGAAGACAGAGTGCTGAGATGAGCGCGCGATGCTGCTTCGCCGACACTGATGCGAAAGACAGGACAGGAGAGGACACCACCACCACCGCCGCCTCCGTCGTCCAGGAATCATGCGCATACGCAATGGAATAATCATGCTGGGAACCATGTGCGCGCAGGGCGTGGGCGCCGACCGCACGTTAATCAATACACCGTGCCTTAGTCAACAACCAGCACCAACCGACGGGCGACGGGCAGCGGGCACGAGCATTTCCCGCTCGTGCCATCCTTAGCTTGACCTGCAGGAGCCAGACGCGAGCGAGCCCTCCGAGCGAGCGAGCGAGCGGGCTAAAATGATGATTAGAGGTACCTTACCTGATTGACCCCACCACGCTTCCGTGACAGAGATGTCGACCGGGAGAGGAAGAGAGAGGGGAGGGGGGCGGGCGAGGGACGGGCGGCCACCAAGCACCAACAAACAGCCCACAGCCCACAGCCCACAGCCCAGAGCTCTTGTGCATGCGCCAACTCAGCTCCCATTCGAGGGTGTGGACCAGCTGCTCGCCGCCTCTAATTCCAAACCGGTGATCTCATCAGCTATGGACCTCTGCAGCAGAAAAAGTGTGCTAACAGAATACAGACCAGCATGGTTTGGACCCTAAGCGCTCGCGCATGACAACCGAGGAAAATGTTGCCAATTCTTATACTCGCTTGTCCTTCCTCTGATCGCCGCCTTCTTTATACCTCCCTTGCGGATGTCCAATGTCGACGCTGGACTTGCCACCACCTCCTCTCGTTTCAGGGTCGCAGCATGGTTTCCTGGTATTATGTCGCCGTCTTTGCATGGTATGTGTGCCATCTTTCCTCTTCCCAATCCCCCATTCATTGCCTTCCTTCCATTCTTGAACGGCACGGGTACCCCCCCAAAACTCAATCTGTCCTGCCCACGTGAGCGCTCACTTATCAATTGTGCCTGCAGGTTGTTTCGATATATTCGTTTGATCGTTAATTGCATCTCCCATTGGACCTTCAAGCCTGTACCAATTGCCGAAAATCCGTCATATACTTCGCAGGACGTGACGATAATTCTTCCCACCATTGCCACTGGTGGCGATTCCCTCCGAGACACCATCTCAACATGTCTCAAGTCAGAGCCGTACGAGCTGCTCTTGGTCACCATCGATGCGAACAGCGAGGCCCTCACCAAGATGGCCAACGAGATCAATGCGAAGAAGATCCGCGTGCTGAGCATTCGAGAGGCGAACAAGCGCAGGCAAATGTGTCGAGGCATTCCCGAGGTGGTCACCCGAATCACCATTTTCGTCGATGACGATGTAGTCTGGCCGGAAAAGGTGCTGCCATGGATGCTGGCACCGTTTGAAGACCCGAAGACGGGAGGAGTGGGCACATCGCAAAGGCTGAAACGGCCGGACTCGATGAGTGCCTTTGCGTTCTTGGGCGCCACGTATCTGGAACGACGCAACTGGGATTGCTCGGCGTGCCTTAACATTGACGGAGGCCTCCCGTGTCTCTCGGGGCGAACGGTGGCGTATCGCAGTGACATTCTGCAAGACGAGGCCTTCACGCATGGTTTCACACACGAGGAGTGGAGGACGATGCAGCTCAATGCGGATGACGACAACTTCATCACGAGATGGTTGTACTCGCATGACTGGAAGATCAAGATGCAGTATCACAAAGAATGCGAGGTGCGGACGACATTGGAAGATGGGCCCAAGTATCTCAGCCAATGTCTGCGTTGGGTTCGCAGTAATTGGCGCAGCAACTTGACGAGCTTGTTCGTGGAGCGCCACTATTGGTAGTATGTTGATGATCCACCACCACCCGCTCTGATTCGGTGCTTGTACTGACTGATACCCTGATCTAGTACCCAGCCGTGGAGCACATATACGGTGCTACAGACCACATTAACAGCATGGGCATTGCCTTATGATATTCTGATATTTACATCATGGTATCAAGCATCAACGGAGTGGTCGTCTGATTCGAGATGGTACCTTTTCACATTCCTCATCCTGTGGACCTATGGCTTCAGCAAGACTGTGAAGCTCTGGGGCCACTTTTTCCGTTATCCTGCAGATGTGGTATATATGCCTCTCTACATTGCATTTGGCTATTTCCATGGCTTAATCAAGCTCTATGGAGCCTTCACTCTCAGTGAGGTAGGTTCAGTACCATTCCCGATTCGGGTGGGAGAGAGGGGGGGGGGGGGGGGGGGGGTATGACCTGTTTCTTCATCATCGCTGACCGCCTTTTCAGACAACATGGGGCAGCAGGGACGGAGCCGACACCGACAACCGCGTACGTATGATCAAACTACCCGCGTATGGGTCATCGCAACTCGACCAACCCGACGGTCGCAAATCCGAGTCGTTCGACTATCCGCCCTCTGGTATGCCTCCCGTCGTCGACCAGCTTCCCGCTTACGCCACCCACATGGAGCATGAACCCATACCACTGCTCTCCACCACGAACGTTCAACAACACCACCACCACCACCACCACCACAACAACATGATCAACATCAACAACAATAACAATACCAACCACTATCACGATTAATGACCCTCTTTTTACGGCTGTGTGCACGATACCCAGGCATCATTCCATTCGATTATTTATAGCATCAGCAACGGCGAGCGAAATAGAAGGTAGACGAGGCGGGGAAAAGTGCGCGACCATTATATATACCTGATATTTTTCCCGCCACCGCTACCCAGGGGAGAAGGAAAGAAGGTAAAGCAACGGCATGGAGAAGATATTCCCGACAGGGAAAGAATGAATTGAATACGGTGTGCTTGGTCGAGAAGAAGCAAGGAAAAAAAGTTTTTTTTTCTCTCTTTTGATCCCACACATTCAGCAAAACACACATGGGTTTCGGGGCGAGGCGCATAAATTTTGTTCAAAAAGTTCAATGGCACGACTTGAAGCGGTTGGCACACACACAGGCGCAGCAGGCAGGCAGGGTTCAGGCGGGTACGGTACGGTAGATACCTACCTAGGTACGGGAGGGTATGGAAGGTCCGGTATGGAAGGTACGGTACGGTACAGTACAAGTACAGTAACCTCTATCTGACCTTTTATCTTTTTATTTTGGAGAGTGAGAAAGAGAGAGAGAGTGAGTGAGTGAGAGTAAGAAAGAGAGGAGGAGGGAGGGAGAGAGAGAGAGAGAGGGAGAGAATGAGGGACGGGACCAATTGAAATCAATATGTTCAGGTTGACACACACACACACACCTCATACATACAGGTAGCTGACAATTTGAAATTGGGCCAACAGAGCATGTGGTATATGGCATGTGGCAGGTGAGCAGGTGGCTTGGGGACCTTTTCTGTTTTTTTGCTTTTTTTTGGTCCATTTTCTGTTTTCTGCAAACAACAACAGCTCCATCCACGTCTTGAGCATTGCAAGTCGGTTCAGACATGATTTTTTGGAATGTACAGAATACATACAGGTATTTGGTTTTACCTTGCACTGTTGGAGTGGAGTTGGGTTGAGTGGACATCGAGTTGAGCAAGACGATCGACGATCTTTTTCGCTTGTTGCTTGTTGCTTGTTACTCGTTGCTTCCAGTTGGCATTGAGCACTAAAGGTACAGCTACTTGCTTCTTCTCCTTTCTTCCTCTTTCCTTTTCATCCTCTTCAAGATCTCCTTCTTCTTCTTCTTCATCATCATCGTCCATCACCTGAACCTCGTCTCCGAATCCTCATAAGATCCTCACGCCATCACGCCATCTCACTCACCCCAAATTCAACTTGGAAAAACATTTCCATCCTTTCCATCCATCCAGCCAGCCAACCAGCCGGCCAGCCAACCCATCCAGAGCTTCGTCACTCGGTCACTCGGTCACTTCGATCACGAGTTCGCGTACCTGCAGACACCCCTGTACCGATGTATATGTACATGTAGTATGCATGATTGCATATGATATGCATGTGTGTGTAATGCATGTCAGAAAGAGACCAGTGTGTGTGTGTGTGTGAGTGAGAAGGGTGAGGTGGAGGGTGAGAGAGCGGGTGTGGTGTGTAAGAGGGTGTGGGTGAGTGGGTCAAAACCAACCAACCATCCAACCACACTACACCATCTGCAGTTCTGCACAAACCGGCTTACTGCAAACCTACAACCTCACCAACCAACAATGGTGAGTGACCACTGAGATACATACAGTAGGTACATGGCTGTGAGTAGCCTCATACGCTCACAAACTTACCTCCTATAGACTGACAGACTCACAGGCTCATAGACTTAGGCTTCCATCATCCATCCATCCATCCTATCCCATCTATCCATCTATCCATCTATCCTAGGAGGACAGGTACCTTAACCATCCCGTCCTATTCATCAAAATCCCACACAGAGATATAGCCGACCCGTCTAGGTACTTGCATGTTGCATAATGCATATATGTACCTAGGTACCTAGGCTTGCATATGCCTTACCTAGGCTTGCATATACCTTAGGCTTGCATATACCTACCTAGGCTTGCATGTAGGCTTGCTGTAGGCTTGCTTATTGCATACATATACCTAATCCAGTGTAGCCTTGCAGAGTGTACCTAGGTATACCACCTAGTGCACCACAGTACAGTACAGTGCAGTGGAGGTACATGAGTACTTTCAAGCCTTTTCTTGCCTTTTCTGTTTACTACCTTTCCTTTCCTTCCCTTCCCTTTCCTTCCCTTTCCCTTTTTGAAAACGTATATTTGTAAAAGGTACCTAGTGTTTGTCAGCGGGATCAACAGGTCGTCGGGTCAGTCGTTCGGTCAGTCGTTCGGTCAGTCGGGTCGGTCAGGTTCGGTCAGTTAGTCGGTTCGGTAAGGTTCGGTCTGTCGATCACGTTCGGGCATTACCTAAGGTATTGATCGGCCTTCCCTATTTGGATAATACTGATGCTAATGATGCTAATGCCAATGCTGATACTAATGATGAAAATTTCGGAGAGCGAATTCAAGTACCTTCTAGAAGTACGGTACTATAGTACCTAGGTAAGAAGACTACCTACCTTACCGGAGTCCTTAGTAGCCACGTAAGCGTGTTGCCGCAGTGTAGGGTTCAGATACTCTAGTGCTACAGTGAACTTTGTATCTTTGTGTTTTGCAAGGTATATATTAAAAGTGTAATGTATATTAATAGTCAATTGCTATTACAATATAGTAGCGTAAAGGACATAGTGTTAATATAATATTACAGAACGCGATACTATATTAATATAGTGCTAATACAAGTTTCTAATCTAATATAGGTAGGTATACCTTAGGCAGGTATACCTTAGGCATCTGTACGCGGGCAGGCACCGTACCCGTTACCTTACGTACCCTGCCTAGCCGGAGCTGTATATATATTACCTTAGGTATATGCCTTACTTTAGGGTATACCGACGAGACTTTTTACCTTACTAAAGATATAGAATTAAACAACATTTTTAGTACGCGAACGCTTTTTAATTTAGTAACCCTTTATAGAAGACTATAAAGAGCTCGACAAGTAACTAACGCAAATAATTGATAACAGCAACGGTGATAACATAAATAAGAAGGAAAAGGGCTAGAGGGGGGGGGGGGGGGAAGGGGGGGTATTTGTAAAAGGGTAGAAGGTAGAAGGAGCTAGCTTTTAGCGTACTAGTAACGGAGTACGAGAGGTAGTAAAGGGTTCGGTAATATATTAGTATATTGTTTAGTCTTAGCGGAGAGTCTCCTATAACTTATCCTCGATGCCTCGCTCTGTATAATTTACCTCCTTATCTTCTTCCTCGTCTTTATCGATATTACTATCGACAACGACTAGTATTAGAAACTTGGAAGGGTCAAACTTAGTAAGCGAGCTATCGTTAAAGCGACGAACGGTCTAGTACTACTAAGACATATAGCGCTTCTAAGGTATATAGCGCTGCTGATAGGCGTAGCGCTGTTAGATAGAGGTACTGTTAAGGCGACGAGCGAGTGCCTTAGTCGGAGTAGTATCGAAATTAAAGACGCTATCTATACCGAACTAGTATTTAGGCTGATTGCCGGTGCCGAAGAATAGATCGTCCTGCTTAGTACCTCTACCTCTACCTCTACCTCTACCTCTACCTCCGCTATCGCCCTCGCCCTCGCCCTCGCCCTCGCCCTCGCCCTCGTCTTTATTCTCTTCCTCCTCGTCCTTATCAAGGTCGTCGATATCCTTACTAGTGCGCTTATCGGCCGGTAGAATAATAGTCTTCTTCTTTTGTAGCGGCGGGCCTATTAAGACGTACGACGCCTTGGTTATAGTAAAGTCGCGCTTTTTCGTTGCTTTGATAGTACGGAATTTGGCACTTAATTCTTAGAAATCAGTAATTCCAACCTAATCGTAATCCTCTAGAAGCGCAATCTTATCCTAGAAACCTAAGGCCTAGTTCTAACGATTAGAGGTACTAGCAATAATACACTTACGTACTTGAACGCCTAAGTTAACATAGATCGTCTAAAGAAACTACTTACTAAGCTTAGAGCTTCTATCAATATTTAGGTAGTCCTTTATAAAGTAGAAGTAATAGAAGTAGTTGTACTTATTAAAGGTCTAAGCAAACTTATTAGAAAATGTAGTAGTACGGATCTCGACAAGGCTTGGATCCTGCTTAATTATATTCTAGATCAACGCCTTAAAGTTCTATATAGTTTTTGACTTATATAAGCGGCTGTTTTCGGAGATCTTTAGCTTCGTAGTATCCTAATCAGTACTATCGACATCAATACGGTCCTTATAGACAAAGTCGATAATGTCTTGCGTATTAAGGTAGCAATATAAGAGGAAGTAGTTCTACCTAATAGCCCTATTAAGCTTAGACTCGAATAACTTGCGCTTATTCTTAGTAAGTAGCTCTTTGTCCGTTAACTTGAGTTTGCTTTTGCGAGGGAGGGTTGCGCTAGCCTTTAACTTAGTACGAAGCTCCGCGCGAGTAGTAGGATTAATAATAAAGTTACCGGAAGTAATGCCCGGGCTGTTAAGTGTAGGTCTACTAGGTCTACCGCTACTACGACTACTACGGCTACTACTACTGCTACGGCTACTACTACTACTATAGCTAGTACTAAGAAGATTGCTATTATAACGAGCTATACGGGATAGAGTAACGGTAGAATAGGGTACTGTTAACCGAGATCTACCTATATATTGATATACGAGCGGCTAGATAGTACGTTTCTGCTATAGTAATAGGAGTTACGAAGAGAATGCTCGTACTTGCTTTCCTAAAGACTATATTAATAGCGCAGACTGTATTAACGATACGCGTTAGCTAGAGAGTATAGGAAAATTTGGACGAAGGCCCTAAGATAGTATTTAGAGGGATCCGGGCTAAGTTCTACGTTACTAAAGCTAACGAGGATAGGACTGTATACCCGGTAATTAGAATTGTTAACCTTTACTAGACTAATCGTATTTAGACTAACCGTATCTAGACTGACCGTATCTAGACTAACCGTATCTAGGATTCTGTTGCTATAGTAGCGGTCCGTAGTAGTACGGTCCTTAACTAGCAAGTACTAGATCGAGGTTTGCGTTGTCCTGTTTACTAGAGATTTGCGACTAGCCTAGAAGTCTTGCCTTATACTCGTCTTGTTCTTCCTCCTTAGGTTAAGTTTATATAGGCTAGTCGTTTCGGAGCTCGTCGAACTAGGTTTGAGTTAGATTAGACTAGGCCTACGTACTAAATAGCTAAAAGGCAGGAGTGTCGCTACTACCTAGAGTACTACCTCGACCTCTACCTCTGCCTAATACGTACGTACTACGAGATAGAGTGTTACTAGTAGTACCGATATTTGTTAAAGTGTTACGAGTAGTACTACTACGCTTGCTACTACGCTTAGCTAGACCTAGTTTTACTACCTTACTACGCTTGCTACGCTTGCCTGATCTAGTGTTCTCTAGTACTTAATCGCCTAGTAGCGGGTTGTTAGGGTCGGCCTCTATCGTAATTACGAGTACTTTAGACAAGAGGTACTAAGGGATACGGGTATTAAGTAAGGGTAATAGGGTATAGTAAGGAGGATGCAAAGGCGTACAACGCGGTTTAATACTAGTAGCGTAGCGTTTGCTCGCTAGCTAGTAGGTTGTTGTAGAGAGCGGCCGGCGACAAACGTAGATAGTAGTACGAACAAAGCAGTATTGCTTACTATTTGTAGTATATCGCAGTTCGTAGTATCGTAGTACGATATATAATATAGTATAGTATAGATATTGTGCTTACGGGTATAGGAATAAATTTAAACGCGATGTACGTATTGTTTGTAGGGTGCTAAGGTTGTATAAAGCCGTAGGTAAAGTGAAGTGTTGTCTAGGTAGCGCTAGTGCCGGCCTAAGTAGGCCCGCGCTTAACTAGAACAGGCAACTTTACTACCGAAGTACTTCCCGTACGTACGCCCTACTATATCGCTATCGGCGAACGTAACTGCTCCTGCCTTTACTAACCTTACCTAATACCTTATACCTTATACCTTACCCTTATACCTTACCCTTATACCGCCTACTTATACTATACACTTATCTGCCTAAGCCTTAATATTACCAATCAATTAAGATAAGCTACCGACGCTCTCGAGTTGCTACTACTGTACGACGAACACCTAGAGACCGTATAAAGTTGCTAGAGCTAGAGCTAGAGCTAGCGCTAGAGCAAGAGCAAGAGTAAGAGCAAGAGGAGTAGGGCGATAAGGACGGGATTAATAACACTATTATGTCCGGTGCCGATTAGGATAACGAGTTCGATACTAGATTCGATAACACTAGATTCGATAATACTAGATTCGATAACACTGGATTCGGCGATAGTAACCTCGATAGCAATAGACCTCTAGGATTTGTAGCGTTTAATAATAACGATATCTATAATATCGGAGAGGACGATAACTACCGAGACTGTATCGATATCGACTAGCTTATCTAATGTATCGATCTTTATAATACGGAAGTGACTGCGTTACTAATAAACCTTAACCTACAAGAGATTCAGCAAGCCGATTAGTATAACGATAATACCCTTACTGCTCCTACCGACCTAGACCTTTATACAATTCCTACAACAACCTTCTCCGAAGTAGACACCGATACCGGTACCGACAGCGGCACTAATACTAATGCCGAGATTCCTATTAGGATCCCTATAGGGCAAGCCTTCTAGAGCGACGACGAATCCGAGCTAATACCCTAGTATCGATCGAGTAATAAAGACCCCTTACTATTTATAGTTGCTCTAGGTCTCTAGTATAATAAAGCTAGTATATCCCGTCTAATATATATTAGTCTATTAGAGATCCTTCGAATACTAGGGCTTATAGTATATATTAACAATCTTCTAGCTTGCGTATCTACCCTTAAGAAGCAGACTATAGCGTATCTCCTACTAATTGCTATAAGGAAGCGTAAGATTGTACTATAAAGTATATAGTAGTCTCGCTAAAAGACAGAGGAAGATCTTGTCTTCTTTAACCTAATCGACCTCTTTACTAAGTTTCTAGTATTAGATGTTACGAGGACAATATATCTACAGATAGGAGAGTTCTATAATAGCTATTAGCAAGATAAGCTGTATAAGTCATAGTCTTGGATATTATCTATCCGCTTAATATCTAGCGAGTTTGTATACTTCTATACTAGACAGCCGATCTTTCCTAGTAATGTTATTACCTTTCGGTACTAGAATCGAATATACGGAGCCTACTCGAATACAGATTCAAGCTAGCGTACAGGTGTCTTCAGTTACCTTAGGAGAGTCCTCGGTGTTAGGAGAGACTTTCGTAGTAACGTAGTCTAACGTAGCTATATCGTTGTTAAAGTGTAAGAGTTACTAAATCAGCAGTAGCTTAGCAGCTACGCTACTATATTCAACCCTCTACTTGATACTAACGAGCGCGTTCTATCGTAGAATAACGTCTTGTATTGCAATAAGTCTAGTATTAGCTAGCGTATAGTAGACGTTGTTCTAGACTATACGTTCTAGAATATCAAGATTGTACTAAGACTACTACCGCTAGTATTAGCGGCAGCACTGCTTATACGCCGTATTATCGACTTCAGTTTAACGCTACTAACCGTAATACTACTTTGCCTTAACTATCTAATTCGGGGCGAGCTTAAGATTCAAGTATTTGGCCGGATATACCTTAAGAATCTTAACCGAATATAGAGTCGCTAAAACGGTAAGACATTAGGTCTACGACGGACCCTCTTAATACTACTTCTCACTTTTATTAATAGCTTTGGTTTGTACCGTAATGTATATCGTATGTTAATAGGGTTTTACTTTATCTTCGTAGGTCTGTCTTTTTATAAGCGGGCACGCCGAGCCAATGTTCTTCCTTTTACGATTAGACTACATAGTAGCAACTTCTCCGACGTACTACTAGCTATTAAATGTCTTACAGCCCTAGAGCGTAGTATTGAGGTATAGCTTCCTAGAATTCCTAGTACGGTTATCCTCGTCGCCTATACCCTAGCCTTTATTAGTAATATGCCTTAGCAACAGAAGAACTCTAGAATAAAGACACAGCGAGCTCTACTTGGCTGCCGTATATGCTTTATCGATAGTAAGCAACGCGGCGAGCTTAGCTACGATACCTTCCTTAATAGCCGCTACTATTATACTGTCCTTGCTATACGAGAGGACCTTAACGCTTTGCCGACTAAGAAGGACCGCGAGGATTATAGTACGGAGTAGGGTATAGATCTAGAGCCGTCGTTAATAACCCTATATAACTCGATATCGCCGGTATTAGATATCGTTACTTCCCGCCCTAGAGATCCCTCGCATTCCGAGTTCTAAGGACTGTCTAATATGCTCTACAATCTCCTCTTAGAATTAGTCCTTACTCTAAAAGCAACAAAGGAGTATACGGCTATTCTCCGCTTATTCCCGTTTCCGCTAAGTTAGCTACGTATACAAGGACCGCTATATTATCTGAAGAGTTATAGTATATTAGAGTACGCCCGCTAGTCTATTGTTGTTCCTTTGTTACTACGCTGCTAGCTTCGTAAGAAGCATATCTGTATATACCTGCTTAATGTCCTTAAGGTACCTACAAATGCAATAGCTAACGCTAACCTAACCAACTATATTATTAGCTAGTTTGCAGCAGCTATACGAAGCAACTCGATACTAATAAGCTAGACCGTTAGCCTATATAATAGGCACTAGATAGCGGATATTGTCTACGGGTACCGCTCGTAGCTTTAGTAGCTCCTCTCTACCCTTGCCTAGTTAATAGTAGTAGATAAGAGATATACACTACGTCGCGCTAGCTCTGTTGCTAGTTCTGTCGCCTCGTTAAGAGCTGGATCAGTAGCTCTATCTAAAGCTAGCTCGTATATATCGCAGACAGATAGTAGAGGTAGAGGTAGAGGTAGAGCTACCGAGTAGGGTAAGAAGGCTGCTGTATACGAGAGCTATATAAAGAAGCCTAATATGCACGTCGCTATCTATTACGCTATAACTGCCGACGAGTATAGGTTACCGGTCAATATAAATGTCCTTATCGGAGAGGACAAGCATCGGTACGTAGATGCTTAATAGCAGTAGGTTATAACTAACTTTTGTGTAGCTTCTTTAAGAAGGCTATCTATACTACGAATCACCGCTATCCCGAGAAGGACCTTCTGTCTAAAGAGAATAGGCGCCAAACTCTCTGCCTTGCCCTTGCTAACGCATTTAAGTATACTAAGCTAGTTGCTACGAAGCTTATTAAGGAGATCTACGTACTGTGTCTATAGCTTTTTTCTAGTATACTTCTACGGTTAGAGCAGATAATACTTAATAGCAGTCTCGCTAATAACGACGACGATAATAATAAGGTCGTCCTTACTAATAGCGTATACCTTGATCCCTTAGTAACCGGCTGTATTCTATCGAAGTTCATCCGCTCCGAATATAAGCTGCTAACTAGGGCTAGCGAGCTACGTAACAACATATATATTCCCTTTACTATAGCGCTAACTGCGTCGTATAGCAGAGACTACAGTATACCGAACATTTACTTATTTAGAGGGTTATTCGCCTACTATAAGAAGTTTAGCTTCTATAACCGCTCGTCCTAACGGCGATTAACTTTTAAGATAGGCGACTTCATTAAGCAAGCGAGTAGCCTAATTGTACGTATCGACTAGATATTCGTTTACTTATTCGACTAGCAGCGTCGGCTATTCGTAAAGACGACTCTATTAGTTGTCGATGCCTCTACGCCTACGAGCGATCTAGTTCTCGGCCCCGGGTTTAGTCGCTTATATTCTACTAACATAGGTATATATATTGTCGGCCTACTATCCGTAGATAGCGAACACCTCTATATCGTGCTAATCGACATCTACTAGGGGAACGTCGTAGAGCTTGCTCGCGTCGCATTTTATACGCGGAATTTCCTTTAGGCACAATACAGCGTCGCTTGGTTGTAGCCTCGGGCGGGTAAGCTAGTATCTCGTATTGCTAATACTATTAAGGCCTCTTGCTAATATAATATAAATACAGTATTAATGTACGACTCTCTCCGACTCTAGTATACTCCGACTCTTGCTGTTCTCCGACTCTTGCTGTTCTCTAACTCTAGTATACTACGACTCTAGTATACTGCGACTCTAGTACACTACGACTCTAGTATATTACGACTCGAGGCTACTAACCGATACTACGACTTGATACTTCCTCCGAAGGCAGACGTAATACGCTTGCGTAGGACGCTAGGGCTTACCGTAGATAGAAAACGCCGTAGCCTCTAAAGCCTTAGTATAGAATAACTTATATCGAAAACCTTGCTACGGTGTTATCTAGCGTAGAACTATGCTCGTATATAGATGTCGGTAGAAGTAGAGGACGGCAAGGTTAATAGGTAGCTGTTAAGGAGGGGGGGCGGTATATGTTAAGGAGGGGGGCGGTACTTAGTACGGAGTCGTACGTAGAGATAGGCGTAGAGGTTAAGCAGGTTAATAGCGGAGGTATTTACCTAGTAGTTAGTATAGTAGCCGGGGTAAAATGAAGTACGAACCTGTATATAATTCTAGTATACTATATAAGTATAAACACCGTATAGACACTCCAATACATATATTGACTTACGACCTTTGAAAATATAGTAAGAGCATAGTGTAAAATCTAATACAGCGGTAACAGAGTAATACTTTCTAGCCTAGGGTTATAATAGAAATTTTAATAAGATAGTCTGATTCAAAATACTATATTAATATAGCTATATTTAGTATATATAATTTTTTTGATATAGAGTTAATACAAGTTTTTGCTTTATACAGGTTGTTAACAATACTGTGTTAATACAAGTTTGTATACGTACACAGCCTCAAACTAATACCGTATCGATATATACTAAGCGTCTTATACATATTCTAAGCGACTACTATACAACTACAACGCTAATACAAGAACGAGCCTCCTAAGGACTCCGGTAAGGTAGGTAAGGGGTAAAAAGATAAAAAAAAACGAATTGCCTTGCTTTGCCTTTGCCCTCTTACAGTACTCTTACTCTACAAAATTTCCTTAGAGAATCTACAAATAAAAAAGTCAAGCTTATAGGTACCTACCTATTACGAACGAAACGAACGAACGCACTCGGCTACCTACCTAAGAAAAAAAAACACGTCTCTCCCGAAGAAGCCTTTTCGATAGATTCTACCTAGGTAGTTAAAGAGGAAAGAACAAGTATCCGCTTTCTTTCTTCCTTCGGCGTATTTGTCTATCGATATACCTAAGGTACCTTCCCTACCTACATAGTACCTTTCGAGAGATTACTAACTACCTAAACTAACCGATCGATAAATTGATCGATCGATCGAAATAGAGCTGCTTACCTGTAATAACGATAATACCTTAGTTCTACCTTACTGCTACTGCTACTATTACTACTACTGCTACTACTACTACTACTACTACTACTGCTGCTACTGCTGCTGTATATACCAGTTATATATACTAGTTGTATATATATATATATACAGAGATTACAGAGGTTATAGTATCCCGACTCGACTCTACTTCCGACTCTAACTCTAACTCTAACATCGACTCCGATCCTGAACGATAATAGCAATAGCAATAGTAATACTGTAAGGTAGTAAGTAGATGTAGTTATAACGTAATGGTAAAAAGCCGGTCAAGTTTTCTAGGAGGTACGGGTGGTAGTGTTAGGTGCGTGTAGACGGAGGGAGGGAGGGAGGGAGGTGACAAGAGGCGGAAAGAAGAGTAGGAAGAGGAAGAGGAAGAGGAAGAGGAAGAGGAAGAGGAAGAGGAAGAAGAAGAAGTCTAGATGCTAGTAGTATCGTGTCCGGTACATGTACGAGGTGCTCGCTCGCTTGCTTGCTGACTTGCTAAATTGACAAAGATGAGATTTCTAGCTTTCCTTGCCTTCGGCCTCGAATTGCTTCTCCAAATCGCGCAGGCCATTAAACACCTTCTCCCACTTACTCGTCCACTCGTGGTCGCCATCAGGGAAACCTCCTGCCAGTGGAAGACGGTTGCCCTTGTTGCTGCCCATGCCCCACATGCGGGCAATCGCCTCCTTCATACCGACCGGACCCCACGTGGCAATGAGTTTCTCGCCCTCGCAAATGCGGAATTGCAAATCACGCATCAACGCCATATCTTCCTTGCTCGTGCCTTTGACTGAGCTTTCGACAAACGTGCGGTAGAGCCGGACGACCACTCGTGGGAAACAGCCGGCGAGGCCATCGATGGCTGCTACACCACCAATGGTCAGGACGGGTAGCAGATTCTGGCCGAGACCAGTGAAGAGATAAAAGTGCTCGTGGTCAATCTTGGGTGATGCCGCGATCAAGGTTTGATCGTCAATGATGCCGTGGGACAGCTTCGTGCCTACGATGTTGGGGTGTGCTGCGAGCTTCTCAAACGTCGCCGGAGCAATGTACAGGTTGTTGGTCACGCCGGGGTAATGGTAACTGGAACAGCAACACACACATCTCGTCAGCTGGTTTTGTTTCTCTTTCTCTTTTTCCGTTATTCTTTAAATTTTTTTTTGCCACATATGAAGCTTGGCCGGCCAGAAAACACGTACATCAGAATGGGAATAGGCGAACGGTCTGCTACCACTTCAAACCACTTCTGCAGACCTGCCTGGCTCGTTGCGGGTGCAAAGTAGGCTGGACCGAGAACCATGGCATACTCGGCACCTGCGGCCTGACTGTCCTTGATCATGTCTACGGTATCATCAATATTCTGTGTCGCCGTGCCCGCAATAATGGGACGGTCCTTGTAGCCCGCATCGTCCAATGTCTTTCTCTGGCTCTTGATCAACTCGTGACGCTCGGAATTGCGTACGAAGATGGCCTCTCCTGTGCTGCCCAAGATGACCAGACCCTTCACGCCGCCCTTGACTAAGAAGAGAGAGTGTGCGGATTGTGTGTCGAGATCGAGGGGTGGTGAGACGTGGTCGTAGTTGGCGCTGCCCTCTTTGGCGAAGAAGGTCGGCACGGGAACGTAGATTCCTTGTGGTGGTGGTGATGCCGACATGGTTGGTAGGTAAGGTAGGGGATGTGATTGTCTCGAGGAGGATGAATACAAGTACTTCTTCTTCTAGGAGGTAGGTAAGGTAGTGAGTGATTTCCTTACCTTATACCACTGGCCAAAAATATGTTTCTCGCATATGCCGATTCCTATAGCTTGGTTACATGTACTCGTGTAGTATGCTCGGCCTATCTCTGTCCAGCTCTTTGCGGGCCTAATACCACAGAGCTCCCCCTCCTCTTTCCCCATGGAATACCTGATTCATCATCCACAAGCAAATGTGGATAACTTCACCACCGGCTCCACGTCTTGTCCACACGCCCCCCGGTAGAGCTCATGCCGAGGGTGAGAACTTCTCATCTTGTTCTTTTCTCTCTCTCTCTCTCTCTCTCTCTCTCTCTCTCTCTC